GCTTGCCCTGTGGTTTGAAAGCTTAAGAATACACCCTTTATATTTTTCTTCCATGGGGAGATTTCCCCCTTATCCTCATCTTGGGCTGGCACCATTCTCCATCCCATTGCAAGAAAGATAGAGGAAGAAAATGGATTTACGGCACAATCCTGCACATTTTGACTCAAAAGTCACTCCCATTGATTACAATTGAGCTTGTTCTCAATGACCCGAGTACAGGATGGCCACCTTGGGCAGGTAAAGCTCAATTTCAATCCCTGGATAATAACAACAGGTTCATTTGTGTCCCTTTCTTTCCAGTTTCACCAAAGTCCTACCTTGAGAAGTGATCCACTGGTTGATATAAGGCGATGAATGTTGATTTTCCTTTCCTTTCCCTTTTTTAAAAAACAAAACTCAGTTCTCTGTGAATTACTGTACTTGGCTGCATTTGTTTTCTATCACGGAATAACTTGTTGATTATAGTTTTTCATTTTGCGTGTCTACAATGAGAATCGATGAATGGAGGAAAACTTTCACTGTGTGTTGCTCACTGGGCATATACCTCATGGTACATTGCACAGACGTGTAAGTTGTAAGTTGCACTGCAACATTATAAAAGGAACATATTGCTCTTTTTTCAAAGATATTAACTTATTTAAAAAATATATAGAGACTGTACATTATTGAAAAAAGGACATTTATTCTTCCTAAATCCAAAAGTAGCTTTTGTTTTGGGGAGGGGGGAAAAAAGCGTTGTAAAACTTCAGTTGTTGATTTGGACTTCAATAAAATGAATTCTCTGCACTTTAGGAACTTCTTGTCTTCCTTTGTACTTTCTGGTCTTCAAGAAAACATTGGTAATTTATTAATAATTCACAATGATTTCTCAGTTTAATGTGCCCAAATGGTGCTTCCAGATTTGGCAGATCCCTAAAATACATTGTAAGTAAGTAAAAAAGAGTGGAGTGGCATATATTTATTTATTTATTTATTATTTACAGTTCTTATATTCCGCCCTTCTCACCCCGCAGGGGACTCAGGGCGGATTACAGTAAACACATATATGGCAAACATTCAATGCCAATTTGACAAATGCACCAAGGCTATTTAACTTTTTTTCTGGCCGCCAGGGGAGCTGCTGCTTTTCATCGTCCATCAACGACACCGATGAAGTTCTTCCGCATTCCACATTCCCCGGAGTCTTTTTTTCTTTATGGCCTCATAAATTAGTTAAATTTTGCCTCCCACACAAGGTGGTACCTTATTTTCCTACTTGACAGATGCAACTGTCTTTCGGGTTGCAAAGGTCGACAACGGGCTACACAATGGCTGGACACCCACTCCAGCCCGGGCTGGCTTCGAACTCATAACCTTTTGGTCAGAGTGATCTTAATGCAGCTGACACTCAGCCAGCTGCGCCACAATCCCGGGTGCATAGGTAAAGGTAAAGGTTATCCCCTGACATTAAGTCCAGTTGTGTCCAACTCGGGTGTGGTACTTAACTGTATTTCTAAGCCGAAGAGCTGGTGTTGTCCATAGACACCTCCACGGTCATGTGGCCGGCATGACTGCACGGAGTGCCGTTACCTTCCCACCGGAGCAGTATCTATTGATCTACTCACATTTGCATGTTTTCAAACTGCTAGGTTAGCAGAAGCATACAACCCCCATTATGCCAGCTCCACTGACTGCCAACCGGCTACCAAACACAATTCAAAGTGCAGGCTTTAGCCCAATACCAGCAGTTTTTAACCAGTGGGCCATGTACAGCCAGTGGGCTACAAAGACGAAAATCTGGTCCGTGAGCTTCCTCCTTCCTTTTTATTTATTTATTCATTTTAGTTTATTTCCACTCCTTTCGCGCCTCCTGCCACTCCTTCCCTGTCACTGACCATAGCAATGTGTTCTGTATCAGAGACTAGAGCTGATGTGGTCTATCCAATGCAATTTTCTGAATAAGCCCCCTAAATAACCAACCAAAACTAAAGTTGACCAAAAACCGATTCGTAACCCTTTTGGTACTGCTGGAGAGTGGTCCCTTGTCTAGTAGTCCCTGATCTAAGTGGTCCCTGGTTAAAAAAAAGTTGGGAACCACTGCCCTATATGGTTCTGGCCCAATTTATTTGTCTGAATGTATTTCCCTCTATGAGCTACCTCAGAGATTAAGATCTTCTGGGAAGTCCCTACTCGGTCCCACCTCCTTCACAGGTGCTGTTGATGGGGATGAGAGACAATGCCTGCTCAGTGGCGGCCCCCTCAGCAATGGAACGCCCTCCCCAGCAAAATCAGGTCAGCTCCCTTCCTCCTGTCCTTCAGAAAACATGTAGAAACATGACTGTGGGACCAAACCTTTGGTCAGTAGTGCAGTGAAATAAGTGATGCAATAACAACTGGAATAATAACTGGACAATATGCAATAACAACTGGAACAGCTTTTAGACTATGATCTCAGATTGCATGGTTCTAATGGCTTTTACATTTATGTTGGGGTGAGAGGGGCGGGATATAAATACTGTAAATAAACAAAAGTAAAACTTTATTTCTATCTCACCCCATGGGGACTCAGGGCCATTCACAACATAAAAGGAAAACATTCAATGCCGTAAAATACAACAATAGACTGAAACCATTCAAAATAAACATAACAAAGCATTCAACAATAAAGCAAATCACATGAACACAACAGTAAATTACACAATTTTAATAAAACAAATTTAAAAGTCATGTCTAAAATCCATTCCTTATTTCATAGTGCTGGATCGTTAAACATTGGTCAATATTTACAAATCTGATACATTTACAGGTTACGGATTTGGTAAAAACACGATCTTTTCCATATCCGTTTCTTCGATAGATTTCGTTTTGATGAATTGTGTACAGGATCACAGATAGATTTATTACTACTACTACTACTAATTATTATTATTATCATCATATTTCTTGCCCGTCTCTCCTCGAGGTGGGTTACAGAATAATTAAAACACATAAACATTGTAAAAACACAAATTATATAAACTGTATTCATACAAAAGATACATATTAAAATGTATTTCTATAAAATCTATATTAACCAGCTTGAAACAATGTAAAATAATAATAATAATAATAATAATAATAATAATAATAATAATAGATCTTTATTTATATCTCACCTTATCTCCCCTTGGGAACTGTGGGTGGTTCACAAAAAACAACGGTAACCATTCAATCTCGTAAAGTGCCACCAAATCAAATATAACATACTGAACAAGAACATAAAATAATAGTGCCATAATGCACCAAATTAGACATCACATTGCTAAAACTACATCTTCAACAAATAGGAATGTAGGACAACACTTAAAAATTAGAGGCTAGTAGCAATTAAAATGTAACATTTTAAAAAGCCAGAAGAAAGCCATTTCCATATTCCGTTCCATTTTTATTGTACCAGATGTTTATATATGTTACACGTCCTCATCTCTATATGTCCGAGAGCATAAAGTCTTCAGCTATTTCTTAAAAGAGAAGAGGGAGAGGTCTGAAGGAATGTTGTGCGGCATTTCAAGCCAAAGGAAAGGAAAGAAGCGGATCGAGCTGCTGCTAGGTGAAGTGGCCCTCCGTTGCTAGGTAAAGTGGCCCTCTTGGATGTCACTGGGAAAGAAAGGGAAAGAAGTAGTTGCTAAGTGAAATTTTTTTATATATTATATATATATGGAAGGACTTAGGAGATCCCTCATTGTCCGAGTAGGACAGTCTTCCAAGATCAGTGTTCTGTCGGTGGGTCCGTAGGTGACTGTGGAGCCCTATTCTTGATCTGCATCTTCTCCCAAAGTGAGGGCATTGGTTTCTGGGTAGAAGGCGGTCTTGGTTGGGGTCAGGACGCACCTTCCTCTTGGCACGTTTCTCTCTTTTGCCCTCCATTCGTGCCTCTTCAAATTCTACAGCACTGCTGGTCACAGCTGACCTCCAACTGGAGTGCTCAAGGGCCAGGGCTTCCCAGTTCTAGTGTTTGCTTTTAATTGGAGATGGAGGAGGAAAAAGAAGAGGGGAAGGGAGGAAGGAAGAAAGAGAAAGGAGGGAGGGAGGAGGGAGGGAGAGAAGAAAGAGGGGAAAGGAGGAAGAAAAAGGAAGGGAGGGAAGGAGAGGAGGAAAAAGGAAGGAAGGAAGGAAGGAAAAGAAGGGAAGGAGGAGGAAAAAAGGAAGGAAGAAGGAAGGAAGGAAGGAAGGAAAAAGGAAGGAGGGGGAAAAAGAAAGGAAGGAAGGGTGGGAGGAAGGAAGGAAGGAAGAAGGAAGGGAGGGAAGGAAGGGAGAAGAAGGAGGAGGAAGGGAGGAAGGAAAAGGAAGGAAGGAAGAAAGGAAGGAAGGAAGGAAGGAAGGAAGGAAGGAAGGAAAGGAAAAAGGAAGGAAGGGGGAAGGAAGGAGAGAGGAAGGAAGGAAGGAAAAAAAGGAAGGAGAAGGAAGGGGAGGGAGGGAGGAAAAAGGAAGAAGGAAGGAAGGAAGAGAAAGGAAGGAGGAAGGAAGGAGGGAAAAAGAAGGGGAAGGGGAGGGAGGGAGGAAGGAAGGAAAAGGAAGGAAGGAAGGGAGGGGGAAGGGAAGCAAGGAAGGAAGGAGGGGGAAAAGGAAGGAAGGAAAGGTGGGAGGGAGAGAAGAAGGAAAAAAGGGAGGGAGGGAGGGAGGGAGGGAGGAAGGGAAAACAAGAAGAGAAAGGAAAGAAGGGAGAAAAGAGGAAGGGGAGAGGAAAGAAAGAAAAAAGAGGGAAGGAAAGAAAGTGGAAGAAAGGAAGGAAAACAAAGAAAAGGCGAAATGTAGGAGTGAGAGCAAAAGAAGGAGAGGGAGAAACAGAAAGAGAAGAGGAAAGAGCATCCAGGGAGGGGAGGGGCAGAAGGAAGAGATAGCTCCGCCTCCTGGGGAAGACGTCTCCTCTCTGATTGGGCCAGCGCCATTCCCAATCGGCGGCTGTCCCTCGCGTGTGGGCGGGACTTGGGCGCCTGGAACTCTTATCTCCGCCAATCCTGGTTGGCTGCCTTTTCGAAGCACCGCCTCCTGACGGTGACGTCGCCTGCAGGGCCAAGATGGCGGCCAAGGTGAGTGGCTGTGCTGTTTGTAAGGCCTCTCAGTGCTTCTACACCAGGTACTGGCAAACTTGGGCCCTCCAGGTGTTTTGGACTTCAACTCCCACAATTCCTGACAGCCTCAAGCCCGTTCCAAAGGAACGGGCTTGAGGCTGTCAGGAATTGTGGGAGTTGAAGTCCAAAACACCTGGAGGGCCCAAGTTTGCCCAGGCCTTATATCTACACTGTAGGACAAACACGACTTGGCCCCTCACTCCCAGTTTGACTTTTGTTTCAGTCTCCCTTTTGCCTGAAATACTTTGAACCAGGCCTGTTTTGCAATTCTTTCTAATAATAATAATACAATTTATTTATTCCCTGCCTCTCCTGATGGCTCGAGGCAGGGTACAACAAAAACACAAACATAAGAACATTTTAAAATACAATACATTACATAGATAAAAACACAAACATACATGCATACACACACCAAACACAAATACAAAATTGACATAGAGTAGCTATACACACACTCACACTTGTAGCCGAAACATACAGATTGACATATAATAGCAATATTATATATTACAATTGTGTGTATGTGTGTTTCTACTATCTTTTACGTGTGTGTATGCATACACACATGTACAAAAACAGATACAGAATTGTGTGTATGCACACACACACACACATATATATACACACACATACCAAGAACAGATACAGAATTGACATAGTAGCAATATTATATATACTACAAGTGTGTGTATGTGTATATATATATACACACACACATACTTGTATCAAAAACATACAGAATTGTGTGTGTATGTGTATATATATCTACACACACTTATATATATATACACACACATATATATGCACACACACACTTGTACATCTATTGCTACTATATGTCATATGCTACAAGTGTGTGTATAGCTACAATAAGCTACAAGTGTGTGTGTGTGTATGTATATGTATGTGTGTATGTATATGGTTTTGGTACAAGCGTATGTGTGTGTATGTGTATATATATATATATACACACACAAACGCTTGTACCAAAACCAGATACAGATACATATATAATAACGATATATATATGTATATGTATACATATACGCACATTTGTACCAAAAACAGATGCAGAATTGTCATAGTTGCAATATTATGTGTATGTGTATATATATATATACATATACACGCACCCATTTGTGCCAAAAACAGATCCGGAATTGACATATAGTAGCAATATTATATATATACACACTTACCAAAAACAGATCCAGAATTGACATATAGTAGCAATATTATATCAAACATCGATACAGAATTGACATATAGTAGCAATAGAATGTGTTTTTTATACACAAACACACACACACACATATCTCTTACAGATGCGACTCCAAACAGTAATCCCTTTATGTTCCACTTACACTTTGTATTTTTATACACAATATATGAAATACTTTTGTGCGTTGTACGCAATATTTGTAATACTTTAATATAGGAAGCAAAGATAACACTGTTTCAGCCACTGATAGGGACCATTTTGGAGTATTTTGGATAAGAAAAACTTGCCCTACACTGGCCATTGGAGAGTGAATGGTTGTGGAGGCGAGATGGTTCCTGAGCATATGCAAAGCACCTCCATTTTGCATTCATCCTTGGAATTGCAAGGAAAAGGTCTCTAAATATATGCCAGGGAAGAAGGTAATATTATTATTATTATTATTATTATTATTATTATTATTATTATTATCATCTGTGTTCTTCCATTGACCCATAAACCGCTATTATGTCTGGGCACTGTATAAACACAATACTGGCCCACTTCAGGCCTTGGTCTGCTCTGGCAGGTCTCTCTTATTTAGTATATAAAACACAAATCAAAGCTGTATGAGGATCAACACTTTGAAAATGAATTTGCTATTTATGGAAATAAGCGGAAGGAAGAGAACTGTGATAAAGACTTAAAGCTCTCAGTTGAGCTTTTCCAGATGCAGTGAAAACAAAGCCATCTCCTTAGGTCTGGCTGAGCCTTGTGATTTTAATGGGATTTCTTTTGCTGAATAAATCCTCCTTTTGAATAATAGCTTCAGAGTAATTGCTGGGCAGTGAAGTGATGTACAGAAGCGTCCTGTTAATCATTGCACAGTCGACTTCAATAGACATTGCGCTGCAAAGCAATTAGTGCCTGTCAAGAACGGAGCTAATTCCAGAAGCCAAGGCACAGTTGCTAACCCTCTGAACACTGTGGAATGCGTTTCTATACTGCATACATAACTTTATTTAACAGCCTTCCCACTCAGTTTTCAAACATGTTGCATAGAGAAAACTAGATTCCTCAGCAATTTTTGATATGGCAGTGCACAGAATAAGGCACATAGCAAAATGATAACTCTATGTAACATAATTATTGTTCCTGGGTTATAAATGTCGTTTCCAAATTGTTTCTGTCATAAAAAAAACATGGAAAAAGTTTATTAGACTGCAAAGACTGTTGTTGTGGGAGGGACATCCTCCAACACATTTTGCTATAGTTTTTTAATTAATCTCCCTTCAAGTCTCAACCAATTCAACCTAGTTTGTGGCACCCACAGAACAAAGTTACACTGGTTTTTAAAGTAAGCACCGCACAGTTAAGCAGGAAATAGCACTTTCAAACCAGGAACATAACTTTTTTTTTCCAAATTTTACCTCACAAACGTGGATTTGCCACCCTTCTGATGCTAAAATCTAGAAGAGGAGGAAGCCAGGAAGCTTGTATATTCAGTCTTCTATTGTACAAATTTATACTTTACTTTGAAATATAAAATACTGTCTCTGATATCTTTACGTCATGAGAAACATATAAATGTAAGGCATGTTCTGGATACAAAGGCTAGATACTGTATTGACTCAAGTCGAATCTAATGTACACCTCAATTTTCAAAACCCTGAAACACAAAGAAGTATTGCTGTAGCAAAAAGGGCCCTCTTATTTATTTATTTACAATATTTATATTCTGCCCTTTTTAAATGTAAGGCATGTTCTGGATATGAAGACTAGATACTGTATTGACTCAAGTCTAATCTATGTCGAATCTAATGTGCACCTCAATTTTCAAAACCCTGAAACCCAAAGAAGTATTGCTATGCCAAAAAGGGCCCTCTTATTTATTTATTTACAACATTTATATTCTGCCCTTCTCACCCTGAAGGGGACTCAGGGCAGATCACAGAACACATACACGGCAGACATTCAATGCCTTTAGACATACAGTACAGACAGATAGAGGTATGTGTCTTGGCATTTTTCCAATTTTGGCATCCTGGAGGTTATTCTCAATTCCAGCCACACTGGGGTGCTGTTACTCCATCCTCTATGGCAATGAGCCTTTTTGATCACAAACTTTCCTCCTGTTCTTTGTTCGCCAGCTTTTTTATGGTGCCACTTAATCTGTGCCTAATTTCTCTACTCACACCTACATCTGTTTTCAAACTGCTTAGGTGAATAGTAAGCTGGTCTTAAGGTCGGATGCTTACCCCGACCAGGCTCGAACTCCCAACCATCCAGTTGGGAAAGATCTATTGCTATTGGTGATTAACCAGCCCTTTTGTAATTTGGCCATTACAGTTGCTGCCTGCTTAGAATTCCTTCTTTAAAAACAAAAGTGTTAGAACCCCCAAAGCTTCCAGGAATTGAAAAGAAAACCTTGGGGTGCACTTAAGCTGTAGAATGAATGCACTGTAAGTCTTTAGTTCAATGCAGTGAAATCATGGGGGCTGTAGTTTTACAAGCTTTTGAACCTTCTCTGCCAAAGAATGCTGATGCCTTGCCAAACTACAAATCCCAGCATTGTATACCATTGAGGCATGACCATTAAATGAGAGATGAGGTCCCTCAACGAGGAGCTCCGGGTGCAGCTCCTGAAGCAACTCCCTTTTTGCTTTGTCTCAGCACTAAGATGACTGGATGATGCTAATTCACACTCAAATTTTAGCAAGGTACTTTAGCCAAAAGAAGGTGAGCATTCGATTTGAGTAAATAGGGAATTTAAATGTTCAGAAAATGTGACTGAAGACTTTTTATCTCTCTGTCAGTCAGAATCTGAACATCTGCACTTTTCATGAGTTAATCGTTTCCTGCTGCTATATTCTCTTGCTGAGCTTTTCCTTGCTCATTACTGTGCAGTTGGTTCAAAGTGTGAGCGTTAATTGCTCTCTCTTGCTTCCCCTGTTTTCAAAATGTCTTTTAAAAAAACATTCCACATCTGGGTACCTTCAGATCCTTCTGTGTTCTTTCCGCATTTATAACTTTCCACCTCCTATTTAGCGTTCTTTGATTCGTCATCACAGTGAGTTTGTGTTATCCATTTCCTCTGTTCTGCCTGAGGTTAGTCTGAGTGGCCTTGCGGAAGTAAAAAGTAGAGAAAACACAGGCCAGAAATAATTTATGGTTCAAGGAGATTAGTTAAGTCCTTAGAAAGAACTACTTGATTGTATTTTTCATGACGTTGTGTGCAGATAATCAAAAGGTTATTTTCTGGGAATTTTATTTTTAGTGATGCAGGAGCTGATATTGTCTACAGAGCATTCATGGATATAGTAAGTTTCACAAGAACCTGGCAGAATCTTGAAAATGAGAATTGCAGTCCTTTTGTTCCCTCCTTATCCTTCATACAAGTGACAGCATAGGCCTTGTCTACACTGCCATATAATCCAGTTTCTGAAACCAGTTTATCTGCTTTGAAGTGGGTTATATGAGTCTACACTGCTATATAATCCAGTTCAAAGGTCTGGATTCAGAAACTGGATTACCTGGCAGTGTAGATAATAATAATAATAGTTATTATTATTATTATTATTTATACTCTGCCACCAACTCTCCAAGGGAACTCGGGATGGCTTACATGAGGCCAAGCCCAATAGTACAGCAAATATACAACATAAAATGTAAACAATAAAATATAATGAAAATAAAAATAAATACAAAAACAGTATAATATATAAAATATAAAATCACAGTAACAGTATAGATGGGGCCTGAATTGGACTACTGTAGATAAGACAACAGTTGCTTATATTTGAATAGACAAGGGTTTATATTTTATCGTTTGGATACTGCATTGACACAGTTTTTTTTTCTCTAATCTATATTTGGAAAATGCATAACTTCTTTATAAAAACAGTTAATGGCCTACTCCACTGGCTGCCGATCCAGTTCCGAGCACAATTCAAAGTGCTGGTTTTGACCTATAAAACCCTATACGGTTCCGGCCCAGCATATCTGTCCGAACGTATCTCCCTCTACGTCCCGACTCGGAGTTTAAGATCTTCTGGGGAGGCCCTGCTCTCGGCCCCACCTCTATCACAAGTGAGGTTGGTGGGGACGAGGAGCAGGGCCTTCCCGGTGGTGGCCCCTCACCTGTGGAATTCACTCCCCGGGGAAATTGGGTCATCGACATTCCTCCTCTCTTTTAGAAGGAAATTAAAAACATGGATATGGGACCAGGCTTTTGGGTAATCTGGCAGATAGACAAAGGACAATTGACGACTAGAATTGATAGGATTTGACAATGTGGAATGAATTTACGGACTCTGAGCTGGCAAACGTTGAGCACTAGATTGGTTTTATTGATTATGATGTATAATTGATTATTTTAATTGCTGTTTATATATGCTTTATCTTATTGTTTGTGTTGGCATCAAATTGTGCCTTTTGTAAGCCGCCCTGAGTCCCCTCTCGGGGGTTGAGAAGGGCGGGGTAGAAGTGCGCAAAATAAATAAATAAATAAAATACTCTGGGTAATGGGATTCTCCACTAAATTTACTGATGCTCTGATCCAGCAAAGCTCCTATGTACTAACCCTAAGGTGTAAAAACATTATAAAGAAATGAAAATGGATTTGCTGGCTTCTGGAAAGGTAATAGGACAGCGGAATTCTTTGTTGGTGTCTTGTGTATAGCCAAAATACTTTGATTTCATTGGCATAAATAGATAATTCCTCTACCAATGCAGATCACAACTATTCCATGCTGCCATTGTGTTCATAGTTGCGTTCATCAGTAAATGGCCAACTTCCGGGTGATGGGGAAGGTTAGCTATGGATGCTTCTTTCAGCATCTACAGTGTTTTGCATAAATAGCATGTTACATAAAAAGGCATCAAGGGTTAATGTGCCATAAAGCTAAGAAATATTCAAAACAGATATTGTTATCAATGCAAGATGCTGTGAAAGCTAGAATACAGTTGAAATCAGAGTTCTTATTGGGGTTGCCAATAAGGAACAAGAGGAACAAGGCTTGAACTTGTATAAAGTGTTGGATTATATGGGAAAACTCACAAATACCAACAAAAAATGGATTTTTGAAATAGCAGAAATGGGTAAACTTTGTTTAGAGAGAAGTATTTGGATTTTTTTCTAAAGACTGGGAATGTCATGAAAAAGGGAAGAAAACACTTATACGTTTTGAATTTTGAGCGTTTTTTTGTTTAGTTATTAGGCAGAGGTTAAAATACTAGTTGAATAGTATTGAAGTGAGCAATGCTTGTACATTTGTGCTCCTGTTTGAAGGGCGAGAAGTCAATTTCAATTGTATTTCTTTCTCTGGGCAATGATGTTGGGGTAGATTAGAGTGTATTGTTAGAATTTCATTTTGTCTTTTTGTTACTTGTATTGGTTGTGTTGTGCAACTATTGTGATACTTTAAAAATAAATAAGTACCAAAGAGTTTGTGAGCACATCATAAATATTTGTGAAAAAAATATTTTCAGTTTATAGGTCAAGGAAACATACTTACAGAGCTCAAAATGGGCAGCTTGCCCAGTATCCAGATATATGTACCAGGGAGATCTTTCGTTCCGAAGATTTATTGCTAATTCCAACCAGGAGGTTTGTTAAAATGTCCTTCTGTGTGTGTGATTTTTACCACTAGTCGCTTGAAGTCGCAATCTCTAGTGGGCAGGCAGTAGTGCTTATTTAGGATTGTAGATGCGAACCCTTTTTGCACATCATGAGAATTCTGTCTTAATAAACCTTGATGTGAATGATGAACAAAATATTAGGAAGCTATTTTTGCTCCTTCTGGTCTTCTCTCTCCATGGGAGCAGGTAAAGGAACCATTCACATCCAAACTTAGAATAGTAATTAAATGTGTGAGTTAGTTTATGAATCCTGGCATATTTTGGCATACTAATAACCCCAAGCAAGGCCAGCGAAAGCATGTTTAGACCATTGTGGAAATTGTCAGGAGGCTGCAAATTTCCAGTAGTTTGTACCAGCTCCCATCGAGAATTTCCAAGCTTTTGCTTGTCCCTGATTCTGGTTTGTAGGTAAGACTAAGTCTGGATCTACACTGCCATGTAATCCCTTTCAAAGTAGATCATCTGGATTCAGAAACTGGATTTTATGGCAGTGTAGATGGGGACAACCCCTTTTTGGTTTCTTTGACTACTGTTGTCAAGGGAGAAGTCAAAGAGGAACAGATGGAAACACAGACACAAGTGTGCTGCTCATTTTTATCATATGAAGCCATAATTCCTACCTTAATGCAACTGTTTTTGTTGATGTTTATATGGATTTTATATGTATATTCTACTGGGGGCCCCTAGTGGTGCAGCAGGTTAAACTGCTGAGCTGCTGAACTTGCTGACTGAAAGGTTGGCAGTTCAAATCTAGCTAGCAGGGTGAGCTCCCACTGTTAGGGTCAGCTTCTGCCAACCTAGTAGTTCAAAAACATACAAATGTGAGTAGATCAATAGATACTGCTTCTGCAGCAAGGTAATGGCACTCCATGCAGTCATGCTGGCCACATGACCTTGGAGGTGTCTATAGACAACTCCAACTCTTCAGCCTTGAAGCGGAAATGAGCACTGCCCTCCAGAATCGGATGTGACTTGACTTAATATCAAGGGGAAGCCTTTATCTTTTAATATGAATTTTAGCAGATTAATGTTTGTTCTTGATTTCCTCCAACCTTCTGCTCCCCAAACAGATGGCAAAATGGGCTGTTCTTCCAACGACATTGGCTTTTGTGCCTATGAAAGTCTGTGCTGCATCTGAGGAGGAAACAAAATCCCATCGAGTGAAGGCACATCAGGTGAGCTTTGTAAGACCGCTTTGAGCTTTGAAAAACTGAATGGATGCACCTAAATATGGGGAAGGTTCTCCTACTTATTAAGTTTAAAGGAAACCAAATAGTGTAGCAAAATAGAGGCAGTGGTTATAGTACCTAACTTATTAGCTCTGTTCAGTGATGAGGGATGATAGGAGAACAATATAAGACAAGAGGAAAAAATTAAAAAATCTTATATCTTATATCTGGGTTGCTGTGAGCTTTCCGGGCTGTATGGCCATGTTCCAGAAGCATTCGCTTCTGACGTTTCACCCACATCTATGGCAGGCATTCTCAGAAGGTGTGAGGTCTGTTGGAAACTAGGGAAGTGAAATATCCAGGGTGGGAAAAAGAAATCTTTCCTGCTTGAGGCAAGTGTGAATGGTGCAATTTGCCATCTTGATTAGCATTCAATGGCCTTGCAGCTTCAAAGCCTCGCTGCTTCCTGCCTGGGGGAATTCTTTGTTGGAAGGTGTTAGCTGACCCTGATTATTTCTTGTCTGGAATTCCCCAGTTTCACCCACATCTATGGCAGGCATCCTCAGAAGGTGTGAGGTCTATAGGAAACTAGGCAAGTGAAATATCCAGGGTGGGGAAAAGAACTCTTGCCTGCTTGAGGCAAGTGTGAATGTTGCAATTTGCCATCTTGATTAGCATTCAATGGCCTTGTGGCTTCAAAGCCTGGCTGCTTCCTGCCTGGGGGAATCCTTTGTTGGAAGGTGTTAGCTGACCCTGAATATTTCTTGTCGGGAATTCCCCAGTTTCTTTAGTATTGTTCTTTATTTCTTTACTTTTTAAATACTGATAGCCAGATTTTGTTCATTTTCATGGTTTTCTCCTTTCTGTTGAGCTTGTGGATTTCAGTGGCTTCTCTGTGTAGCCTGACATGGTAGTTGTTAGAGTGGTCCAGCATTTCTGTGTTCTCAAATCATATGCTGTATCCAGGTTGGTTCATCAGGTGCTCTACTATGGCTGACTTCTCTGGTTGACATAGTCTTATATCTTATCTATCTATATTAAAACTGTCCTGCATTTAAGGTCGTAAAATTCACTAAAATGGTTTCAGCATTTCCCAAAAGTGAGATCTTTGAGATTGCAATTCATGATGAGCAAAATGTTTACCTCGAGCTTTGAAAGAAAAGCTTGTCTCTAAACTACAGCACAGTGGGATGAATGCTAGACATTCAGTGTTAACGGTTTTATAAGCTTTTCTAAGATGGCTGTACTTTAATGACAGCATTATTTATTCTTCTCTTGAAAATGTCTCAGTGATATAAATGCACAACATTTGGATGGTGCTTTATGACTCCCTTGGAAGTTGGAAGTAAAGATTTAAAGAATAGATGAAAAGACTGAACTGCCATCCTTTTGCAATCTGCATGTCATTTTGTGTTATTATATAGGTTTAGACAAAGAGAAGCAGAATTGTTGAAATCTTTCTCCCACTGAAGCATGGTCTTGGAAAGAGGTTTCACAATCTAGTCATAATGGTGTGAAAAGAATAGAGCAGGTCTGCAGGAGTAATCTTTTTTCCTCGCTTTCATCTACTCATCATGCTTTGTGTGCAGAGCTTCTGTGTATGGTCTGGAATCTAGGACAATGTGCATAAAGAATTGTATGTGCAATCAGGTATTGTGCATACTATTGAGTTCCTGTGAGTTTTCTGAGCAGTATGGCCATGTTCCAGAAGCATGCTCTCCTGAAATTTACCTACATCTATGGCTGGCATTCTCAGAGATTGAGGGATCTGTTGAAAACTAGGTAAGTTAGGTTTATATATTTGTGGAATGTCCAACCTCGTTTGCCTCATTTCCAACAGACCCCTCAACCTCTGAGGATGTGTGCCATAGATGTAGTGAAGCATCAGGAGAGAATGCTTCTGGAACATGACCATACAGCCCAGAAAACTCACAGCAACCCAGAGGAAAGAATATTAAGCCCTTAAAAAGATGCAAATTCTGTCTCTAGTTAGGCCAGCATCTTGTCCTTTGCTTCAAGATGAAAAATTGCAAACCTTTGCTTTGTTGTTGTGTATTGCTAAAATTATTATCATCGCCATCATATGTATTTATACCCTGCTTTTATCTCTGGAAACATGTTTCAAGATAAGGAAAGTTACCCAGTCTTGTCCTTCTTTCCCCAACTTCAGCCTCTCTGACAATTTCCCTCCTCCTTCCCCTCCAGCTTCCCATTTATAACGCGCCACCTCTTGAATCAAGGTATATTGATGAAAAGCCTGGACGCCTGCAAAATGCAATTTCATCAGTAAGAAAGACAACAAGTTCCTACATAAATGGATGCAAGGTAAGAATATGAGACAAATAGATATACTGGGAATTTCCTCATATGCGTTGACTATTCACAACACATATGGAACAGTCACAATTTTTAATCAGCTTGATAATCTATTTAGTTAGATTCTCAGTATGTTTCACATTCAGATTCTTTTTCATGTTCGGAATTGTTGGGCAAGTGGGCTTATCTCATAAAGTACAGCAGAGTAACTTATTAGCAATAGCGTGACCCAGCACCAGTAGCAAAAAGTGAAAAAAGAACAAACACACACAGACCAATGATATCTCTTTCATAGGCTTTTCTTTGTAGTAAAGTAATATGGTTACACTATTTACAATAACAAGGTTTCCATAACACAAATAAAGTGCTTTATACTTCTTTGCTTCCACGCTGGGCTTCTTTCTCATGCAGATAGACAGCTTTGCTCTCACAGAGCCTCTTCTCACACCAAAGTTACACAGGAGCTTTTACACTGAAGCTTCACACACGAGGGCCTTCAACCTGGCGCTTCCTCTCACTGAAACTTCTCACACTTGGCCTGCTAACACTGAGGCCAACCTCAACTGAGGCCTTCTCACACTGAGGCTCTCTCACACTGACTCCTCTCTCACACTGAGACAAATTAACACTGAGGCTTTCTCATACTGACACCTCCAACAGAGAGACAACTGCTTATATAGAACTACAGCTTTTGCTGATCATTGTATCCATTCAGTACTTGGTTTACATTTTTGTAATTAAAAAATGACTAAAATCACTTTTTGAAGGGCTCCGTGTTCCTCTGCAAAGCTCCCATGAGTTTAAAATGCCACAGAGAACATAAATGGAATAACTGTAGAAGTTGGCAGTTGTATTTACTCATTTATGGCACTTTTGATGTTGCCTTCTTGCTGGCAAGAATAAACACTACTTCTGTCTTAGGTTTGAATTTTGTACCTGTCTCAGAATTTTGTAATACTGGTTTATTTTCTTATTTACTTATTTACGGCATTTATATGCCATCCTTCTCACCCCGAAGAGGACTCAGAGCAGCTTACAATATATATTTCCATACAATATATTATATTATTAGCATAGTACAATATCAGTATTATATATTACTATATTGCACTATACCATTATATTGTAATATTATTAGTAATATTACATGTAATGTAAATATATAATTATAATATTGTATTATTATTACTATTATATTGTATTACATTACAATATTATACATTCAATGGTTCAAGCTCTCATTATTTTAATTTCCAGAATCGCTTCCTTATTTCTCTTGGTTCCCTAAACTTAAGGGGGTAGTGACCTCTTGTGGTGTATATTCAGAACAATGTTTAAATGTGAAGACTTTTCCCCTAGAAGTATCCAGTGGTGTGATTTAATATCCAACACCAACAGAATTTGAGCTTCCTCTCCTTCCATAGACCTTCATTCTGTTCCAAAGGGTTTTCCAGACTGCTAGAGGTATACCACAGAGTCCTAGACAAGCTAGTCTGTTACTCCAATATAATTCTATACATTTCTTAATTTGCTCAATAGCTATAAAAGAAATCTGCTATATACCAGACTCTCATTTGGGGGTGGGGCTGAAAGGAGTAGAATTCCCATGAAAAATGAAAAGCTGAAGATTGAAAAAAATATACTTTGTTATATACTTGAGAAAACAACTCTCTAGAAATCTCTAGGTCCTCCAAAGCAATTCCAAAGCAGAATATAAAGTGTATTATTATTCTTATTATTATTAGAAACACAACAAAATGAGTCCACAACAGACTTGTTGTGCTTCAAACAATAATAATAATAATAATAATAATAATAATAATTTTTTATTATTATTACTTGATCTTCTGCTGTTGTCTAGATGAAACCTGTAGCGTCAGTGTGGAAAACTAGCTTGGCAGGATATAAAAGATTTTGAACATTTTGGAGACGAACTAGGTCAGTGGCATGCTCTATTGTTGCATTCTTTTCCCCATTATTGAAACACAACAAGATGAGTCCACAGCAGACACTCTGCTGGCTGTTGAATTGAATCACACATCAGACACTTCCCAAGTGTCTAGAACTGTGTGATGTATTGGCGAATAATGCGTGCAGATCCCAGTAAGGTGGCTTTCTGCAGCTGGCAGATGGTAATGTTGTCAGCGCTGAGTGTGTTTAAGTGCAGGCTAGGTCTTTAAGCACTGCGCCCAGTGTGCCGATCACCACTGGGACCCCCTTGACTGGCTTGTGCCAGAGTCTTTGCAGTTCGATTTTTAAATCCTCGTATCGTGTCAACTTTTCCAGTTGTTTCTCTGCAATCCTGCTGTCATTTGGGATTGCAACATTGATGATCCATACTTTGTTTTTTAACACGATTGTGAGTTCAGGATTATTATTATTATTATTACTATTATTATTATATCTAGAGGTTCCAAAAGCAGACATTTTAATCAAATCCCACAAAAGCTAAATCTGCAGATGTGTAGGGCTGACTGTAGTTCCTATTGTTTCATTGATTTTTTAAGACACAGTGAAAATTTCAGTTGGAGAATAATTGCAAAGTTACCTTAAACCAATGTATACACCTATAGCAGGGGTCCTCAAACTTTTTAAACAGAGGGCCAGGTCACAGTCCTTCAAACTGTTGGAGGGCCGGATTATAATTTGAAAAAAAAATGAATTAATTCCTATGCACATTGCACGTACCTTATTTGTACTGCAAAAATCACTCAAAACAATACAATAATTAAAATGAAGAACAATTTTAACAAATATAAACTTATTAGTATTTCAATGGGAAATGTCTGCCTGCTTTTGGCTGATGAGATAGGATTTTTGTTATTGTTGTGTGCTTTCAAGTCATTTCAGACTTAGGTTGACCCTGAGCGAGGGCCGGCTAAATGACCTCTGAGGGCCGTACCCGGCCCTCGGGCCTTAGTTTGAGGACCCCTGACCTATAGTCTAATCTAACAAGGTAAAGTGTTCGAAAACACTCAAAATGTGGTGGCTTCCTATAGGGCTTTGCTTCGTAAACTGTGGTTCCCGACCCCAGATGGGGTCCTCTTGGCTCAGTGTTGAGGTCACAAAATATTTGGCAAAGTTAAACGTTTCTGAATGCCACCCATTCACACAAATCTGTGAGCAACAAAGTGCAATGTTTACAGTGGATTGTGGAGAAGATGCTTCAGCTGGAAAATCCACCTATTTAGCCAGCCTAGCAAATGCTGATTTATTATCAGTTCAAGTTATTAAGCCTATTTTGTATACATATATACCTAGGGTCATGTAAAGGGGTCATGAGTGGAAAAAGTTTAAGCAGCCCTGCTATAGTTGAGCGGTTTGTTAAACAATAGCATCTATTTTGTCTCTTTATGCATATTACATTTTGGATGCAAATTCAGAAAGGCAGCAGCATGACATTCGTCTCTCCTCCCTTTCCTAAAATGCAGTGGTTACGACAGTTGAAAAGAAGTTGTAAAGACAATGCCAGAAATTCTTAAGTTCTCTTCTTTTTGTCAAGTTAATTGAGCTTTTGTAAATAAAAGATCGGGACTTCTTGCTGCCTTCCTATACAGACGTTTTGTCTTCTATTCCATTTGCACAGGATGCTTATCTTTGGGTCAAAAATGGAATAATATCTTCTATACAGTTTGGAAAAGGTGGGTGAGTATTTTCCTCTCAAAACATGTTACCATAACCACAGGCAAATGCCAAAATATTCTTTGATAACGCATCTGCTTTCTGTGCTATTATAACTTCTTTGAAAATAATTCTGCTTACTTTTAAGATACTTATGTTTATCTGAAGAATCCACCTCCAGAGTTTCTTCCCAAAGTTGGGGTGATTACAATTTCAGGACTGACTGGGGTCGTCCTAGCAAGGAAAGGTAAGGAGTTGCTCGTTCTCCAGGTATGGCTGAACATCCCTCATCTGAAATGGTTCAAAATCTGAAAGAAGCAGAGACAGTGACAGCTTTGCTTTCCGGTAATAAAGGAAGTAGGCTTGATTGTTTGGCATCAAATTGTTGCCAATTGTTAACCACTCCGAGTCGGTCTGAGACGGGCGGTATAGAAATCTAGTAAATAAATAAATAAATAATACACCAATCGGTTCCCATGATAGGAAAGGAAATTCCACCTTATTTGTCGTGTCAGAGGCAGACCAGACATTTGCATTGCATTTTTAAAGAGACAAACAAAACACAAAGTTTGCAAGCTTGGTAGTTGATTAAATGTCCTTTGACCAGTAGCTGGCCACTTGGAGTGCTTCTGGTGTTGCCGCAAGGAGCTCCTCCATTGTGCATGTGGCAGGGCTCAGGTTGCATTGCAGCAGGTGGTCTGTGGTTTGCTCCTCTCCGCACTCGCATGTCGAGGATTCCACTTTGTGGCCCCATTTCTTGAGGTTGGCTAGGCATCTCGTGGTGCCAGAGCACAGTCTGTTCAGCGCCTTCCAAGTCGCCCAGTTTTCTGTGTGCCCAGGGGGGAGTCTCTCATTTGGTATCAGCCATGGATTGAGGTTCTGGGTTTGAGCCTGCCACTTTTGGACTCTCGCTTGCTGGGGTGTTCCAGCGAGTGTCTTTGTAGATCTTAGAAAACTTTTTCTTGATTTAAGTTGTTGACGTGCTGGCTGATATCCAAACAGGGGATGAGCTGGAGATGTCACGGCCTTGGTCCTTTCACTTTTGGCTGCTACTTCCCGGCAGATGTCAGGTGGTGCAATACCAGCTAAACAGTGTAATTTCTCCAGTGGTGTAGGGCACAGACACCTTGTGATGATGCGGCATGTTTCATTAAGAGCCACATCTACTGTTTTAGCGTGGTTCCACCTGAACATTAGAAAGAACTTTCCGACCGAAAGAATTGTTGTTCAACAGGGGAACTCCCTTCATCAGAGTCTGGTGAAAGCTCCTTTGGAGGTTTTTAAGCAGAGGCTGGGTGACCATTAGTTGGGGGTACTTTGTGCTTTTGAAATACTTGTATTTGCATATACAAATATTCAAAAAGTCCAGAGCACTTCTAGTCCCAAGCATTTTGGATAAGGGAGACTCAACTTGTAGCATCCTATTTGGTTTGAAACAGGAAGGATGTGGCCCAAAATGACCCGTCACATCCCCTGGAGGCTTCTATCAGCCCAGTTTTGTACTTTAGGGGCCAAAAGAATTTAGGGGGGGGGGGGGGCACAGAAAAACCTTTGGGGTTACATACAGCCCACTGTCTTCACTTTTCCCACCTCTTGCTTCAGTGTTTTCCTTTTGGTTTGCTGCAGGTTCTCGATTAAAGAAAATTGCTTATCCTGCAGGACTTTGCGCATTGGGGATATCACTCTGCTATCCAGCCCAGTCAGTAATTTTTGCAAAGGTAAGCTCGCTAGGAGTAGTGAATTTTTGTCATGCTTTCCAGGGGGTTTTGTTGCTGTTGTTGTTTTAGAAACTTGCTCTTCATAAAAGGTTAGCATTTTAGTTGAAAACCTCTAATAGGTTGTCATCTGTAATAATAATAATAATAATAATAATAATAATAATAATAATCTTTATTTAATACCCCGCTACCATCTCCCCAATGGGGACTCGGGGCGGCTTACATGAGGCCAAACCCAACGGCATATTACAATAAAATAAAACCAAAACACAATAACAACACAGTAAAATACATACAACATATGAGTACAAAGATGTTAAAGCAAAATCATACACAGTAAAATAAAATAACATAACATAACAATGAGCAGGCCGCATGTGCAAGATAAAAACTAAGATACTAAAAATACTAAAATCAGGATGAGATAGGGATGGAGCAGATTGTTTGTGGGGGAGAAATTGCAATTTTTTTTCTTCCGTTGTTGGTTGCATCAAGCAGTTTTATTGGAGAAGTCAATTAATTTTGCCTACGTCCGAATATTTTTAAAACTTATGTTTAAAAATATTTTTAAAACTTGTGTTCAATACCAATAACGTTTCTAAAATTAACCTAGGTGACAGGCGGGAAGGTTTACGCTGCAAGCCATAAAACGTATGAAGCAATAGGATCCCTATGGACGAAAAAATCTCCTGCAGAAGGAGGACTTGCCCAGGAAAAAGTTACTCAGGTGGGTTCTCTTCTATATCGAAAGCTTGTTTTAGTAACACAGAGGTGCACGTTCTCTCATTCACATTGTATTTAAAGCACTCAGGCAGAAAGGATTACAAAAGTCATGGCACCACAATTCATGATTTTTTTAAAATCCAGGTATGGCTGAACAATAAAACAATTTTATTGTTAGCAATGTAGGCTATATTAGATTGGTTTGTGGAATGAAATTTCCAAACTTCCATTTGTTTGTAATGTTACATCAATAGAGTAACATGCTGTCAACGCATGTGGCATTTTCTCCAGGAATATAAGCAAAAAGAAGGCCCCAGCCACAAAGTTTCTTAACTAAATTTAGAACTCGGTTTTAAAAAATCTAAATGAGCTGATAGATTACATTCATACACATTTAAAGATGTAGGAAGATCCTGAATCCTATTGTGTCATCTAGACCAGTATTGCTTCTCTGACATTTGCTCCCTAGAGCAGTTTTCTCAACCTTCCTAATGCCATGACTCCTTAATACAGTTCCTCATGTTGTGGTGACCTCCAACCATAACATTATGTTCGTTGCTACTTCATAACTGTAACTACTGTTAGGAATCGTCATGTAAATCTCTGATATGTAGGATGTATTTTCATTCACCGGACCAAATTTGGCACATATACCCCATATGCCCAAATTTGAATACTGGTGAGGTTGGGGGGCAGGATTGATTTTTGTCATTTGGAAGTTGTAGTTGCTGGGATTTATGGTTCACCCTACAATAAAAGAGCATTCTGAACTCCACCAGTGATGGAATTGAACCAAACTTGGCACACAGAACTCCCACGACCAACAGAAAATACTTGAAGGGTTTGGTGGGCATTGACCTTGAGTTTTGGAGTTATAGTTCACCTACATCCAGAGAGCATGGTGGACTCAAACAATGATGGATCTGGACCAAAGTTGGCGCGAATCCTCAATATGTCCAAATGTGAACACTGGTGGAGTTTATGGAAAATAGACCTTGACATTTGGGAGTTATAGTTGCTGGGATTTATAGTTCACTCTACAATCAAGGAGCATTCTGAACTCCACCAATGATGGAATTGAACCAAACTTGGCACACAGAACTCTCATGACCAAGGGAAAATGGAAGGGTTTGGGGGGCATTGATTACGAGTTTGGGAGTTGTAGTTCACCTACATCCAGAGAGCACGGTGGACTCAAACAATGATGGACCTGGACCAAACTTGGCACAAATACTCGATTTGCCCAAATGTGAACACTGGTGGAGTTTGGGGAAAATAGACCTTGATATTTGGGAGTTGTAGTTGCTGGGATTTATAGTTTACTCTACAATCAAAGAGCATTCTGAACTCCACCAATGATGGAATTGAACCAAACTTGGCACACAGAACTCTCATGACCAAGGGAAAATAATGGAAGGGTTTGGTGGGCATTGATTATGAGTTTTGGAGTTGTAGTTCACCTACATGCAGAACACATCATGCAATGTGTGGGGCTTGAGGAATGCAAGGCTGGGGGTGGAGTCAAACAATGATGGATCTGGACCAAACTTGGCACAAATACTCAATTTGCCCAAATGTGAACACTGGTGGAGTTTGGGGAAAATATATTTTGATATTTGGGAGTTGTATTTGCTGGGATTTATAGTTCACCTACAATCAAAGAGCATTTTGAACTCCACCAATGAGAGAATTGAGCCAAACTTTGCACACAGAACCCCCATGACCAACAGAAACTACTGTGTTTTCTTATGGTCTTTGGCAACCCCTGTGACACCTTTCCTCGCGACCCCCCAGGGGTCCCGACCCCCAGACTGAGAAACACTGCCCTAGAATCTCAAATTTAAGACTTTCCCATCAATTCCTCCACAGTTCTTGTAACAAAATGCCAGGAATTAACTCTTTCGTCAGTCTTTAATACAGTGTGTAATTCTTAGTATTCTTTTTACAATGGTTTTATGCTTAATTATAGGAAGTTGCAAGGCCGCTTTCAGAGACACGGCCGAGCATCTCAAGTGCTGCCAAGATCATCCGGGAGTCAGAGGGAAAAGCATTGGCAATGCAGTCTGATGCAGAGAAGGCTCTTCACCGGGAAGAAGCCATGTCTTTGGCAGAAGGGAAGGGTTCCACTGTCAAATCAGGTATTGTTGGGGAATCTGAGCTTTAAAACAACCCTCCATTGGGGTGATTACACCATAAATATAGCAGAGTACCAGAAGTAGACTTCATAACCAGTAGAAACTAACATGTGGTGAGCTAGGATAGCCATCTATAACTTAGGATGGATCAGGATTGCAGAATCAAAGTTATTTATTGAAGTAAAACAAATACATTCTTGTATTGTCGAAGGCTTTCATGACCGGAATCACTGGGTTGTTGTAGGTTTTTTCGAGCTATATGGCCATGTTCTAGAGGCATTCTCTCCTGACGTTTTGCCTGCATCTATGGCAAGCATCCTCAGAGGTAGTGAGGTCTGTTGGAACTAGGAAAATGGGTTTATATATCTGTGGAAAGACCAGGGCAGGACAAAGAACTCTTGTCTGTTGGAGCTAGGTTTGAATGTTTCAACTGACCACCTTGATTAGCATTTGATGGCCTGGCAGTTGTTTGGTGTGGCTTGTTGGTGCCTGGGCAATCTTTTGTTGAGAGGTGATTAAATGTCCCAGATTGTTTCCTCTCTGTTGTTTTGCTGTTATAATTTTAGAGTTTTTTAATACTGGTAGCCAGATTTTGTTTATTTAATAATAAATAATAAATAAATATTTTTATGGTTTTGTTCATTTTTGTCCATTTTCAACAGAAAGGAGAAAACCATGAAAATGAACAAAATCTAGCTACCTGCATTAAAAAAACTCTAAAATTACAACAGCAAAACAACAGAGGTGAAACAAACAGGGACATCTAATCACCTCTCAACAAAAGATTGCCCCAGGCACTGCCAGGCCATCAAATGCTAATCAAGGTGGTCAGTTGAAACATTCACACCTAGCTCCAGCAGACAAGAGTTCTTTGTCCCACCCTGGTCATTTCTCGGATATATAAACCCGTTTTCCTAGTTCCAACAGACCTCACAACCTCTGAGGATGCTTGACTTAGATGCAGGCGAAATGTCAGGAGAGAATGCCTCTAGAACATGGCCATATAGCCCGTAAAAACCTACAACAACCCAGTGATTCCGTGAAAGCCTTGGACAATACAAGAATGTATTTTTTTACTTCAATAAATAATTTTGATTCTGCAATCCTGATCCATCCTAAGATATAGAAGGTTATCCTAGCTCATCACATGTAAGTTTCTACTGGTTATGAAGTCTACTTCTGGTACTCTTCTATATTTATGGTGTAATCACCCCAACAACCCATATACTTTCTTGATAGAAAAGATCTTGGAGATAACCAGCTCATTAAATCTCATCTTCTAAAGGAGGTAAAAGATAAAAAGATCCAAGCAGCTACGTTTTGTCTAGAAAGAGGCAAAATGTGTCCTTACTGGAAGGAAAAAATGACAAAAGAGACTGGAAAATGGCGGAGAGACCGCATAGTGAACCCAAAGGAAATAAAACTTTAAAGAGGAAGTTCCCTCACAGAATTCCATTGCTACATCATCAAAGAGGGAGGAGAGACAGTGGCAAGGAGGAAAAGTAAACACAAAGCCCTTTCTGGGAAAACATGTATAGGAATGTATAGGGAAAACATGTATGGGGGGGGGGGAGGAATCCCTCAGCCTAATCCTATCTCTAGTCTAGCTACTCACTGAGGTCTGGAAACTTGATGGCACAAGAGACTTGTGCAGTCCAGGGATGAAACTCGACAGGTATCACAGATAGATTAGCACCATTGCTCAGATTTTATTTTATTAAGAACTACTGTTATTAATAAGGGAAATGGGAGCAGAGGTGGAACTGTAGCAAACACTTGGGATTTTGAGACCCATTTGAGAATGCTTGTTGCTAATTCGGGCGTTGGATTTATTACTATCAACCGTGTGTTTTGCAGATGTGCTGAAAGCCTCAAAGTTTAAACCAGATCCCAGGCTCATGGACCACGGCCAGTCCAGTCCAGAAGATGCAGATTTGTACAGCACCAGAAGCTAACACACCAAATTTCAGTCTTCAGGCAATACTTAATGATGGACATTAAAATGGGAGTGTTACAGAATTAGGCATTGTACTTTGTTGTTTGATCAGGCCTTTCCTTAACTCCACTTTTTACAACCAATTTATTCTCTTTGTTTTGTCATCCATCTTTTTTTTTTTTACGATTTTCTACTGTCAAAATTGTTTTCTGGTTTAGGGGAGGGGGTTCTTTCAGCATCATTGGCTTCCGTAGTCAGGTGTCAGGTGATACTGTCATGCCTGCTTAGTAATTAATTGCAAATTAAATGTAAAATAAGGTTTGGATTGGTAGGCCCAGCTAGAGTAGACGTGGCCTGTTTCTTGACTGATGAGTACATCTCATTGATTCAATGGGTCTGCTTCATTCCGATGAACAATGGGATTAAGATCTTGATTTTTACCTTGCTTCTGCATAATAGTAATTAAACAATATTAAAACATTCTTTATCTTTGTACTGAACTATGAGCTTAACTTAAATTCCCCAATATTTTGGTAAAAAGGAAAAAGAGGATGGAGGTAATCATAAAATAAGTTAAGTATTTGTTATGCTTGGGATCAGAGGTGTTTCAGATTTTGGAATATTTTCATGTTTGTGGTCTGTCCCAAAAGTAATGAGAATGATTTTTTTTTTTACAAGCATGTGGACAATTTCAAGAGAAAGGAGGAAACCATAAAAATGAACAAAATCTCACTAACAATGTATTAAAAAATCTCTAAAATCAGGACAGTAAATAAAGAGCAACACTAAAAAAACAGAGATATTTCAGACAAGAATCAATCAGGGCCAGCTAACACCTCCAAACAAAGGATCCCCAGGCCGCAACCAGCCAGGCTTTGAAGCTGCAAAGCCATTCAATGCTAATCAAAGTGGCCAATTACAACATTCACACTTGCCTTTCTCCCACCCTGGACATTATTCCACATATATATATAAACCCCACTTATCTAGTTTCCAACAGACCTCACAACCTCTGAGGCTACCTGCCATAGATGTGGGCATAACGTCAGGAGAGAATCATAGAATCAAAGAGTTGTAAGAGACCTCATGGGCCATCCAGTCCAACCCCCTGCCAAGAAGCAGGAATATTACATTCAAAGCACCCCTGACAGATGGCCATCCAGCCTCCTTTTAAAAGCTTCCAAAGAAGGAGCCTCCACCACACTCCAGGGCAGAGAGTTCCACTGCTGAATGGCTCTCACAGTCAGGAAGTTCTTCCTTATGTTCAGATGGAATGCTTCTGGAACATGGCCACACAGCTCCGAAAACTCAGCAACCCAGTGATTCTGGCCATGAAAGTCTCCAACAGCACAGTGCAATTACAGTTTATTGCAGACCTGCAGCCCTCCAGGTGTTTGGGTGTCCAACTCCCAGAAGCCCTTGCTCAGTGGTCAGGAATTCTGGGAGCTAAAGTCCCAAAAGGTTGAAGAGGTTCATCCTTTTGAAAATAGGCTCCTTGTGCATGAATGCAGCGATCCCAGCATTGCTTCCCCTTTTCATAGCAGTGGAGGAAGCCTACAACTGATAAAGTGTTCAAAGTCTTTGTTGCAACTGGCTGGACATGCCCATCTGTCCCAAAATGCTATCTTTTGAGGTGGGTTTTGAGTTTGGGGAATAATGAAATCACATGGATCCAAGTCAAAGGTGTAGGGCAGGTGGAGAAGCCTTTGGAACAGCCTTCACACAAAGAATCACATGGTTCTCAGCTCTTGAAATGGAAGGAAGTGGCTCCAAATTTGCATTCTCGCCAGTGAAAAAGCAAAAACTACTCTGCCAGCTTGCTGACATACCAAGGAAGACCCAGCTGTCTGCCTGGGTTCTTCCTCCACCTGATGCAACCTCCACTTCCCTTTCCTGGCTCTTCCGCACTGCATGCTGTTAGTAAGGAGTTCACCATGCTCAAAGCACTCACCAGGAAACCAGTCGTGGTATTAAACAGTTTGTTTATTTATTTATTTATTTATTTATTTATTGTCCTGTCAGGAGCGACTTGAGAAACTGCAATTCGCTTCTGGTGTGAGAGAATTGGCCATCTGCAAGGACGTTGCACAGGGGACGCCCGGATGAATTGATGTTTTATCATCCTTGTGGGAGGCTTCTCTCATGTCCCCACATGAGGAGCTGGAGCTGATAGAGGGAGCTCATCCGCCTCTCCCTGGATTCAAACCTGCGACCTGTCGGGCTTCAGTCCTGCCAGCACAGGGGTTTAACCCACTGCGCCACCGGGGGCTCCCGGTTGATAAAACACATATAAGAAAGGGCCAGAAGCACCTTAAGCAAATAATAGAGTAAAAATGCAAGTGTTTATATAGAAAGCAAGTTCCATAGGGGAAAGATAAATCCCAAAAACAAGAGTTAAAACTTGAACATTAATCTAGAAAACAAGGAACAAAACAAGAGCTTGAATCCATGGGAAAATCCTTAACGCAGGAAGCAAAACTTGACTAGGAATCTTGGGCCTCGAGTTTAGAGCCTAACTAGGAACAAGACAGGAGTTTCTCACTCTATCAAGTCTACGTAGGATCTTAAAAAGCAAAGGCCCTGAATGTTACACTCATGTCTAACTGCTAGTTATTTATGCACCTTCACCATCATCCACACACCAAACCTGGAGACAAGCAACATAATCTCATGCATACTTACCTAACAGTAAGTTCCATTGTGTTCTACCAAGGCTCTCCCTCCAAGTATGTGTGCAGGAGGAATTGGATAATAGTGCAGACACTCATTCCACATTGCCCAAGGTATGAATAGTGTCTATGGGACTCATAGAATCGAAGAGTTGGAAGAGACCTCATGGCCATCCAGTCCAACCCCCTGCCAAGAACCAGGAATATTGCATTCAAATCACCCCTGACAGATGGCCATCCAGCCTCTGTTTAAAAGCTTCCAAAGAAGGAGCCTCCACCACACTCCAGGGCAAAGAGTTCCACTGCTGAACGGTTCTCACAGTCAGGAAGATCTTCCTCATGTTCAGATGGAATCTCCTCTCTTGTAGTTTGAAGCCATTGTTCCATTGTGTCCTAGTCTCCAGGGAAGCAGAAAACAAGCTTGCTCCCTCCTCCCTGTGGCTTCCTCTCACATATTTATACATGGCTATCATATCTCCTCTCAGCCTTCTCTTCTTCAGGCTAAACATGCCCAGCTCCTTAAGCCGCTCCTCATAGGGCTTGTCCTCCAGACCCTTGATCATTTTAGTCGCCCTCCTCTGGACACATTCCAGCATGTCAATATCTCTCTTGAATTGTGGTGCCCTTCCCTAGAACTGTTTCATTTTGTGACTTTTGTGAAGTTTTATTTATTTTTATTTTCTTTGTTGCATTGATGCTACTTTTCTTTCTTTCTTTCTTTTTCAAGATCTAAAAATCCTAACAGCTTTTCCCCTAATTTAAGGGCTATAATACATGACAGCATTCTGTTGACCTTGAGAGGCCTCCTTCTGCCTCTCCTTCCCATGGCTTTGCTTGCACTTGAATTTCTTCCATCGCAGGAGCAGCCTGGTATCTCTGTCTAAGGCAGCTGCTTCTTCCGATGCGCTCGTTATCCTCCCTTCCCTGCCTGTCAGCTTCCAAAGCAGTTTCATTCCCACACTCAGAAACAACATTGTCCTAATTGCCCTTCAAAAACGGCATTTAGACAATGATGAAAGTAAAAGAAAGATGCTTTACTTCAGAAAACACAAAGGATAAGTAAATGCAATTGAAAAATGCAAAAGAAAACAAGGAAGTCTTAATCCAGACACAAAGTCTCTTACAAAGTCCCAAAAGAAACACCAGTCTTCCATCAGACAACAGGCAATGAACTAAGTCCTTAGCAGCAGACACAAAGATTCCATTGGAGTGAAAACATCTGTATCAGGGTTGTTACCAGCAAAAGCTGACTGCTCCTGCCTCTGATTTATAGCCCTGAATTTCCCACGCAGGAGGTGCTAGGGTGTCTCCCAATTTGCTCAGTTTTTAGCAGCTATTCTGGCTGAACGCCATCTGTGCTCTGTCTCTTCGTCTCTCTAGAAATGTGGGCACTTTCAAACCCTCACCGTCTAATTCTTCTTCTCCCTTCAATTCCTGAGCACTTCCCTGTTCCCCTTCCTCCTCCAAAGATGAGGAATCCCTAACAAACATTTTGCTCCAAAACCCTTTCCTTTCTCCCAACCGGAGAACCATCTTGCTCCAACACCCCTCTGTTTGGGCACCACAGAACCATCAGGCCCTGCATCCCCAAACCCCTCAGCAGCTGGCTGAACTACAATAGGCAAGCCTGTACACGAAATGAATGCTTTGAGTTCATTTTTGTTGTGAAAACCCGCCATATTGCTCAGATCACTGGGTGTGGTTTTCTTGCTCAGGCATCGCCGAATGAAAGCTATGTGACGCAAGCATCACTGCATTGCATTGGCAAGAGGGGTCAAAGTCTATTTTTCTCCATGGCATAACATCCTTTGCATACACATGCTGGAGCTGGTCCCAGCACACAGGTCCATTGACTATTTCCTTGTATTGGAAACTAGCCGTCCCCTGCCATGCGTTGCTGTGGCCCAGACTGGTGATCTGGAAAATTAAATAATGGTTTCTAATCTATGTAATTTCTTTATGCTTGTAGGTAAACAGTATTTCTTGTTGTTTCTTTGTCAGTGTTGATGTGGAGATTGTCTGGTTTGCCTACTCTGGAACATGCAACATATCATTGTCCTTCTTTAGGGGTCCCTTTCAAATCTATGATACTATATCTGTGTGTGTGTGTGTGTGAATCATATATATCTATATCTATGGCTGAATGGCTCTTTGTCAGGAGGGCTTTGATTAGATTTTCTTGCCCTGGTGAAGAGAGTTGGACTGGATGGCCTTAAGTATTTTCTGTTGGTCATGGGGGTTCTGTGTGGGAAGTTTGCCCCAATGCTGTAGGCTGTGAGGTTCAGAATGCTCTTTGATTGTAGGTGAACTATAAATCCCAGTATCTACAACTCCCAAATGTCAAGATCTATTTTCCACAAATTCCATCTATGTGCATATTTGGGCATATGGAATATTTGTGCCAGGTTTGGTCCAGACCCATCATTGTTTGAGTCCACAGTGCTGTCTGGATGTAGGTGAACTACAACTCCAAAACCAAAGGACACTGCCCACCAAACCCTTCCATTATTTTCTGTTGGTCATGGGAGTTCTGTGTGCCAAGTTTGGTTGAATTCCATCGTTGGTGGGGTTGAGAATGCTCTTTGATTGTAGGATGAACTATAAACCCCAGAAACTACAACTCCCAAATGACAAAATCATTTTTTTTTTTTTAGTGAAGGACATACATTGGGTTCTTAGGTGTCTTGTGTCCAAATTTGGTGTCAATTCATCCAGTGGTTTTTGAGTTATTTAATCCCACAAATGAACATTACATTTTTATTTATATAGATGAAGCCTCGACTTCCGTGGCCAGTGTTTTCTGCCACTGCTTAATAGCACCCCCACTTACCAGGTCTTCTACCTGATTGTTGTGAATGAAAAGCAAAAGTCCAGCAAGGACAAATAATCACAGCACTGACATATCAAAAAAATAAGTCAAAACGCTTTTAATTTCTGTTGTTGTTCATGCTAATCCTGCTTCACAGACACGGTGTAGCAGGAAGCTTTATTGCGAGGGAAGTTTTGCGAACCGGATGGTCTTTGCAGCACTCCGCAATTGGGAGGAGTACAACGGCAGCCGTCCTCCTTATTCTCCGGAAGCCATTCTGATAAGGTTTTCTTTGTCAAATCGGAAAAGATGCCAGCCTTCTTCAGTGGAAAGGTCAGAAGCCCCACGCCTCATATAGTACTCTATGGATGGTTTGTTCCAAACGACAACAAGGAAATGCATGCAATTACACCGGGTTTCGATGGCTATCTGTTGAAATATAAATATTTGTGATTTCGTTTTGTGAAGGGATGCATCATGCGCTATCTAAAGCATGGATTATTACTATTGTACAAGGGATGGGAATCATTCATGGAGCCCTTTAAGGGAGGCCCACATGTACCAGAGACTTGTGCTAAAATAGCTCTCTCTCTGTCTTATATACGACACACACATATGAATATAGAAATTAATACTACTATATTTCTTCAATTCTAAGACACACTTTTTTCCAACATAATAATCTCTAAAAATGGGGTATGTCTTGGAATCGCAGGTGTATTTTTGTTCATGGTGGTGGTCCTGAAATTGAAGGGTGTCTTACAAGGGAAGGAATACAGCTTTTTGTCCAAGCAGCCCTAATTAAAACATAATTTATGTATGCACACTCAAACAGGTAGAATTAACAGGTAGTTTAAAATTACTCCACTATAACCCAAGTTTTTCAGCCCTTATTTTAGGCTAAAAAAGCCCCCCTCGGCTTATACTCGAGTCAAAGTTATTTGTTATTTTACTCTATTATTAATATTATTATTACATTTATTATTTTACTCTATTACTGTTATTATTACATTTACATTATTTTATTCTTATTCTTATTCTTATTACATTTATTATCTTATTCTATTGTTTTTATTACATTTATTATTTTACAGTATTTTTATTTATTACATTTATTATTTTACTCTATTATTGTTATTATATTTACATTATTTTACTCTATTATTTTTATGAAATTTATTGTTTTTCTTTATTGTTATTACATTTATTATTTTACTCTATTATTACTATTACATTTCCATTATTTTATTCTGTTATTATTATTTTATTTCATGTATTAGTTTACTCTTTTTATTATTATTATTACATTTACATTATTTTACTCTGTTATTAATATTAATATTACATTTACATTATTTACTCTATGCTTATTCTTATTGCATTTATTATTTTATTCTATTGTTTTATTACGTTTATTATTTTACAGTATTTTTATTTATTACATATATTATTTTACTCTATTATTGTTATTACATTTATTATTTTACTCTATTATTACTATTACATTTCCATTATTTTATTTTATTATTTTATTACATATATTAGTTTATTATTATTATTATTATTATTATTATTATTATTATTAACATTTCCATTATTGTACTTTGTTATTATTATTACATTTATTATTTTACTCTATTATTATTATTATTACCTTTACATTATTTTACTCTATTCTTATTCTTACATTTATTATTTTATTCTATTGTTTTTATTACGTTTATTATTCTACAGTATTTTTATTTATTACATTTATTATTTTACTCATTATTACTATTACATTTCCATTATTTTATTCTATTATTATTACTTTATTACATTTATTAGTTTACTCTTATTATTATTACATTTCCATAATTGTACTTTATTATTATTATTATATTACATATATTGTTTTGCTCTATTATTACTGTTATTACATTTCCATTATTTTACTCTATTATTGTTGTTGTTGTTACATTTATTATTTTACTCTCTATTATTATTGGAAGGATACATAAGTGCATTTACATTGAAGAAGGTTAGAATAATGATTTAATCAGAGTTGGACAGTCTTACCTTAATTTACAGTGTTATGTAAATATTCAAAAACAGTTCACCTACTAATGTTGCCTCAATTAATGTAATTTTATTGATATCTATTTTTATTTTGAAATTTAACAGTAGCCACCCTTGGCTTATACTCGAGTCAATACGTTTTCCCAGGGTTTTTTATGGTAAAATTTGATGCCTCAGCTTATATTTGGGTTGGCTTATACTCGAATATATATAGTAACTACCCAGCTGTAGCCATGAATTCACAGTCAGCCCTTTGCATTTATGGGTTTAATGTCTGCACATTTGATTAAGTCCTCCAGCAGAATTCTATGCTCAATTTTTCGTAAAAGTCCATTTTAGAGTTGCATTTTAATTAATTTTTTTCTACTTTCATAGTCAATCCTATGGGAAAGTAGAGGGCATTCTATAGTCATAAATATAGGATCGAGACAGAAAAATATAATGCATCCTAGGAGAATCCTGATATAAACTGGCACGACTAAAAGCTCTAGCCTGTGTTGTGACTCCTTTGGGCATTGAAAGGTTCAGGCAAATGGCTCAGCAGAACAGGGCTTTTCAATTCCATAGAGAGCGGAGACTCCCATTCAAGTCATTAGTCACTAAGTTGCCTCATTAATAATTCCTGCAAAACCATTTAGCGAGCAGAGTGCTCTCCTGGTCCAGAGCCAAGCAAAAAGCATAGTAGATGAAGTGAGGCAGTATTCCCCACTTCAGAAGGCGGGATGTTTTGCTTAAGGTCATCCCTCCTTAATTGTTGAGAAAACTCTCTGAAACAAGTTTTCTTGGTTTTGATGAGAACATTTCCAGATTGGTAACTCTTCCCCCATATTCCAAAGTAAAGAATTCAAAACTTAGGTCACTTTTTTAAAAACAGAGGTGATTTCAATTTTTAAAAAGGACAGATTTGCAGATTTGTCCGAATCTTTAGTACAGATATTGTGACGGCGCGAGTGGTGCCACCTATATGTGAAACTTTAATTTGCAAAGGTTTGAACTGTGTAACATGCCTGTTTACTCTGTAAATGTATAGTTGGATTGATTGGTTATTTATAGCTGTCAATCAATGTTGTTTGCACTAGTTGAATTGCTCCCTCAGCTCAATTGTTTGGCCCCACCTCTTCCTAGAAGAGGAGGGTAGTGTTTCCTTCTTCATTCTACCATCAGACCGCTTTATAGACGGACGTGAGAAAGACTTGGCGCTAAAGCCCTTGTTTTAGGCTATCTCTCATCACCAATTCTCAGGTTTTTACCCTTGAGACTCACACTTCATGCCCAGATCTTCCTGGATGACGTTGAGGAGTCTCAAGTGCCTTCAAACCAGTCCTTTGGCACCAGAGGAAGACTTTGTGCCTTCAAATATGGGCCATTTGGACTGGGGTTGTGGATTGCTCAGGCAGTCACAGCCATTGAGAAAGAGGGAACTTGGAAAGCTTCTCAGCTTGAAAACTCCTTGGACCCAAGACTTCAGAGACTGTAACGTATATTTTCTTTATCCCTGTTGAAACATCAAGTTTATGCCTAAGAAAGATAACTCATTGTGAACAATAAAGACCATTTTGAGTTATCTGTTGGGTCTTGGTCCTTGGGAGTTCCAGTTTCCTAAAGGAGGGCAAGAAGAATCCCCTGGGGAGAGATGTCACATCCATGTTTCTTTCACTAAGATCTATAGACCCCACGGCACGACGGCACAGATATCAACATGGAGTTTGGACAAATGTTTGACAGTGGCACTGAAGAAGGGAAAAATCATTGAAAGTGAGGGCATAAATATGCCCAATGGCCAAGCAATCAAGTGTCACCAGCCAGAGGCCTATAAATATCTGGGCATACTACAGCTGGACAACATCAAACATGAACATGTGAAAACTGTGGTCAACAAAGAATACATTCAAAGGGTCAGAAAAATTCTCAAAAGCAAGCTCAATGGAGGCAACACCATCAAGGCCATAAACACCTGGGCCATACCTGACATAAGATATACTGCTGGCATCATAAACTGAACGCAGGCAGAACTGGACAATTTGGACAGAAAAACTAGAAAACTCATGACCATTCATAATTCATTACATCCTTGCAGTGATGTTGACCAGCTCTATCTGCCTAGAAAGTCTGGTGGCAGAGGACTTTTACAAGTCAAACAAGCAGTTGAAGAAGAAAAACACGCCCTGGCAGAATATGTCAAGGAAAGCCAAGAACCTGCTTTAATTGAAGACAATAATCTGAAACTTCTCAAAGCACAGCAGACAAAGGGTCAGTACAAGAAAACTGCACTCCAAACCAGAGCTGACAGCTGGCACAACAAAGCCTTGCATGGACAGTTCCTTGAGAAGATTGAAGGAAAAGTTGACGAGGAAAAGACCTGGTGATGGCTCATGAATGGTATCCTGAAGAAGGAGGCAGAAGAAGGCCTGATTCTTGCAGCCCAGGAGCAAGTCATCAGAACCAATGCCATTAAAGCCAGGATTGAAAAATCAGCGGATGACCCAAAATGCAGACTGTGCAAGGAAGCTGATGAAACCATGGACCATCTCCTCAGCTGTTGCAAGAAAATCGCACAGACGGACTACAAAGAAAGACACAACTCTGTGGCCCAGATGATTCACTGGAACTTATGTCACAAGTACCACCTGCCAGCAGTAAAGAATTGGTGGGATCATAAACCCGCAAAGATAGTGGAAAATGAACAAGCAAAAATACTGTGGGATCTTGGAATCCAAACTGACAAAGTTTTGGAACACAACACACCAAACATCACGATTGTGGAAAAGAAAAAAGTCTGGATTATTGATGTTGCAATGAGGAAAAACAACAGGAAAAACTCAGTTACTATCAAAACCTCAAAATCGAACTGCAAAGGCTCTGGCAGAAACCAGTCCAGGTGGTCCCAGTGGTCATTGGCACACTGGGTGCCATGCCAAAAGATCTCAGACGGCATTTGGAAACAATGAACATCGACAAAATCACAATCTGTCAACTGCAAAAGGCCACCTGACTTGGATCTGCGTGCATCATTCGAAAATACATCACACAGTCCTAGACGCTCGGGAAGTGTTCAACTTGTGATTGTGTGATACAAAATCCAGCATATAGATCTAATTTGCTGTGACATACTGTGGTTTTGTGTCAATAATAATAATAATAATAATAATAATAATAATAACTAATATAGATAAACAGAACAAAAATCAGAATATTAAAACACAGAAAATTGATCCCAGTGGGCAGGGCCAATTGTGAAAGATTAAAATTTAAAACACTCGGTGAGAGAGCAATATAATGTATCAAGGACACGGTAAAGGTAAAGGTTTCCCCTTGACATTAAGTCTAGTCATGTCCAACTCTGCAAGGTGATGCTCATCTCCATTTCTAAGCCAAAGAACCAGCGTTGTCCGTAGATACTTCCATGGTCATGTCGCCACCATAACTGCATGGAACGCCGTTGCCTTCCCGCAGAAGCGGTACCTATTAATCTACTCACATTTGCATGTTTTCAAACTGTTAGGTTGGCAGAAGCTGGGGATAACAGTTCAGCAGCTCAGCGGTTTAACCCACTGTGCCACCATAGGCTCCTTTTGCAGGTGGGAAACCTATAATATAAAAGCTTTGTAAATTGAATTCAAAGTCATGCCCATGGAAACTGGGTGCTGGACTGGAAACTAAGCAAAACATTGTCCCAAAATGCCCCTCTTCCTTAATACTTTCTGGCTGGAGAAAACATATAGTAGCAGCATTGCATCAACCCTATGTGTTGTCAAGTAGTGGATTTCCCAAACCTTGACAAAAAAGCATTTGTTAGAAAACGAAATTGGAAAAGGAACATTGAGATTGCTTTGTAAGAAACCATGATGTTTCTTATATAAACAACTTCCTGGAGTGTGCCTGTAATGTGGTGTTGTTGTTGTTGTTGTATTGAATGAAAGAACTACTTGCCTGGCTTAATCGTTTCAAGAGTTCTGTCCCAATGCCCCAACCTGTCAAAACATGAATGGACAAAAGTTCAGTTTTCTGGTCATACAAATTATTTAGATGCATAGATTTGAGACACTTGAGGTGTTAATTTATTTATTTTATTTAAAACATTTATATTATATTTGAATTCGTATATGCATACATAAACATTTAAAACATTTATCTCAATATTAAAATATACATTTAAAACTGTCCTCGTCTCTTGTCTGTTGGAGTCAAGTGTGAATGTTGCAAATGGCCATCTTGATTAGCAAATAATAATAATAATAATAATAATAATAATAATCGTTATTTGTACGCCGCCACCATCTCCCCAATGGGGACTCAGAATGGCTTACATGTGGCCAAGCCTTGCAGCTTCAAACCGAACACCTCTCAACAAAGGATTCCCCCAGGCAGCAACCAGCCAGGCGTTGAAGCTGCAAGGCCATTAAATGCTAATCAAGATGGCCATTTGCAACATTCACACTTACCTCCAACAGACAAGAGTTCTTTCTCCCACCCTGGATATCATTCCACAGATATATAAAACCCCACTTTGCCTATTTTCCAACAGACCTCACAACCTCTGAGTATGCTTGCCATAGACGTGGGCGAAACGTCAGGAGAAAATGCTTCTGGAACATGGCCATACAGCTCGGAAAACTCGCAACAACTCAGCGATTCTGGCCATGAAAACCTTCGACAACACATTTGAAGTATTGGTTGGAATTATATCTATTTATTTATTTATTTATTTACAGTATTTATATTCCGCCCTTCTCCCCCCGCAGGGGACTCAGGGTGGATTACAATGTGCATATACATGGCAAATATTCAGTGCCATTTAGACATACAACATATATAGAGAGACACTGATGCATTTAACATTCCAGCTTCATGAGTGTATGCTCAATTCCGGCCACAGGAGGAGCTGCTGCTTCACCGTCCACTTGTGACACCGAGTCCTTAGATTGAGTACTTCCTCATTCTTCTGCATGCTGCTGGAAAGTTTTATGGCATCCTAAATTAGTTAAATTAGCCTCCCCGCATAAACGGTGCCAGAATTTCCTACTTGACAGATACAAGTGTCTTTCGGGCTGCATAGGTCAACAGCAAGCTAGATTTTTAATGGTCGGAAGCTTACTCCGACCTGGGCTGGCTTCGAACTCATGACATCTCAGTCAGTAGAGATTTAATGCAGCTGGCTACTAACTAGCTGCGCCATCAACCCCAATTATAGTAAAGCAACAGAAAAAATCTTCTATGGTGAGTCATCACACAGGTAAATCCTGTTGCTGACATTCTATCTTACAATCAAAAGGATAAAAAGGGACATGGAGATAACGTTAAGGAGTTATACAATATTCATTTTGTGATGGCAATCTAAAGCTATCTTCAGGACAGCCGATTTATTCAATAGTGCCTTTTTTCCTTAAAGAATAGGCTTAATTTAATTTCTAGATACACGATAAAGATAAAACTGAATTAATGCTATTGAATAGTCAGCGGTAGACAGATATTGTTATGGGAAAAATGTTTAAAAAATGTATTTATTGGGGTAAACGTATTATTAGAGATAAGTGTCACAAAACCTGGTATCGGATATCTTCAGAATAAAATGCATGACATATCTTTAGAATTGGGCAAATAAAGGAAGTTAAAGAGGTGATAAGTGGTTGAAAATTAAAAAATTATCTTGACCTGGGAAAAGCTTTTAAACTGAGACAAGTTTTTTTGTTTCATTCACTTTTTTTTCTTTGTGCTGTCGAAGTCTTTCTCTAGGTTGCGGTAAGTTTTCCGGGCTGTCTGGTCATGTTCCAGAAGCATTTTCTCCTGAGATTTCGCCCACATCTATGGCAGGCAGCCTCAGAGGTTATGAGATCTGCTGGAAATTAGGCAAGTGGGGTTTATATATCTGTGGAATAATGTCCAGGGTGGGAGAAAGAACCCTTGTATGCTTGAGGCAAAGGTGAATGCTGCAGTTGATTAGAATTGAATGGCCTTGCAGCTTCAAAGTCTGACTGCTTCCTGCTGGGGGAATCCTTTGTTGGGAGGCATTAGCTGGCCATGATTGTTTCCTGCCTCAAACAGACAAGGGTTGAGGTGCTACAAAGTTCCTATTCAGAATTTGTCTTACTGCTTAGTCCATCCTCAACTAGAAAGAACTCAGCCTGGGATGCATCATCATAATCTCACAAAACTGCACTGAAGTAGATTAGAATAAACTTGGGTGAGAATTGCCCATTGCTCCCCACTTCAACTGCCACTCCAGATGTTATCAGACTCCAGCATGGTCAAGAATGATGGGAGCTGTAGCCCAAAACATTCGGTAAAGCATTGAGTTTTCAGTTTCACTTAGGTCTTCACTTGACCTCTTATCTAATGATGTTTTTTCTGGCTCCTCTAACTGACCTTGGAGCTCTGCACTGTCTGAGCCTGTTTCATTTCCAACAATGCTTTACCGAATGTTTTGGACTACAGCTCCCATCATTCTTGACCATGCTGGAGTCTGATAACTGGAGTGATACAGTATCCCCATCTCTGGTTTTAGTTTTATGACTGAATGGAGATTTGAACCCAGAATAAGGAAAACCCAGCCTATAGGACATAAGCATCCCTTCAAATTGTTGTCACTCAACCAAGGGCAATGGGTTCACTGATGATTTAGAAAGGATTTGGGAATTTCCTGGGGTTCAAAGTGATGAAGATTCAGGCCAGAGAAATGAAACAGGCTCAGACAGTGCAGAGCTCCAAGGTCAGTTAGAGGAGCCAGAAAAAACATCATTAGATAAGAGGTCAAGTGAAGACCTAAGTGAAACTGAAAACTCTCGAGAGAAAACACCTGGCATTACAGAGATCAGCAAAAGTCGTTGTTTATAGATCAGAGCAGGAAACATATGGAAAAGAGATAGAGAAAATTCGTGGGAAATGACATGATTTCATGAGTGCTTATTAACAGCCAGTTGTTTCCCTTAAAGGTAGTTGAGGCAACATTGACTTTCGAGTTAAAAGCTAGGCCTGAGTTCTCTAGTCATTGTGTCAAATCTTGGTTTTGGATTCAAGTATCCTGGAAGTTTTCTATATTCTTCCTTCATGATTCCTGCTCAAGTTTTATTAAGTATAGGTATTTGCTTATGGATTTATGCTGTGATTTCTGGCTGTTCCTGTACTGTGTTACCTTTGGATTTTTATGAGATATCTGGATTCCTGTGTGGCTGTCACCTTAGATGATTCCTCTCCTTTCCTTACTCCTGCTTTTTCATATATTTTGTGTGTTTTTACAACAAATCAGTGCTACATGGGGGCCAGAATTAGGCTCCTCTCCTCACCTATGCAGTATAGACAGACATTTCAGTGTTTTTTCCTTGGATGTAATACTATGAATGACGATTGTCGTTATTACCTCTAAATTCATCCATGACGTAGAAGTCTTCTAAGTACAATAACCTGCCAATCCAAGGGTCATAGGTATAGTAATACATAGCAAATCCTACCACATCAGCATCTGGAAAGAAACAAATCCAACACGCAGGAAGGGGAAATGCCATTGATGTGAATATAAAGAAGACATTAAAGCCAGTTAAATTATTATTTTACCTTTGTTGTTGTTGTTATTATTATTATTATTTATTTCTAGACTGGCCTCTCTCCCCGAAAGGACAGGGCAGTTTACACATAGAAAAAGGCAAATATTCAATGCCACAATTTTTTAATTATTATTTTTTTGTCGTGTCAGGAGCGACTTGAGAAACTGCAAGTCGCTTCTGGTGTGAGAAAATTGGCCGCCTGCAAGGACGTTGCCGAGGGGATGCCCGGATGTTTTGATGTATCACCATCCTTGTGGAAGGCTTCTCTCATGTCCCCGCATGAGGAGCTGGAGCTGACAAAGGGAACTCATCCGCGATCTCCCCGGATTCGAACCGGCAACCTGTCGGTCTTCAGTCCTGCCAGCACAGGGTTTTACTTTATTTATTATTTATTTATTTACAGCTTTTATATTCTGCCCTTCTCACCCTGCAGGGGACTCAGGGCGGATTACAGTGTACACGTATATGGCAAACATTCAATGCCAATTTTTGACATACATATACAGACCTACACAGAGGCTATTTAACTTTTTCTGGCCGCCAGGGGAGCTGTCGCTTTCATCGTCCATCTGCAACACTGATGAAGCACTTCCGCATTCCCCGCATGCTTCCCCGCTGGAATGCTTTGCTGGAGTGCTTCTTTATGGCCTCATAAATCAGTTAATTTAGCCTCCCCACACTTTAAGGTGGTACCTAATTTTCCTACTTGACAGATGCAACTGTCTTTCGGGTTGCAAAGGTCGACAACAGGCTACACACAATTGGTTGGAAACCCACTCCAACCCGGGCTGGCTTTGAACTTTTGGTCAGAGTGATCTTAATGCAGCTGACACTCAGCCAGCTGCGCCACAATCCCGGTGCCCACTGCGCCACCGGGGGCTCTCCCAAAATAAATACAAACACAACAAAAATCTAAAGTAATACACAATAATAACAGTCAGCTTATAACAAAAGCATTAAGCATCGAAATGAAATGAAAACAGAATAAAATAATACAATAAGAAATAGGGTAAAGGTAAAGGTTTTCCCCTGACATTAAATCCAATTGTGTCCGACTCTGGGGGTTGGTGCTCATCTCAATTTCTAAACCGAAGAGCCGGCGTTGTCCGTAGACACCTCCAAGGTCATGTGGCTGGCATGACTGCATGGAGCGCCGTTACCTTTCCGCCAGAGCGGTACCTACCTATCGATCTACTCACATTTGCATGTTTTCGAACTGCTAGGTTGGCAGAAGCTGGGGCTAATAGCGAGAGCTCACGTCGCTCCCCAGATTTGAACTTACAACCTTTCGGTCAGCAACTCAGCGGTTTAACCTACTGCGCCACTGGGAGCGCCAAGACTTAGGGGACTTCTAAGCTCATCCAGAGTTTGCCTGGAGTACAGGTGAGTCATTGCCCTTACAATCATACAGGTCCAACCTCTTGCTGTTCTCTGAAAATCTGCCTGTTTGCAATCATTTCAGACATTGTATAAGGGCCATGTATTTATTTATTCTTTCATCCCATTTCCTATGGATCCAACCTTTTCCCAAGAAATTGGATCCAATTTGTTGATCTCCCAAAAGCAGAGAGGCAAAAAGAAAAGGCAGTTGCAGAATTGAAAGAATGCATAATATAATATAATATAATATAATATAATATAATATAATATAATATAATATAATATAATATAATATAATATAATATAATATAATATATATTACATTATAATATTATAATGCAATGCAATACAATAGTAATAATATGATATTATAATTATTTATTTATATTACATGTAATATTACTAATAATATTACAATATATTTGTGCTGTCACACGCTGGGCCTGTGAAAGTGTCTGTAGACAGGACGTGTTTTCTGAATGCTCAACGGGATGCCAGGGGTGCCTTGGCTGAGAGGCCTTTCGGATTTCCCCACACAAAGTTCTTTTAAAGACTTAGAAAGTTCAACAAAGTTTTTATTGTTGCTTAAATCTTCAATAAATCAAACAAATACTTCAAGGCTTTGAATCAACTGGTGGCTTGCTTAAATCTTGTCCACAAGGGACAGGCAACTGTCTTCATAAACTGTTTCTTCCTCCTACAAGGGAAATCCTTGACCCCTCCTTGGGCAATCTGGCTTAAGCTCTTCTGGCGTGGGTCCTTACACCCGGTCCAAATTGCATTATGGCTGCCGCGAGTGGTCCTTACCAAACAGAGTCCTTTAGTAGATTTCCAAGAGGAAAGAAGGCTTTCAATTCCCAGCAAAGGCTGGCTGTAGAGTTGTGGAACTAAATTCCCCAACAAAGGCTATGCTGTAGTTCTCTGTAGAGCTGTGGGACTGGATCCCCCAGCAAAGCTGTAAAAGACAAAGCTTTCTACAGGTGGAACTGATTCAAATCCTGTACAAAAGGCTTCTCTGTGTGAACTGAACTAGAGTTCCCCTTTTCCCCTCCTTAACCCAGAAAAAGGGGCAGAACTAAAGAACATAATGATGATAATTGATGGGTCATTGGCTTTATGATTGCAAACCAAGGGAAGCCACCTTATTGCAAAATGCATGGAACTTTGGAATACATGCAAACACTCAATAGAAAGGAAAAGAAGTTGGAGCTCCTGGTACAGCCGTACCAGCACAATATTGATATAGTAGGTAAAGGTAAAGGTAGTCCCCTGACATTAAGTCCAGTCATGTCTGACTCTGGGGTGCGGTGCTCATCTCCATTTCTAAGCCGAAGAGCCAGCGTTGTCCATAGACACCTCCAAGGTCATGTGGCCAGCATGACCGCATGGAGCGCCGTTACCTTCTCACCGGAGCGGTACCTATTGATCTACTCACATTTGCATGTTTTCGAACTGCTAAGTTGGCAGAAGCTAGGGCTGACAGTGGAAGCTCACGCCGCTCCCTGGAATCGAACCTGCGACCTTTTGGTCAACAAGCTCAGCAGCTCAATGCTTTAACCCACTGCGCCACCGGGTTATAGTACAATATAGTAATATATAATATTACTATAGGTATAGTACAATATAGTAATATATAATACTGATATTGTACTATGCTAATAATATAATATATTGTGTGTGTGTGTGTGTGTGTATGTATATGTATATATATATGTGTGTATGTATATCTATATATATAAATTTCCTCCTGGCGTCGTATGGCGGAACAAAACTCAAAAACCCCCCAACGAAACGCCACCAAACTTCCCATGCCCCAAGGGCAACCAACAAGGTACAAACTAATCCACTCAGAAATCAAAAACACACAACAACAACCACAATAAACGACAAAGCAACTGAGCATGCGCACTGGCGCAAACTCCCTGGCGCGGACACACATGGCCCCACACCCTCCCCCCCGGCGCGGCACACACACAGGCACGCGCACGGCCCCTCCCCCCCCCGGCGCGGCACACAAACACACACGCGTGCCCCCTCTCCCACCCCGGCGCGGCACACACGCGCGCACACCCCCCACCCCACCCGGCGCGGCACACACGCGCGCGCACGCGCCCCCTCGCCCCCCTCCGGCGCGGCACACACACACATGCACACACACGCGCGCGCACGCCCCCCCCCCCCCCCCCGGCGCGGCACACACACACATGCACCCGCGCGCGCCCCCCCACCCCCCCGGCGCGCACACACACACATGCCCCACATGCGCCCCCCCCCCACCCCCCGGCGCGGCACACACACACATGCACACACACGCGCGCACGTGCCCCCTCACCCCCCCGGCGGCACACACACACATGCACACACATGCGCGCGCGTGCCCCCTCTCCCCCCCGGCGCGGCACAAACACGCGCGCGCACCCCCACCCCCCCCCGGCGCGGCACACGCGTGCCCTCCCCCCCTCCCCCCCGGTGCGGCACACGCACGCGCGCGCGCGCCCCCTCCCTCCCCTGCCGCGGCACACACGCGCGCGTGTGCGCCCCCTCTCCCCCCCGCGCGGCACACACCGCGCGCGCGCCCCCATCCCCCCTCCCCTCCCCCCTCCTCACGTTACCTCCAAGCCACGCCCCCTTCTAAACCCATCCCCCCTCCCCTCCTCACCTTACCCCCAAGCCACGCCCCTTCTAAACCCATCCCCCCTCCCCTCCTCCCACCTTACCCCCAAGCCACGCCCCTTCTAAACCCATCCCCCCTCCCCTCCTCACGTTACCTCCAAGCCACGCCCCCTTCTAAACCCATCCCCCCTCCCCTCCTCCCTCCTCACCTTACCCCCAAGCCACGCCCCCTTCTAAACCCATCCCCCCTCCCCTCCTCCCTCCTCACGTTACCTCCAAGCCACGCCCCCTTCTAAACCCATCCCCCCTCCCCCCCTCCCTCTACCCTTCTCATGTTACCTCCAAGCCACGCCCCCTTCTAATCTGTCAAGGAAGAAGCATAGAATCATAGAATCAAAGAGTTGGAAGAGACCTCATGGGCCATCCAGTCCCACCCCATTCTGCCAAGAAGCAGGAATATTGCATTCAAATCACCCCTGACAGATAGAGAGAAAGAGGGAGGGAAAGAAAGAAGGAAGGAAGGAATGAGGTAGAAAAGGAAGAAAGGAGAGACAGAGGGAGGGAAAGCAAGAAGGAAGGAATGAGGTAGAAAAGGAAGAAAGGAGAAAGAGGGAGGGAAAGAAAAAGGGGGGAGGAAGGAAAGTTAGAGAAAGAAGAGAGAGAAGGAAGAAAAAGGAAGAAGGAAGGAAAGAGGGAGCGAAGGAAGGGGATAAAATGTAGAGAAAGAGGGAGGGAAAGAAAGGAGGAAAGAGAGAAGGAAGAAAAGAGACACAGCAGAAGAGAAAGAAAAAGGGGGAAGGAAGGAAAGCGATAGAGAAGGAAGGAAGGAGAGAAGGAAAGACGGGAAGGAAGGAAGAACAGGGAGTGAAGGAAGGAGGGAAAGAAGGGGAGATAGGGGGAAGGTTGGCCACAGCAACGCGTGGCGGGTACAGCTATATATATATATATATATATATATATATATATATATATATATATATATGGGTTAAAGCACTGAGCTGCTGAGCTTGTTGATCGAAAGGTCGCAGGTTCGATTCCAGGGAGCGGTGTGAGCTTCCGCTGTCAGCCCTAGCTTCTGCCAACCTAGCAGTTCGAAAACATGCAAATGTGAGTAGATCAATAGGTACCGCTCCGGCGGGAATGTAACGGCGCTCCATGCAGTCATGCTGGCCACATGACCTTGGAGGTGTCTACGGAAAACGCTGGCTCTTCGGCTTAGAAATGGAGATGAGCACCGCACCCCAGAGTCACACATGACTGGACTTAATGTCAGGGGACAACCTTTACCTTTACCTATATATCTTGTAAGCCGCTCTGAGCCCTCTTCAGGGTGAGAAGGGCGGCATATAAATGTCGTAAATAATAAATAAATAAATAAAGTGGTCATTGACATACCGTGATATTGCCCCCCCCCCCCTTTTAAATCAATTGCTTACTTTCATCCATTCCAACATTAGAATGGCTTTGTCACAGATGAGCTTTTTGGAAACTAAGTAAACACTAGCATGTTCCATCCAGCATTCAGCTTAATTTACTTTAGATTTTCTTTCCTGAAAGGACACAACATGAAAGTGGAAACTAAAATCATTTCACTAGAGAGTAAGTGGTGGAACTCTCTACCCGGAAGTGTTGTGGAGGCTCCTTCTTTGAAGGCTTTTAAGCAGAGGCTGGGTGGCCATCTGTTGGGGGTGCTCTGAACACAATTTTCCTGCTTCTTGGCAGAATGGGGTTGGACTGGATGGCCCACGAGGTCTCTTCCAACTCTAGGATTCTATGATTTTAAGTAACTTACCCCCCTTTACATCTTACCTTGCATATCCTCTTGCTTTGATACCTCTGCAACTAAACAGTGGAAGAAAGGATGTGCTCCAAATCCATCGTGAAGTAAATCTGAAAGGTTTTAGGTGGTCAATTAAAATACAATTTGAAGAAAAAGATTCACAGGGATTGGCATATTTGGGAATTGTGTCATGATGAATTAGCAGGATAACAAATATCAAGAAGCTCATTAGAATCCCAATTGTCAAATTGTTATGATTACGGGACATTAGTTTGCATTTTTGAGAATAGCAAGTAGATTGCACACAAATATCTGGGATTTGTGGTGGTGGCTTCTTCTTTGGAGGCTTTTAAGCAGAGGCTGGATGGCCATCTGTCAGGAGCAAGCTTGTTTTCTGCTGCCCTGGAGACTAGGACGCGGAGCAATGGCTTCAAACTACAGGAAAGGATATTCCACCTGAACATAAGGAAGAACTTCCTGACTGTGAGAGCTGTTCAGCAGTGGAACTCTCTGCTGTGGAGTGTGGTGGTGGCTTCTTCTTTGGAGGCTTTTAAGCAGAGACTGGATGGCCATCTGTCAGGGGCAAGCTTGTTTTCTGCTGCTCTGGAGACTAGGATGCGGAGCAATGGCTTCAAACTACAGGAAAGGAGGCTCCACCTGAATATATATAAGGAAGAACTTCCTGACTGTGAGAGCTGTTCAGCAGTGGAACTCTCTGCTATGGAGTTTGGTGGTGGCTCCTTCTTTGGAGGCTTTTAAACAGAGGCTGGATGGCCATCTGTCGGGGGTGCTTTGACTGCGATTTCCCTGCTTCTTGGCAGTATGGGGTTGGACTGGATGGCCCACAAGGTCTCTTCCAACTCTAGGATCCTAGACTAAAAGTAGAGCTATATTGTAGAATTAATCCAGTTTGACACCACTTGAACTGCCATGGCTCAATGCTAGGGAATCCTGGGATGTGTACTTTGGGCAGAGAAGGCTAAAGACCTTGTAAACTACAAACCCCATTCTATTATTCACAACCTTTGGGCCTCCATGTGTTCTGGACTTCAGTTCCCACAGTTCTTAACAGTTGGTAAGCTGGCTGAGACTTCAGGGACTTGAAATCCAAAACATCTGGAGGCCCAACCACTATTATATAGCATTGAGACATGGCAGTTAAAGTGATGTTAAACTACTTTAATCCTACAGCGTAGATGCACCCTAATCCAATTGGCCTCTTATGGTCATATGCATATGACTAAAGCAAGGCTATTATATGTTGGATCTAATGGAGTCAACCCATTAGAATAGATGATAATGCTTCATAAAGTGGAAGGAAGTTGCATCTGAACATAATTCACATATTGACTCAATCAAAGAGGCCAGGTTTGCAAGATCTAAACAGGGTTGTAAATAACAGTACACTTTGCAATCTCTCATTCATTTAATGGTTAAGGTTCCCCCATGACACTAAGGCTAGTTGTGTCCAACTCTAGGGGTTGGTGCTCATCTCCATTTCAAAGCCAAAGAGCCGGCGTTGTCCTTAGACACCTCCAAGGTCATGTGGTCAGCATGACTGCATGGAGCTCTTGCCAGAGTGGTACCTACTGATCTACTCACACTTGCATATTTTTGAACTGCTAGGTTGGCAGAAGCTGGGGCTAACAGCAGGCACTCACCCCACCCCGCGGATTTGAATTACTGACTTTTCGATCAGGATTCGAACCGCTGACTTTCCAATCCGCTGATCATTCATTTACAATATGTTAATCATGATGGAAGTTAATGAAAATAAGACCAAAACACGTCCTTTATGATCATCTTCGGTTCTTTTTAAAATGCAAGTCGCACCAAAAGAGATCAGAGAATGCATGGAAATATGAGGGAGGATATGAGTGGGTTGGCAGGGTGGCCCTCAAACATATGGAGAAAGGAGCAGACTGTCCCAAAGGAAGCAAAAGAAACATCTTTACCTGTTTCTGTTATTTTTACTGCATTGGGCATGTTTTCGTACGCAGCTAGTTCCTGCCAAGAGAAGAAAGCAAAATATAACTGGAAGGATTAATGCCTTTTAGCTCCTTCCACAACCATTCAACACAACTTTCTAATGCAAAGGAATGCAATAGATCTAAGTCATGAAAGGGTTCGTTAACAAACTGTCAATAACACCACTTTAATTGCCAAAGTGCATTATTTATTTATTTATTTATTTATTTATTTATTTATTTATTTATTTATTTATTTATTTGAAACACAACAAGATCAGTGCACAGCAAACAAGATCAACATGCTGGCTATTGAATTGGATCATACATTGGACACTTCCCGAGTGTCTAGCACTGTGTGATGCATCTGCAAATAATGCGTGCAGATCCCAGTAGGGTGGCCTTTTGCAGCTGACAGATGGTAATCTTGTCAATGCTGATTGTTTTTACGTGCAGGCCAAGGTCTTTAGACACTGCACCCAGCGTGCTGATCACCACTGGGACCACCTTCACTGGCTTGTCTTTGCAGAGTCTTTGCAGTTCCATCTTTAAATCCTCATATCGTGTCAGCTTTTCCAGTTGTTTCTCTTCAATCCTGCTGTCACCTGGGATTGCAACTTGTTGTTGTTGTTGTTGTTGTTGCATTGCTATGCAATTCTGAGAGTTGTACTTTTACAAGGCCTTTTAACTTTCTCTGCAGAGAGGTCTGCTGCCTCGCCAAACTGCAATTCCCAGGATTCCACAGCTTTGAGCCATGGCAGTTCAAGTGGTATCGAACTGCATTAATTCTGCAGTGTAGATGCACCCAGAGATACATCTCTGAATTTCACAGTATATGCTCTTTTGCATCCATTGCAAAGCTGACAATGGCACAATGTTTGCTTTAGGCACCTCTGCTCACTCTAGAAAGCATTTGCCCCCTTTTTATGTGGAAGCTTTCTGTCTTTATGACTCAACAGCAAGGATTTTGCCAACAAGAGAGTCCCAAGTCTCCAGATTGCAAAGCCAGTCTGGGAAATAATTAAGTCCAAGACCTTGCTGATAATACTGGACCTAGTACATAAATACTGAATGTAGTGCCAGGTTCATTTAAATGCCCCTCCCAAGCAGTAGCAGTATTCATTTCCTTGTGCATTTAAAAATAAATAAGACCTAAACACTTCCTGCTTAACCTTTGATAAGGCAATTCGCCCTTTCACTTGTTGCTTCATGTACTACAATCTGGAGTTATATTGGACATGTCATAGCCAAAAGAGGAGGGATTTGTCCAATACTGTGTCCAATTCTGGGCACCAAAATTGAAGGGAGATGTTGACAAGCTGGAATGTGTCCAGAAGAGGGCGACTAAAAATGATCAAGTGTCTGGAGAACAAGCCCTATGAGGAGTGGCTTAAAGAGCTGGGCATGTTTAGCCTTCAGAAGAGAAGGCTGAGAGGAGACATGATGAGGGCCATGTATAAATATGTGAGGGGAAGCCATAGGGAGGAGGGAGCAAGCTTGCTTTCCGCTGCCCTGTAACTAGGACACGGAACAATGGCTTCAAACTACAGGAAAGAGATTCCACCTGAACATTCGGAAGAACTTCCTGACTGTGAGAGAGCTGTTCAGCAGTGGAACTCTCTGCCCTGGAGTGTGATGGAGGCTCCTTCTTTGGAGGCTTTTAAACAGAGGCTGGATGGCCATCTGTCGGGGGTGCTTTGAAAGCAATTTTCCTGCTACTTGGCAGAATGGGGTTGGACTGGATGACCCATGAGGTCTATTTTAATTAGTTTAATAGACTATTTTAATTAATTTAATTTAAATAGACCCTGTCTGATCCCACGGCAAGCTGGCTTCAGAAAAGGCAAAAGCTGCACATCGCAAGTGTTGAACCTGACTCAGCACATAGAAGATGGCTTTGAAAGGCAGCAGATCACAGGAGCTGTCTTCATAGACCTGTCAGCAGCCTATGATACTGTGAACCACCGCCTCCTCCTGAGAAAAATGTATAATATCACAAAGGACGACCACCTCACCCGCCTCATAGGAAACCTGCTACAAAACAGGAGCTTTTTTGTTGAGTTCCAGGGCCAGAGAAGCAGAAGAAGGGCCTGCCTCAGGGGAGCGTGCTTGCTCCATCCATGTTCAACATCTACACAAATGACCAGCCACTGCCAGAAGGGACAGAGAGCTTCATCTATGCTGATGATTGCGCCATTACTGTTCAAGCAGGGAGCTTTGAGATGGTAGAACAGAATCTCTCCGAAGCTCTAGGTGCTCTTACTGCCTATTACAGGGAAAACCAGCTGATCCCTAACCCATCCAAAACACAGACATGTGCTTTTCACCTTAAGAACAGACAAGCATCCCGAGCTCTGAGGATGACCTGGGAAGGAATCCCACTGGAGCATTGCAGCGCACCCAAATACCTGGGAGTCACTTTGGACCGTGCTCTTACCTACAAGAAGCACTGCCTGAACATCAAGCAAAAAGTGGGTGCTAGAAACAATATCATACGAAAGCTGACTGGCACAACCTGGGGTTCACAACCAGATACAGTGAAGACATCTGCCCTTGCGCTGTGCTACTCCGCTGCTGACTATGCATGCCCAGTGTGGAACACATCTCACCACACTAAAACAGTGGATGTGGCTCTTAATGAGACATGTCGCATTATCACGGGATGTCTGCGCCCTACACCACTGGAGAAATTACACTGTCTAGCCGGTATCGCACCACCTGACATCCGCCGGGAAGTGGCAGCCAATAGTGAAAGGACCAAGGCAGAGACATCTCCAGCTCATCCCCTGTTTGGGTATCAGCCAGCACGTCAACGACTTAAATCAAGACATAGTTTTCTAAGATCTACAGAGACACTCGCTGGAACACCTCAGCAAGCGAGAGTGCAAAAGTGGCAGGCTCAAACCCAGAACCTCAACCAATGGCTGATACCAAATGAGACTGCGCACAGAAGACTGGGCAACTTGGAAGGCGCTGAACAGACTGCGCTCTGGCACCACGAGATGCAGAGCCAACCTTAAGAAATGGGGCTACAAAGTGGAATCCACGACATGCGAGTGTGGAGAAGAGCAAACCACTGACCACCTGCTGCAATGCAACCTGAGCCCTGCCACATGCACAATTGAGGACCTTTTTGCAGCAACACCAGAAGCACTCCAAGTGGCCAGATACTGGTCAAAGGACATTTAATCAACTACCAAACTCACACATTTTGTATTTTCTCTGTTTGTTTGCTTTGTTCTGTTAGAAATGTAATATATTTGACTGGCTGCCCTGACACAAGAAATAAAAAAAAAACCCATGAGGTCTCTTCCAACTCCCATGATTCTATGAGGTATCAATATAATAAGTTCTCTAATTACTTCCATTCAGGCTAATTACTTCCATTCTGGGTTGTTGTAGGTTTTTCGGGCTATATGGCCATGTTCTAGAAGCATTCTCTCCTGACGTTTTGCCTACATCTATGGCAAGCATCCTCAGAGGTTGTGAGGTCACTTCCATTCTGATTCCTTTAAAGAGTCATTTTCAGAGGCTTGTTAATAGTCATTTCTCAAATTTTATCTCTTTCTCTTGCCCATACTAAGGCTTGTTAACCTCTGGTCCCTTGAGGCGGCATTGGTAGATTTCCCTCTCTGTGGAATGATCCTCAACTTATCCACATGTGGTATCAAAATCCATAATTTTGGCCCCAAAATCTGCCCTCGACGACTTACACACAAAGCCAACTTGTACAGGAATACAAGTAGTCCTCAAATTACGAATGAGATGGGTTCTGTAGATTTGTTCTTAAGTTGAATTTGTATGTAAATTGGAACAGGTACATTTTTAAGTGCGACTCCAACCGTCTGTCTGTCTGTCTATCTATCTATCTATCTACCTACCTACCTACCTACCTACCTACCCACCTACCTACCTATCCAACCATCTATCCAACCATCTATCCAACTATCTATCTACCTACCTACCTACCCACCTTTGCAGCCCAAAAAACACTTGCATCTGTTAAATAGGAAGTTTAGGTGCCGCTTATGCGGGAAGGCTAATTTACGAGGCCATAAAAATCACCAGCAAGCATGCCAAGAATGAGGAAGTACTTCATCAGTGTCACAAATGGATGGTGAAGCGACAGCTCCCCTGGTGGTCAGAATCCCCTCATGAAAAAGCTGGAATGTTAAATAGCCTCTGTGTGTCTGTCTAAATATGTTGTGTGTCTATGGCATTGAATGTTTGCCATGTATATGTACATTGTAATCCGCCCTGAGTCCCCTGCGGGGTGAGAAAGGTGGAATATAAATACTGTAAATAAATAAATAACCCAGGGACAGCCTCCACAATGTCCTCCTTCCCACCTTACTTTAATGAGACGCAGGATTTCGGGGCAGTCCCGCGGCTCAGCTGGACGAACCCGGAAGCGGCTCACCACGTGTTCGGGGGACATAGCGAGAGCCCAGAGCAGCAGTCTGGTTGGTCAGGTCCCACGGGGGAGCTTGGGCACTGCTGAGCCTCTCCTTGGGGATCTTCTTCACTCACCATCTCAAAGGGCTTCTCATTAAACAAGGCAGAAAGAAGAAGAGGCAGACAAAGAAGGGGCCTTCTTGCCTGGCTTGGATTCCTCTTCCCCTTTAGCGTGATGGGGATTTTGCTTTGAGCCCCTGCTGCTGCCTGGCTTCCATCCCACCTTGTCCTCCCAGCCTGCATGACCCCACCAAGAGTCACAATGGGCCCCACATCACAATTCTCTCCCTCCTCTACTTTCCAACTGCTTCAGAGGGAAAAGAGGACCCAAGGAAAGGATGCAAGAACATGGAGACCCTGTTCAAAAATCTCAGAGGAAGATGCAGAAGGTTCCTGCTGCTTCTCTCAGAGACATGTCCAAGTCGTGATCTCACCTGAGATCAAGCTCTTGGAGGCTGCCTCCAGGCATCAAAACCAATCTAGGAGAACAGGTAAGGAAAGCTGCAGGTGGATAATCCCTAACATTTTGAATTTTTTTGTTTGTTTTTAATTTTAATAGCCAAATTAAAATATTTATAACACCTTAATAAAGATGTTCAACATCTTTATTAATGACAAAGTCTATTTCCCCCAAACTCTGTGTTCATATTTGGCCATAAGGAATGTTCGTGCCAAGTTTGATCCAGATCCATTATTGTTTGAGTCCACTGTGCTACAACTCCCAAACTCAAGGTCAGTGCCCAATAGACCCTTCTAATGTTTTCTGTTGGTCATGGGAGTCCTGTGTGTCACGTTTGGTTCTATTCTATCATTGGTGGAGTTCAGAATGCTCTTTGATTGTAGGTGAACTATAAATCACAGGCACTACAACTCCCAAATGTCAAGGTCTATTTTCCCCAAACTCTGTGTACATATTTGGGCATATTGAGTATCCGTGCCAAGTTTGGTCCAGATCCATCATTGTTTGAGTCGACAGTGCTCTCTGGATGTAGGTGAACTACAACTCCCAAACTCAAGGCCAACGCCCACCAAACCTTTCCAGTGTTTTCTGTTGGTCATGGGAGTCCTGTGTGTCATGTTTGGTTCTTTTCTATCATTGGTGCAGTTCAGAATACTCTTTGATTGTAGGTGAACTATAAATCTCACTCACTACAACTCCCAAATGTCAAGGTATATTTTCCCCAAACTCTGTGTCAATATTTGGGCATATGGAGTCTTTGTGCCAAGTTTGGTCCAGATCCATCATTGTTTGAGTCTACAGTGCTCTCTGGATGTAGGTGAACTACAACTCTCAAACTCAAGGTCAATGCCCACCAAACCCTTCTAGTGTTTTCTGCTGGCCATGTGCCACGTTTGGTTCAATTCCATCATTGGTGAGTTTCAGAATGCTCTTTGATTGTAGGTGAACTATAAATCCCAGCAACTACAACTCCCAAATGACAAAATTAATTTTTCTTTAATGGTCACTCCTTGGCGTAGTAGGTGTCTTGTGGCCAAATTTGCTGTCAATTCGTCCAGTGGTGAAGGGTTAGAAGGCATGACCATCATGTTTGCAGATGACACCAAATTGGGAGGGAGAGCCAATACTCCAGAAGACAGGAGCAGAATTCAAAACAATCTTCACAGATTAGAGAGATGATTGGCTAAAACTAATTAACAAAATGAAGTTAAACAGGGACAAATGCAAGATACCCCACTTAGGCAAAAATAATGAAATGCAAAGATACAGAATGGGGGACAATGCCTGGCTCAACAGCAGTACTCGTGAAAAAGATCTTGGAGTCCTGATGGTGATCAAGTTAAACTTGAGCCAACAATGTCATGCAGCGGCAAAAAAAGCCAATGGGATTTTGGCCTGCATCAATAGTAGTCTAGTGTCTAGATCCAGGGAAGTCATGCTACCCCTCTATTCTGCCACACCTGGAATCACACTGTGTCCAATTCTGGGCACCGCAATTGAAGGGAGATGTTGACAAGCTGGAATGTGTCCAGAGGAGGGCGACTAAAATGATCAAGGTTCTGGAGAACAAGCCCCACGAGGAGTGGCTCAAAGAGCTGGGCATGTTATCCTGCAGAAGAGAAGGCTGAGAGGAGACATGATAGCCATGTATAAATATGTGAGAGGAAGTCATAGGGAGGAGGGAGCAAGCTTGTTTTCTGCTGCCCTGGAGACTAGGACGCAATGGAACAATGGCTTCAAACTACAGGAAGGGAGATTCCACCTGAACATTAGGAAGAACTTCCTGACTGTGGGAGCTGTTCAGCAGTGGAACTCTCTGCCCCAGAGTGTGGTAGAGGCTCCTTTTTCGGAGGCTTTTAAGCAGAGGCTGGATGTCCATCTGTCGGGGGTGCTTTGAATGCGATTTTCCTGCTTCTTGGCAGAGTGGGGTTGGACTGGATGGCCAAGAGAATACATATTAATCAAATGTGTGGAAAATCAGGTCCTCAGAAAAATTTTAAGTGTTTTTTTTCTTCAGTTTTCCCATTTTCACTCGGGTTCAACATTCCTCACCCCCACAAAAGTGAAAAACCTGTCATATATTCTTGTTTTAAGTGGGTTTTTTTCTTTCAGTTTTCCCATTTTCACTCGGGTTCAACATTCCTAACCCCACAAAAGTGAGGGGTTTTGCACTTCCTTCTCGTTCTTCTATCTTTCCAAAGTCTCCCATGAGAATTCACCCTTGGTTCATTTTCTCTGTAACCAAGATGAATGGTGATGTTTGCACTCTTCACCTTTTCTAAATATGTATTTTTCAAAATCCATTTTCCCCAAGGAATATTAAAGTGGGAATTGATCCAGCGAGGTTCCCCTTCTATCGAGAAGTTAATTAGTAATTTGCAGCAAGTCAGAATGCTGTAAAAGAAGTTCAAAATCCAAGACCTTTGGCCTCTTAAAACAAGAAAAATCAAAACTGAAAACTGGACGACCTGTACAAGGACTTGGGAGACGTAAGAGGAGAAGGCCGACTCTCGCTGGGAGAGGAATCCCGCAGCATGTTGACTTCCAATGCCCTCTGGCCTCTGCTTATTTGGCTGTCCATCAGCTGGCTGACCGTGCAAGCAACAGAACGTAAGGAACACATGGGGTCATTTCAAACTAGGAGCATAGGTCGAAAAGGGTGCATCTACACTATAGAATTAATGCAGGTTGACACCACTTTTCACTGTCTCAATACCATAGATTCATGGGCATCATAGTTTTACAAAGTCTTTAGCCTTCTCCGCCAAAGAGTGCTGGTGCCTCACCAAACTACAGCTCCCACAGTTCCAGAGCTTTGAGTCATGACAGCTGAAGGGGTCTTAACCCGCATTAATTCTACAGTGTAGATCAGGCATGGGCAAACCTTTTTGCTTTGAGGCCACATTGTGGGCCCGACCAAGGGCTGGGCCAGGAGGGAGGGCGGCTGGGCAGGCGCTGGGTGGGACGGGCCTGGAAGGTAGAGGGCCTGTGAGAGGATAGCGCTGTGCAGGGCCCGGGTCATCTTCAGGTTGTCCTCTTGGCATAAGGATGGGGCTGCTCATTCCATCCTTATGCTGGGAGGAAAACGAGACATGCCCTGATGCTCCTCCCTTGATCTTCTGGTTGTCTTCTCCGCATTATTCCGGGAGGAGGACAAGACAGGCGTCGGCCAAGAATGCTTCGGAGGGCTCTCAGCCACTGTGTGCCTTCCTTGGGTCATCCTCTTGGCATAAGGACTGGGCCACTCGCAACATCCTTATGCAGGGAGGATGGCGAGACATGCAGTGGCTGAGAGCACTCCAGAAGGCTCTCAGCTTCTGCGTGCCTTTCTCCCCTGCCCTTTCTATATAATGATGCGGACAAATGTCAGCGTGCTGGAAGAAGCAAAGACCACCAGCATTGAAGCGATGGCCCTCCCTAGGGAGGTCCCTAGGGAAATCAGGCAGGCATCCTCCCTGGCCACATTCTGTAAGGAACTAAAGATGTGGATGTTTCGTTGTGCCTTCGACTGATGATCCCTATGACAAACAATTGTACCATGATCTGTTTTCACCATTTAATCTGAATTCTTATATTACATCATTATTCATATATTTAAGTTAAACTGAGATGATCCTGACCCTGTTTAATTGCTCTGTTCTCATGATAGCTCCTGTGCCATTTATGTTCCTATCCACCCTATTGAATTATTTACCTTTTAATCAATTTTTATGTTGGCATTTTTCCCCCTCCAAAATTGGGTTGCTGTTGCTTGATACTTGTTTATTGCTGTTATACTGTTTGCACTATTTTAATTTGTAATTTGCTGTTGTCTTTGCTTTTAATTTGTTGCTTGGACTTGGCCCCATGTAAGCCGCCCCGAGTCCCCTCGGGGGGATGGAGGCGGGGTAGAAAAATAAAGTTCTTCTTCTTCCTCCACCATCAACTCCGCTGGATCGGCCATGTTGTCCGGATGCCCGACCACCGTCTCCCAAAGCAGTTGATCTACTCCAAACTCAAGAACGGAAAACTGAATGTTGGTGAGCAGGAAAAGAGATTTAAAGATGGGCTCAAAGCCAACCTTAAAAACTCTGGCATAGACACTGAGAACTTTGAAGCCCTGGCCCTCAAGCGCTCCAGCTGGAGGTTAGCTGTGACCAGCAGTGCTGTAGAATTCAAAGAGGTGCAAATGGAGGTCAAAAGAGAGAAACGTGCCAAGAGGAAGGCGTGTCAAACCAACCCTGACCAAGACCGCCTTCCAACTGGAAACCAATGCCCTCACTGTGGGAGAAGATGCAGATCAAGAATAGGGCTCCACAGTCACCTACATACCCACTGCCAGCACACTAATCCTGGAAGACTATCCTACTCGGACAACGAGGGATCACCTAAGTAAGCGGGCCACCATGTCCTTATGTCGAGAGGACAGGGAAAATGAAGAGGGCCTGAGGTAAGTGCCCAGGGGGCCACATCCAGCCCCCGGATCTTAGTTTGCCCATGTCCGGTTACAATGCACCCAAGGTTTTCTGATTATTTTTAAAAAACGATCCATTGAACGGGCATCTTTCTCTAGATACTAATAGATTATAAATGGGATTGATTGCAAATCACACATGTAAATTTTGTGGTAACAAGGAAGTAAACCCCAATAACTTCAAACTTTTTCCAAGTCATCTATGGAAGCAGTGGTTGGGTTTACAAAATCTGAGTGAGGCTGAGGATTGAGGTTTTTGGAGCTCCTCTCATTCACAGGGTTACTATATGTGAAAAGATGGCTTGATGACAAATGACAAAAACAATACCACAACATGTTTACGAAACTCCGCCAGATTCCTCCTAATATCAGAAAGACGATTCCTGTAGACTTACTATGGTGCTAGTGGCGGTACAGTGGGTTAAACCCTTGTGCCAGCAGAAATGAAGACCGACAGGTTGGAGATTCAAATCCTGGAAGAGTGCAGATGAGCTCCCCCTGTCAGCTCCAGCTCCCCATGAGGATACATGAGAGAAGCGTCCTACAAGGATGGTAAAACATGAAAACATCCGAGCGTCCCCTGGGCAACGTCCTTGTAGACGGCCAATTCTCTCACAAGTTGCTCCTGACATGAAAAAAAAAAACTATGCCGCTAATTCTCTCTCCCTTTTTATTACAGCCAGTTGTACTCATGTTGCTGACTTTGGTAGCTGTCTAGGAAACAATGCGCTCGACTTCTGCCCCCCTGGAATCAGTTGTGGGTGCAAAGACCAAAGGCCCTTCTGCAAGTAAGTCACAGGGAGGGTTCCTGTAGATCAGTGTTTCTCAACCTGGGGGTCAGGACGCCTGGAGGGGGTCACGAGGGGGGTATCAGAGGGGTTGCCAAAGACCATCAGAAAACACTTATTTCTGATAATCTTAGGAACCCTTTTGGCAGAGAAGGCTGAAGATCTCTCCGCCTGTCCTCATCCTATTTGGTGTTGGTGAACTACAATTTCCAGTATTCAAAAACAGCCCCCCCCCCCCAACCCCACCAATATTCAGTGATGGCTATGTTGGTAGTGTGCCAAGTTTGGTGTAGATCCATTGTGGGCTAGGTTCAGAGTACTCTTTGATTGTACATTAACGATAAATCCCAGAAACTACAACTCCCAAATGTCAAAATCTATTTTTCCCAAACTCCACCAGTGTTCACATTTGGGCATATTGAGTATTCATGCCAAGTTTGGTCCAGATCCATCATTGTTTGAGTCCAGAGTGCTCTCTGGTTGGAGGTGAACTACAACTCCAAAACTCAAGGTCAATGACCACCAGACTCTTCCAGTATTTTCTGTTGTCCATGGGAGTTGTGTGTGCCAAAACTGGTTCAGTTGCATTGTTGGTGGAGTTCAGAATGCTCTCTGATTTTAGGTGAACTATAAATCCCAGCAACTACAACTCCCAAATGTCAAGTTCTATTTTTCCCCCAACTCCACCAGTATTCAAATTCGGGCACCTCGGGTATTTGTGCCAAATTTAGTCCAGTGAATGAAAATACATCCTGCATATCAGATATTTACATTACGATTCATAACAGTAGCAACATTAGAGTTATGAAGTAGCAACGAAAATAATTTTATGTTTGGGGGTCACACAACATGAGGAACTGTATTAAGGGGTCGCGACATTAGGAAGGTTGAGAACCACTGCTGTAGATCAAGGGAGACGGGAAAAATAACCACAGATAAACCTTGGAATGATCCAATGATGCAGGCAGGTGCCTTGATCCATAGTTCTGGGAGTATGTATCATCATCAGTATTCGTGGAACCCATAGGTTTTAATGACAATTCAAGACCAGGCCATCCCCAGATCATTGGCCTAATAGAAATAGAAAAGAAAGAGATTGGGTTGCTGAGGAAAGTCAATGCAGTTGTAGGCAGCACACAGTGTTACCTGAATGCTGCAGCTTGAATGTTTAGAGTCCAGATGTGTCAAAGAGTGCATCTACACTGTCAAATTAATGTAGTTTGACCCCATTTTAACTTCCATGGGATCATGGGATTTGGCGAGGCACTCACATGTTTTGGCAAAGAAGGCTAAAGATTCTTGTGGGTTTTTTCAGGCTATAGGGCCATGTTCTAGAGGCATTTCTCCTGACGTTTTGCCTGCATCTATGGCAAGCATCCTCAGCGGTAGTGAGGTCTATTGGAAATAGGACAATGGGTTTATATATCTGTGGAATGGCTGGGGTGGGGCAAAGAGCTCTTCCCTGCTGTAGCTAGGTGTGAATGTTTCAGCTGACCACCTTCATGTTTCAGCTGACCACCTTCAATAAACCTCACTACCTCTGAGGATGCTTGCCATAGATGCAGGCGAAACGTCAGGAGAAATGCCTCTAGAACATGGCCCTATAGCCCGAAAAAACCCACAAGAACCTAGTGATTCCAGCCATGAAAGCCTTCGACAATACAAGGCTAAAGATCTTAAATAGGTGTCTAGTGCCTAGATCCAGGGAAGTCATGCTACCCATGCTCTATTCTGCCTTGGTTAGACCACACCTGGAATATTGTGTTCAATTCTGGGCACCACAACTGAAGAGAAATGTTGACAAGCTGGAATGTGTCCAGAGGAGGGAGGCTAAAATGATCAAGGGTCTGGAGAACAAGCCCTATGAGGAGCGGCTTAAAGAGCTGGGCATGTTTAGCCTGAAGAAGAGAAGGCTGGGAGGAGACATGATGAGAGCCATGTAAAAATATGTGAGAGGAAGTCATAGGGAGGAGGGAGCAAGGTTGTTTTCTGCTGCCCTGGAAACTAGGACGTGGAACAATGGCTTCAAACTACAAGAGAGGAGATTCAATCTGAACATTAGGAAGAACTTCCTGAGTGAGAGCTGTTCAGCAGTGGAACTCTCTGCCCCAGAGTGTGGTGGAGGATCCTTCTTTGGAGGCTTTTAAACAGAGGCTGGATGGCCATCTGTCGGGGGTGTTTTGAATGCAATTTTCCTGCTTCTTGGCAGAATGGGGTTGGACTGGATGGCCCATGAGGTCTCTTCCAACTCTAGGATTCTATAAGATCTTGTAAAGCTACAGTTGTCATGTCTCCATGGCATTGTTAAAGGGATGTCAAGCTGTAATAATTCTTAGATTAGTGAGTCTTTGATCTCTTCTCATGTTAGTCTGATTCTTTCTGCCCACAGCTGCCCTTCTTACCGAAAAGGTTGGCAAAATTATTGGTACCTCGGTCCCAAATGTGACCAGCTTTGGAGCACTTTGGACCTGATTATTGTCATCGTTGTACCAGCAATAGCCCTGTCTGCGACCACTGCTGTAGCAGTGCAGTGGGTCAACTACTGCAAAAACAAGGAGGGAAGAAACGCAAAACGACACAGGTAAGTTAGCCAAGTTAGCAAGACCTCCTTTCCTTACCTGGTGCATTATATTTTTTTTGGCTGCAGTCCTTAACCTGACTTTTCTTCGTCTTACGTAAAGTCGAGGGCTTGCAGGAAACTCTATAGAGTTTTCCTTGAGCTTTGTGTAACCCTAATAGGTTGCCATAGCTGTGAGCAGGGATCCGAACTCTAGTTTCTAAAAACCGTAGTCCAAGACTTGAACCACAACACCACATTGGATCCCTTCCCAAGCGTGCCATCTCCAGCCATTTCACTGTATATATATGAATTGGAGGCATGTGGATTTTGACACAGAGAAAGGGGGCCAGAAGACAGTTCCACCTTATCTGCTATGCTAATAATATCTATATAAATAAAAATGTAGTGTTTGTTTGTGGGATTAATATAATTCAAAAACCACTGGACGAATTGACACCAAATTTGGATACAATACACCTATCAGGCCAACGAGTGACCATCACTCATAAAAACACTGGAAAACACAGCAAAAGAGACTTTAAAAGCCAAAAAAGAAAAATTACATTACAACACATGCACAAAACCACATATATACACAAACACATATATATACACACATACACAAATATATATATATATACACTCATATATGCATATATACACACACAAAATACACATACACAGAAAAGGAGAAGGAAGGAAGGGGAGAAGGAGGGAGAGAAAGAGGGAAAGGAGGGAAGGAGAGAAGGAAAGAAAGAAAGGTAGAGAAGGAAGGGAAGACAGAAGGAAATAAAAAAGTGAAAGGACAGTTCTACCTTGTCTCCTGTGCTATGCTAATTTATATATAATATAATATAATATATTGTATATATAATATGTATAATATTATAATGTAATACAGTATAATACTATTAATATGATATTATGATTATATATTTTATATTACATGTAATATTACTAATAATATTACAATATAATTGTATAGTACAATATAGTGATGTATAGTGCTGATATTGTATTATTATTATTATTATTTATTTATTTATTTATTTTATTTATTTACTTTGCTTATATACCGCTGTATCTCAAGCCCGAAGGCGACTCACAGCGGTTCACAAACAGTAGAAACAGTAGAAACAGCAGTGGTTCCATACAACATATAACAATTGACTTAACACATTATCCATAAATTACCAATAAGCAATTACAATGCACAATTATTACAAAAAACAACCATACCCAATCTTCTCATCATCCAAGCATAGTCCAGGTTCGTCGTCCATAGTTCCATTCCTATGTTCCATTACCAGATTGCACTAAATTACTCAAACGCCTGCACAAACATCCAGGTCTTCACCTTTTTGCGGAATACCATTAGAGATGGTGCTAGTCTAATGTCCGTAGGAAGGGCATTCCACAGCCGAGGAGCCACCACCGAGAAGGCCCTATCTCTCGTCCCCGCCAGCCGAGCTTGAGAAGCAGGCGGGATCGAGAGCAGGGTCTCCCCGGAAGATCTCAAACTCCTGGTGGCTTCATAGGCAGAGATGCGGTCAGATATATGTCTTGTAAGCCGCTCTGAGTCCCCTTCGGGGTGAGAAGAGCAGCATATTAATGTTGCAAATAAATAAGTATATAAATAAATAAGAGAGAGGAAAGGAAGGAGAGAAGGAACGAAAGAGAGAAAGAGGGAGAGAGGGAGGGAAGGAAGGAAGGAAGGGGAGAAGGAAGGATGGAACCAAAGAACAAAAGAAGGGAGGAAACAGCTAGAGAAGGAAGAAATAAGAAGGGAAACAAGAAGGAAAAGAAAAAGAGGGAGGAAAGGAAGGAGAGAAAGAAAGGAGAGGAAGAGGGAGGGAAGGTTGGCCACAGCAGTGCATGGTGGGTACAGTTAGTAATATACTATAATATATGTTATATACGGGGGCCCCCGGTGGCGCAGTGGGTTAAAGCACCGAGCTGCTGAGCTTGTTGATCGAAAGGTCGCAGGTTCGATTCCGGGGAGCGGCGTGAGCTTCCGCTGTCAGTCCTAGCTTCTGCCAACCTAGCAGTTCGAAAACATGCAAATGTGAGTAGATCAATAGGTACCGCTCCAGCGGGAAGGTAACGGCGCTCCATGCAGTCATGCCGGCCACATGACCTTGGAAGTGTCTATGGACAACGCTGGCTCTTCGGCTTAGAAATGGAGATGAGCACCACACCCCAGAGTCAGACATGACTGGACTTAATGTCAGGGGACTACCTTTACCTATGTTATATACATATAATATTTATATTATAATGTAAATCAATATAATACTAATAAGAATAATATGATATTATAATTATATATTTTATATCACATTTAATATTACTAATAATATTGCAATATAATGGTATAGTACAAGTTGGTAATATATAATACCGATATTGTACTATGCTACATATATTGTATGTATATATATCTTGTAAGCCACTCTGGTGAGAAGGGCGACATATAAATGTCGTAAATAAATAAATACATAAATAAACTGTCCTAATGTTACAAATGTTGTACTCTGGCCTTCACAGGCTGACCACGCGGGGAAACTAACTACAGCTGTTTATTTACAAAAAGCATATACAAAGGAGGAAAGAAGTATTTCCTAAAAAGGAGTATAAAAGGTGCTATGAAGTACCTGTAGTCTATATATACAAAGATCAGTAGTCCAAAATAGCAAGGTACATGAAATCCAGGAAGTCAAGAGTATAGGCATAATTCCATAACCATGAAAACAGGAACTTTTCTGAGGCAAACTCTATCAGGAACATAGGCAAACACAAGAGACTTCATTCATGAACTTGAGAGCTGAAAGAGGAACTTGATTCTATGGCATCATTGTCTACTCTGAAGACACCAACTAAACATCACTTAATTTAAGCACAAACCTGAACAAGAAGCCATGAGATCATCTCTTTACCACCTGCATTTTAAGGATTTCTCACAGAGTCTTTCTGAAGGTAAAGATAAAGGTTTTTCCCTGAAATTAAGTCCAGTTGTGTCCAACTCTGGAGGCTGGTGCTCATCTCCATTTCTAAGCCGAAGAGCTGGCGTTGTCAGTAAACACCTCCAAGGTCATGTGGCTGCCATGACTGCATGGAGTGCCGTTACTTTCCTGCCAGAGCGGTACCTATTGATCTACTCACATTTATTTAAAATTATTTATTTCCTATGCTTATACCCTGCCCTTCTCACCCCACCCCCGGGGGGGGGGGGGAGGCGCTCAGGGCTGCCTCACAACAAGCATCATAAGATGCATTACCATCATAAAACGATTAAAAAAACCAAATACAATTAAAAAACATAAAAATTAATTTAAAACAATTGAATAAACATGCCAGTTAAAAGTCAAATCCGAGTCTGGGTCAATTAATTGTCATAGGTTTCCTAGGTTATCTTTCCATTTGCTGCTAGTCGAATGCCTGGTCCCATAGCCAAGTCTTGAGTTTCTTTCTAAAAGACAGGAGGGAGGTGGCCAGTCTGATATCTCTGAGGAGAGAGTTCCACAGAAGGGGGGCCACTGCTGAGAAGGCCCTGTCCCTTGTCTCCACCAATCGCGTTTGCGATGGTGGTGGGACCGAGAGCAGGGCCTCTCCAGATGATCCTAAACTTCGTGATGGTTCGTAACAGCAGATACATTCAGACAGGTAGTCTGGGCCAGAACCGTTTGCATGTTTTTGAACTGCTAGGTTGGCAGAAGCTGGGGCTAACAGTGGGAGCACACCCCATTCCCTGGATTTGAACCTGTGACCTTTTGATAAGTAGCTCAGCAGTTTAACTCACTGTTTCACCCGGGGGGGGGGGGGCTAATTAATCTGTCCTTCACTCCCTCCGTGCAGAGGCCTAATCTGATATTGCGGGAAACCTCCCCATCTGCTGAATCTTCTTCTGAAGGCTGATTCAGAAACAGAACCGACATTGGAATCCCAAACAACTTGGCACTTCTCTCTGATCAAAGGCCTGCAAATCACCCGGATCACACACAGACTATTCAGTGGGAAGTCTGAAGAGTCTCTTCCTCGTTCTCTGAGTCTTGTTGCTAAGCCCCAACAACAAATGGTTGAACACTAGAATTGCAGCATTGAGAGGTGGTGGTATCTCTTTCGCGGGGGGTGTTAAAGCACCGACTTTATAGGCACCTCTTAGTGTTGCTGCCAGAGGTGTTGCGTCTATATGGAGAAGGGGGTCAGGCCAAGTGACCTCCAAAGACCCTTTTAACTCTATGATTTCACAAATATCCATTTCATCTCAATCTCTGCTCATGCCTCTCACCCACCCTTTCTTCTCCCCAGAAGTAAACCTAACTACAAGTACACCTTTTGACATACAATATATATTCTGTCTCGTATATTCTTTCCTCAGTGCTCCTCCGAGAGAACATGTCCCTCGAGGACAACCTAACACAGCATACGTTCCTCAACCAGTTGATAGACATGTGCCACAACCACGGGGAAGAAAGGTAAATGGTCATACATGCTTATTCTTTTTGTTATAACAGCTTCTGAGAATTTTCTTTTTAATAGAGGGAGGTTCAAAGATGTTTTCACCATAGATAGCACAGGTTCATTTGAGAAACATCCTAAAATGGTATGCTACCTGTGCACCCCACCATCAAGTTCCCTGTCAAATACGGCGACCCCATATTTGGGGGAGTTGTAGTTCACCTACATCCAAAGAGCACTGTGAACCCAAACACTGATGGATCTGGATCACACTTGGCACACATACCTTATATGCCGAAATGTGATTACTGGAGGGGTTTTGGGGGAATTGACCTTCCTTTCTGGGAGTTGTAGTTCACCTACAATCAAGGAAACAGTGACCTCCACCGATGATGGACCTGGACCAAACTTGGCACACAGAACCCCCATAACTCAACCTACTGGAGGGGTTTGAGGGGACTGACTCACCGTAGTGTGATTTGTAGTTTATCCTATAGTCGGAGAGCACACTGAACCCCACTGATGATGCATCTAAAGCAGTGGTTCTCAACCTTCCTAATGCCACGACCCCTTAATCCACTTTCTCATGTTATGGTGACCCCCAACCATAAAATTAGTTTCATTGCTACTTCATAACTGTCATTTTGCTGCTATTATGAATAGTAGTAATGTAAATATCTGATATGCAGGATGTATTTTTATACACTCGACCAAATTTGGCACAAATACCCAATACACCCAAATTTGAATACTGGTGGGATTGGGGGAGCGTATTGATTTTGTCCTGTGGGAATTGTAGTTGCTGGGATTTATAGTTCACCTACAATCAAAGAGCATTCTGAATTCCACCAACGATGGAATTGAATCAAACTTGGCACACAGAACTCCCATAACCAACAGAAAATACTGCAAGGGTTTGGTGGGCACTGACCTTGAGTTTTGGGAGTTGTAGTTTACCTACATCCAGAGAGCACTGTGGACTCAAACAATGATGGATCTGGACCAAATTTGGCACGAATTCACAATATGCCCCAACATAAACCCTAGTGGAGTTTGGGGAAAATAGACCTTGACATTTGGGAGTTGTAGTTGCTGGGATTTATAGTTCACCTACAATCAAAGAGCATTCTGAACCGTACCAACGATAGAGTTGGACCAAACATCCCACACAGAACCTCCATGACCAGCAGAAAATACTGTGTTCTCTGGTGGTCTTTGTTGACCCCTCTGACACCCCCTTGTGACCCCTCCAGGGGTCCCGACCCCCAGGTTGAGAAACACTGATCTAAAGTAAACTTGCCCAACATAACAAACTTGAAGTACTGATTGAGTTTTTCGGGGTTAACCAGACATTACTTTGCATTTCTATTTTACCTGCTATAGGATGATGGCGTCGCTCAAAATGTGAAATTCCCCAAACTCTCAACCCAAAGCAATGCTTATGAACAAGCTGAGTTACCTCTCTTTGGAGGGTTCAGGTACGTCTCTCTCTCTCTCTGCTCTGTCTATGCATCTGTCTGTCTGTGCAGACAAACATAATCTTATGTTTCATTTTATCATGGCAGCTATGCTCCACATCAGCCGCTGAGAAGAGTTGTTCAAATGGGAAATAATAATCGTTTACCGGGCCCGCCTCCTCAACGCGGCGGCTATGTGGGCAACGATGAGGATTATGAGGAAGAAAACCCATTTACGGCTATGGCTATGCAACCATTTCCGGTATGTACAAGTAACATTGATTATATTACTTGTGTTTCATCAATTTGTAAGATGCCATCAATTGTAAGTTGCACCCAAATTTCAATTGGGCTTTGTAAAATGTGGCTCGTTGTGGAAACCTTCAGTGGAGACCCTTTTCCCCCATGATAATAACTCTTCCAGGAGTGAATTCCTCTTCCATCCTTCTTAGGGGTCAGATTTCTCTCACTTCCTGTTGTCTCAGCTCTGTTCTTAACTAAGAGACATATGTAGGTCAGATGTTTGTAACTCAGGAACTGCCTGTACGGCATTTAAACAGATTGGAGTAATTATCTTTAATGCAAAATCATGGTGTACCAATGCAAGAACTAAAGTGCGAGTGGGAAGAAAATACTCAACAGTTAATCAGGCAGAGAATTAAATGACTGAAACTATTGGTTCATGTATAGAAGCAGTGCTGCAACGCCAAAAATACAGCTTAATGGTGTATCATTACAAAATGTTGACCATTTCCGCTACCTTGGCAGCCACTTCTCCGCAAAAGTCAACATTGACACTGAAATAAAATGCTGCCTGAGCTCTGCAAGTGCAGCATTTTTCTGAATGAAGCAGAGAGTGTTTGAGGACCGGGACATCCGTAGGGATACCAAGGTGCTTGTTTATAAAGCTATTGTCCTCCCAACCCTGCTATATGTTTGCAAAACGCGGACTATCACAGACGTCACATGCAATTCCTGGAACGATTCCGTCAGCATTGCCTCTGAAAAATACTGCAAATCTCTTGGGAAGACAAATGCCAGCATGCTGAAAGAAGCAAAGACCACCAGCATTGAAGCGATAGTCCTCCGTTATCAACTCTGCTGGACCGGCCATGTTGTCTGAATGCCCGACCACCATTTCCCAAAGCTGTTGCTCTACTCCAAACTCAAGAATGGAATGTTGGAGGACAGAAAAAGAGATTTAAAAATGGGCTCAATGCCAACCTTTAAAACTGCGGCATAGACACTGAGAACTGGGAAACTCTGGCCCTTGAGTGCTCTAGCTGGAGGTCAGCTGTGACCAGCAGTGCTGTAGAATTTGAAGAGGCAGGAATGGAGGGCGAAAGAGAGAAACATGCCAAAAGAAAGAAAACGCATCAAGCCAACCTTGACCAGGACTGCCTTCCGTTTGGAAACCGGTGCCCTCACTGCAGGAGAACATGCAGGTCAAGAATAGGGCTCTACAGTCACCTACGGACCCAAGGCCAGGACACCAAACTTGGAGGACAATTTTACTGGGACGAGGGATCGCCTATGGAAGTAAGTAAGAAGCTGTGCTGAAATCTGACAAGCTAAATATCCCAATCAGTATGGGATATTTGACTTTTGCAGATGTGATTATTTGCAATGACATTCTCAACTGTTTGAGTCCAGCGTCTTCATTTCTGAAACCCTTTCCACCCTTTCCATGCATTAATTGAGTCCCATTTTGCCTTTCTTTCAGACATCAGGCTCCTCCGGATTTCCTCGGGCCGACTACTATGAGCCAAACCATTACCCGAACGGGGCAAGAAACCCCTACAGCTTTGTACGCCCTCAGGTTAAATATACCTAAAAGCTTGAAATGAATACAACCAACGCACAGGATTTACCATTTTTACCATTCTTTGGTGCGGTCGTTTTCCAACTGTTGATCTTCTCCAACTTTCTTCCTAAACGTGATTGTAAGGCTACCTATTCGTACTCTAAAAAACTAGAATACCCTAGATATCCTTGTCTTCGTTAATAAAAATAACTAGCATAAGATCTTGAACTGTATGATATGGTCAGTAGAGAGCAAGCCTGGGCAAACTTGGGCCCTCCAGGTGTTTTGGACTTCAACTCCCACAATTCCTAACAGCCTCGGGCCCCTTCCTTTTCCGCTTCAGCTATTTAAGGAACAGAAACATTTCCAAATTTTGTAACACAGTGTTATTTGGCAATGTAGACCCAGCCTTTTGTGATCTTGATAAAAACAGGAATACTACGGTAACTGTGAGTTTTCTGGGCTGTACTCCCCTGTTGTTTGAGTGTTGCTCTTGATTTATTGTCCTGATTTTAGAGTTTTAAAATTTTCTTCATTTTCATGGTTTCCTCCTTTCTGTTGAAATTGTCCACATGCATCAAAACAAGGGAACTCCTGACATGAAATAATCAGGACCAGCTAACCCCCCCCAAAAAAAAATTCCCCCAGGCAGGAAGCAGCCAGGCTTTGAAGCTGCAAAGCCATTCAATACTAATCAAGCTGGCCAACTGCAACATTCATACTTGCCTCCAACAAACTAGAATTCTTTCTCCCACCCTGGACATTCCACAGATATATAAACCTCACTTGCCTAGTTTCCACAGGCGTAACAACTCTGAGGATGCCTGCCATAGATGTGGGCAAAATGTCAGGAGAGAATGCTTCTGGAACATGGTCACACAGCCCCAGAAAATTCACAGCAACCCAGTGATTCTGGCCATGAAAGCCTTCAACAACACAAGGAATACAGACGATAAGTTACAATGGCGATTCCACTTTTGTGTGCTTTTTAATTTTTCCTGATTTGTGTCATGGTTGCGTGAGAATTATCAATACCAACGTTTTTGCAAATGTTCCCAGCAAAGTGGAGCCATGCAATTTGCCTTCATTGCCCCATCCTTGTTGGCAGGCACAGAATACACTGGGAACAATATGCTGCTTTGTCTTTTATTTCTGGTCATACAGATACAAACAAAAGCCATTCATAATGGATTTTAGCGATTTTGGAAAATTTACTTCCCTGCTGTCTGAGAGTGTGCTGTTAGGTCCCTCAACTTTTATATATACAGGGCATAATAAAGAGCTTTTAGAGCTCAGTGTGAGCAAAGAGGAAAGTGGAAACAACAGTGCCAAAATAATAATATTGAATAATATTGAATAATAATAATAATAATAATAATAATAATAATAATAATAATAATAATAATAATAATGGAAAAGCTGACACAATATGAGGATTTAAAAATCGAACTGCAAAGACTCTGGTACAAGCCAGTCAAGGGCGTCCCAGTGGTGATCGGCACACTGGGTGCAGTGCCTAAAGACCTTGGCCTGCACTTAAACACAATCGGTGCTGACAAAACTACCATCTACCAGCTACAGAAGGCCACCTTACTGGGATCTGCATGCATTATTCGCCGATACATCACACAGTCCTACACACTTGGGAAGTGTCCGACGTGTGATGTAATACAATAGCCAGCAGAGTGATCTTGTTTGCTGTGGACTCATCTTGTTGTGTTTCAAATAATAATAACAATAATGCAACCCATCATTTCTTCTTCAAGTTCTTTTGCATGTTTGCCTGCTCTGGGAAAATAAAGCCACGATTACCTCTTAATATCCTCTATTTTGAATTATTCATACCACCTCCTTTCTTTATTTCCATCTCCAACTTTTGGTTGTTCCTCTCTTACTGATTTAATTTCCTTCCTTTGTTCTTTCATTACTTCCTCTCCTTCTTTTTAATGATTCGGGCCTTCCTTCTTTCCTTTCTTGCTCCTTGTATCATTCTTCCACTCTTTTTCCTTCCTTCATCCCTTTTCATTTTTTCCTTCTTTCCACTTTGCCTTTCTCCTTCCTTCTTTCATTACTTTCTTTCCTTCTTTTCAATTATTCCGTTCTTCCTTCTTTGCTCCTTGTACCTTATTTACACTTTGCTTTTCTCCTTCCCTTCTTTTTCCTTCCTTCAATACAATATACACCATACAATACAAATTTCCAAGAGCCAAGGCATGGAGGGCTACCTGCAAGCCACAGGCTCCTGCACTGGATATATATTTACTACATTTATACCTCGCCGTCTCTCACCCCGAATGTGACTGAGAGTGGCTTACAAGTTATATGTACATACAATGTATTATATTATTAGCATAGCACAATATTAGCATTATACGTTACTATATTGTACTTACTTAAGCGATCCCTCGTAGTCCGAGGATCAGTGTAGTATCCTGGCGGTGGGTCCGTAGGTGACTGTAGAGCCCTATTCTTGATCTGCATCTTCTTCTGCTGTGAGGGCATCGGTTTCCAGGTGGAAGGCGGTCCCGGTTGGGGTTGGCTTGATGCGCCTTCCTCTTGGCACGCTTCTCTCTTTCGCCCTCCATTTGTGCCTCTTCAAATTCTGCAGCACTGCTGGTCACAGCTGACCTCCAGCTGAAGCGCTCAAGGGTTTCCCAGTTCTCAGTGTCTATGTCAGAGTTTTTAAGGTTGGCTTTGAGCCCATCTTTCAATCTCTTTTCCTGCCCACCAACATTCCGTTTTCCGTTCTTGAGTTCGGAGTAGAGCAACTGCTTTTGGAGACGGTGGTCAGGCATCCGGGTAACGTGGCCAGTCCAGTGGAGTTGATGGTGGAGGACCATTGCTTCAATGCTGGTGGTCTTTGCTTCTTCCAGCATGCTGACATTTGTCCACCTGTCTTCCCAAGAGATTTGCAGGATTTTTTGGAGGCAGCGCTGATGGAATCGTTTCAGGAGTTGCATGTGACGCCTGTAGATAGTCCACGTTTCGCAGGCGTATAGCACGGTTGGGAGGACAATAGCTTTATAGACAAACACCTTGTTATCCCTACGGATGTCCCGGTCCTCAAACACTCTCTGCTTCATTCGGAAAGATGCTGCACTCGCAGAGCTCAGGCAGTGTTGTATTTCAGTTGACTTTTGTGGAGAGGTGGCTGCCAAGGTAGCAGAAATGGTCAACATTTTCTAATGTTACACCATTAAGTTGTATTTCTGGCATTGGAGACGGGTTGGCTGGCGACTGCTGGAGGAGAACTTTGGTTTTCTCGATGTTTAATGACATTTAATTGTACTATGCCACTATACCACAATATTATTTGTAATATTTATTTTTATTTTTATACCCTTCCTCCATCTCCCCAAAGGGACTCAGGGTACTTACAAAGGGACATGCCCAACAAAACAGGTTAAAATAAGCATCGAGACACAATCAATGTCAAACATCAATAAACATAAAATTGGACAACATTATAAAAACGATTAAAAGCAAATAAAGTGTTATAATATATAATTAATATTGTTATATCATATTATTATTATATTGTATTACATTACAATATTATTAGTATTATAGATAAGATTTTCCCCTTCACAGTAAGTCAAGTCGTGCAAGACTCTGGGGGTTGGTGCTCATCTCCATTTCTAAGCCGAAGAGCCGGTGTTGTCCGTAGACATCTCCAGGGTCATGTGCCCAGCATGACTGCATGGAGCGCCGTTACCTTCCTGCCGGAGCGGTACCTATCGATCTACTCACACTTGCATGTTTTCGAACTGCTAGGTTGGCAGAAGCTGGGGCTAACAGTGGGAGCTCATGCTGCTCCTCAGATTCGAACCTGCAACCTTTCAGTCAGCAAGTTCAGCAGCTCAGCGCTTTAACCCACTGCACCAGCAGTATGTTATATTATTATCATAGCACAATATTAGTACTATGTAATACTATATTGTTGCTGGGAGGGAGGGGCCCTAGACTGATTTGGGAGTTGTTGTTGCTGGGATTTATAGTTCACTTATAATCAAAGAGCATTCTGAACTTCACCAGTGATGGATTTAAACCGAACTTGGCACACAGAACTCCCATGACTAACAGAAAACACTGGAAGGGTTTTGTGGGCACTGACCTTGAGTTTGGGAGTTGTAGTTCACCTATATCCAGAGGAGTGCTGTGGATTCATGCAATGATGGATCTGGACCAAACTTGGCACGAATACTCAGTATGCCCAAGTGTGAACACTGGTGGAGTCTGGGGCAAATAGACCTTGAAATTTAGAAGTTGTAGTTGTTGGGATTTATAGTTCACCTACAATCAAAGAGCATTCTGAACTCGACCAACACACAGAATCCCAATGACCAACAGAAAATACTATGTTTTCTGGTGGTCTTTGGCGACCCCTTTGACACCCTCTCACGACCCCCTCAGGGGTCCCGACCCCCAGGTTGAGAAACACTGCTCTATGGCCAGGCGTATGCGCCTAAGGGTCACAGCCGCAAAGTAGCCTATGGCTTACAGCTCAGAGGGTGCAGTTCCCCGATGCGGCCAGTCGGTGGCAGCAAAGTCCCGTGCATTGGAGCCACAGAGTGATGAGCAAAAGGCGGCTGTAGAGAAAGAGCCAAACCATGGAGGTGCAATTCTGAATGTGTCCACTGGGGGCAGTAAAGAGAGGGGACATTCGAGTTTACTTAATCTAAGGCGATCACTTGTTGGCAGAGTAGGATAGTTTTCCAGGATTAGTGTCCTGGCGGTGGGTCCATAGGTGACTGTGTAGCCATATTCTTGACCTGCATGTTCTCCCGCAGTGAGGACATTGTTTTACAGTCAGGGTGGGATTGACGCGCCTTCCTCTTGTCACGTTTCTCTCTTTCGCCCTCCATTCGTGTCTCTTCAAATTCTACAGCACTGCTGGTCACAGCTGACCCCCAGCTGGAGTGCTCAAGGCCCAGGGCTTCCCTGTTCTCAGTGTCCATGCCAGAGTTTTTAAGGTTGGCTTTGAGTCCATCTTTAAATCTCTTTCAATAATAATAATCTTTATTTAATACCCCGCCACCATCTCCCCAATGGGGACTCGGGGCGGCTTACATGAGGCCAAGCCCAACAGCATATTACAATAAAATAAAACCAAAAAACACAATAGCAACACAGTAAAATGCATACAACATAGGAGTACAAAAAAAAACCCGCGATAAAGCAAAATCATAAAAATAAATGAGCGGGCTGCATGTGCAAGATAAAAACTAAAATGACTAAAATCAGGATGAGACAGGAATGGAGCAGATTGTTTGTGAGGGAGAAACTCGTAAAGGAATGGGGTCATAAAAATAGGCCTTCCTACAAGTGGGGAAATATACTCTGGGGACAAAAGAAAACAGTTGAGGGGGAGCAACTGTGTGATGGCTACTCTCCAAAAGCGCATCGGAAAAGCCAGGTTTTGAGATCCCTCTAGAAAGTTTCTAAGGTGGGGGCCTTCGTAATCTCGCCAGGCAATGAGTTCCAGAGTCGGGGGGCCACAGAGGAGAAGGCTCTCTCCCTTGTGCTCACAAGACGAGCCTGTGATAATGGCAAGCGCCATCATTCCGTTTTCCATTCTTGAGTTTGGAGTAGAGCAACTGTGTTGCGAGACAGTGGTCGGGCATCCGGGCAACGTGGCCGGTCCAGCAGAGTTGATGGCAGAGGACCATCGCTTCAATGCTGGTGGTCTTTGCTTCTTCCAGCACGCTGACATTTGTCCGCTTGTCTTCCCAAGAGATTTGCAGGATTTTCCGGAGGCAACGCTGATGGAATCGTTCCAGGATTGCATGTGACGTCAGTAGATAGTCCACGTTTCGCAGGCATATAGCAGGGCTGGGAGGACAATAGTTTTATAAGCAAGCATCTTGGTATCCCTACAGATGTCCCGGTCCTCAAACACTCTCTGCTTCATTCGGAAAAAAGCTGCACTTGCAGAGCTCAGGTGGTGTTGTATTTCAATGTTAATGTTGTGTGGTGGCTGCCAAGGGAGCAGAAATGGTCAACATTTTCTAATGTTACACCATTAAGCTTTATTTCTGGCATTGAAGAGGGATGGGCTGGTGACTGCTGGAAGAGCACTTTGGTTTTCTCGATGTTCAATGACAGGCCGAGCTTCTCGTAAGCTTCTGCAGGTCATTGTAGAGGTGCCCAAAGCTTTGGAAAATTGGGATGGATTTGGGCAAAACTACCCCTGAATGACCAGTAGAGGGCCCCTGAATAGAGGTCAATGCTTTTCTGTATTTAAAAAAAAGGTAAACATCAAAGAGCAGGAAGGTGGAGCACCAGCTGCTTGAATGTAGTCATCTCTCTATAGTAGTGTCCCTGTGGAATATACGCAGAAGGCTTTTAAAAATTCCTTTACATATGATCTGTGCATTATTCATGTTTTGTCCTATATGAATGCATTTTCACAGGTGCAGCTACAGCAGCGTTTCTCAGCCTTCCTAATGCTGTATATCTAAAATGGCAAATCATTACAGAGGGCAAATGAGGAGATGATGTGTGATCTCCTCCATCTTGAACAGTATCTCTCAATCTTCCCGGTGACTACTTCTGAATTTATTTATTTGTCGTGTCAGGACAACCAGTGAAATTATATTACATTTCTAACAGAACAAAGCAAACAAACAGACAAAATTTGTGAGTTTGGTAGTTGATTAAATGTCCTTTGACCAGTATCTGACCACCTGGAGTGCTTCTGGTGTTGCTGCAAGAAGGGTGTCACGGGGTGTCTGCGCCCTACACCACTGGAGAAATTACACTGCTTAGCCGGTATTGCACCACCTGACATCCGTCGGGAAGTAGCAGCCAATAGTGAAAGGACCAAGGCAGAGACAGCTCATCCCGTTTGGATATCAGCCAGCACGTCAATGACTTAAATCAAGACATAGTTTTCTAAGATCTACAGAGACACTCACTGGAACACCTCAACAAGTGAGAGTCCAAAAGTGGCAGGCTCAAACCCAGGACTGGGAGACTTGGAAGGCGCTGAACAGACTGCGCTCTGGCACCACGAGATGCAGAGCCAACCTTCAGAAATGGGGCCACAAAGTGGAATCCATGACATGCGAGTGTGGAGAGGAGCAAACCATTGACCACCTGCTGCAATGCAACCTGAGCCCTGCCACATGCACAATGGAGGACCTTCTTGCAGCAACACCAGAAGCACTCCAAGTGGCCAGATATTGGTCAAAGGACATTTAATCAACTACTTCTGAATGCGCACAGATGGCATTGTCATCAGCATACTGGAGTTCTATGAGAGATGTTGTTGCATTCGAGCACTGCGGGGCTAAATAGGAGATGCATTGAAACTCCCCCTCCCTCCCTCTCATTTGGCATAAACTCTGTTTTAGGATAACACTATGGATCTTGAGTTATTATTATTATTAATATTGTTATTTATTTAGACCATTTCTACCCCGCCCTTCTCATCCCCGAGGGGGACTCAGGGCGGCTAACTCAGGCAACAATTCAATGCCAACAGTATCAATAACAACACTAGAAGCACTCCAAGTGGCCAGATACTGGTCAAAGGACATTTAATCAACTACTTCTGAATGCGCACAGATGGCATTGTCATCAGCATACTGGAGTTCTATGACGGATGTTGTTGCATTCGAGCACTGCGGGGCTAAATAGGAGATGCATTGAAACTCCCCCTCCCTCCCTCTCATTTGGCATAAACATTCTGCTTTAGGATAACACTATGGATCTTGAGTGCTAATGAGGAAATTAAGAAGAGAGGGAGACCCCTATGGAACCCACTGCTGTCAATTGAAAGAGAAAGGAATGCTTCCCTGGTTCCCTTTTGTTCGATATTGGCAACTTCAGGCTTCGTCTGCTCTTCTACGCATGCGCAAGGCAGAGAGGAAGGGGGGCGAAGAAACTCCGCGCGCAGGCGCAGAAAGGCAGGCGCGTGCCCGAGTGACGTCACACCACCAACGGCAGAGCGGGAAGGAAGGAGGGGGGAGGGAGGGAGAGAGAATCTCTGCCTCGCGCACGCGCACTCCCACCCTCCCTCGCCCGCCTGCCGCTTCCCCAGCCCAAGCCTGTGATTGGTGCAGGCCTCAGACCTGGCGGGCCCCGAATGCCAGGCCCCGAAAAAAGCGGCCTTCGCGGTCGTTCCTGCGGCCTCCGCCCAGCGAGGTGAGGAGCGAGTACGTAGCGGGGAAGGAATAGCGGAGAACGCGGTGAGGGGAATATGGAGGAAGGGAGTTCTGAGGGGAGAGGCCTGGGCGAGGCCTACTAGGCCTTCCCAGTGAAAGAGCCCTTTCTTCGCGTTTTGTGGTTTCATGGACGTCTCGGGCTGCCGTAGGGAGGTGAGCTAAAGCGGGCGACGGAAGGAAGGAAAGAAGGAAGCGGGGTTGTTGTGCTTGCCGCAAAGAAGGCCCCGACGAGGCCTGACAAAATGGCGCCGAGACAGAGAAGGCCTCCCTTTGGAGCAGACCCCCCCCTTCCCCCTCCATTCTTTCCCCTTCCCTCTCTATCCGAGGAAAGCCTTTCATGGACGGAGGACTCTCTTGTCTCTTCTTCTTCTTCCTTCTCCTCCTCCTCCGCCGGTCTTTGTCTCTCAGCCTGTCATCCCTCCATCCGCTTTTCTTCCTTCCTTCTTTCCTTCCTTTCTTCTTCGGGGCTGGCGCCCTGCCCTGCCATGCCCTGCCGCCCCGAGGAAGGACGGGTCCAACCCCACCCCCTTTGGCAGGCCAGCCGCCGCCTTATTGTTTGCTCATCGCGGGACCTGATTGGAAGCGAGAGGGAAGAGGAGGAGGAGGGAGGGAGAGAGAGGCGGGCAGGAAGGCAGAGGCAGGCGCGCCCCCGCCTTGCGCACGCGCTCTCCCGCCTCCCTCCCTCTTCCTTTTGAAACCTGAAACGCCTTGGCTAGGAAGCGCCCTATATTTGGGCTATACACGCAGCCCCCCTCCCTAAGCTGCCGCGGTACCTTGGGAAGTCTGACTTGGCCACGGTAGTCCACGCTCTGGTTACATCCCGCATAGATTACTGCAACGCGCTCTACGTGGGGTTGCCTTTGAAGACTGCTTGGAAGTTTCAAATGGTCCAACGGGCGGCAGCCAGGTTGCTAACAGGAGCGGCGCTCAGGGAGCACACAATTCCTCTGCTGCATCAGCTCCACTGGCTGCCAGTTTGCTACCGGGCTCAATTCAAAGTGCTGACTGTAGCCTATAAAGCCCTAAACGGTTCTGGCCCAGCCTACCTATCCGAACACATCTCTTCCTACGAACCCTCCAGGAAGTTAAGATCATCAGAGGAGGCTCTGCTCTCGATCCCGTCTGCTTCGCAAGCACACTTGGCGGGGACGAGGGACAGGGCCTTCTCAGTGGTGGCCCCTCGGCGTGGAACTCCCTGCCTAGGGATATTAGATCAGCCCCCTCCCTCCTGACTTTTCGGAAGAGAGTAAAAACCTGGCTCTTCGAGTCGAGCAAACATTCAGAACCCCAGAATAGATAGTCAAGCTTGAGGTGGAGAATGACCCAGGAACGGCCAAGACGATGAAACGGATGAGGATTGGAATGAGAGGATATAGCTCTTTTTAAATTGCACTGTGTTTTGTCTTTTTTGTCTAAATGCACTTAATTGTTTTTGCTGTTGTATTGTATTGATGGCATCGAATTGTGCCGATATGTAGACCGCCCTGAGTCGTCTGCAGGCTGATATGGGCGGGATATAAGTGATGTAAATAATAAATAAATAAATAGGAAATATTATTATTATTAACTTTATTTATACCCTGCAAAATCTCCCGAAGGACTCGATGCGGCTTACAAAGGCCAAGGCCGCCGACAATCAACAACATACAATACACAATAAACTCATAAGCAAATAATAAAACATCAAGCAAACAATAAAAACAGTAAAACAATGACACCGTGACGCAATTAAAACCTAAAGGCCGGGCCAAATGTAATGGACAAAATTTAAAAGTGCTGAACTTGACAGGTAATATGTAGAGGTATTTGGAGGTAGGCGTAGTGTGCAGATAATCCTGAATCTCTAGCAAAGTGCATTTGGGACTTGAAGCCAGGAGTAGTAGATAGGAAGAATAATGCTATGCTCATATTACTGTTTTAAGGGTTCTAGATATCATTTTAGAATTGGGTGTGAGACAAGAGATCAGCCACTAGAAGCAACTATAACAATGCATCATTGCCTAGAAATTGGCAGGGTTGCAGAATTCTATACTGTGATTAAACCGTAAGACTAAAGATATCTAAGAACCTCACTAGGTCTCTTTAGGACAATCACTTATCCTCAGAGAGACTTTCACAGAGTTATTGGAATGTTAGAATGGAAGGTAGAATATCACTGCCAGCTTTGGCATGCGTACATTGAGCGGTATGCCCAAGTGAGACCACATCTGGTGTTACATGTGTATGCTATACACACACACATTATGAGGGATGAGTTATTTGCTTCTATCTAAATCACAGATAGCTGTGATGATCTGGATGAGGGCAAACAAATTGAAATTGAATCCAGACAAGACAGAGGTACTCCTGGTCATTCGAAAGGCTGGATACAGTATAACAGTGGTTCTCAACCTTCCTTTTGCCATGACCCCTTAATAGAGTTCCTCCTTTTGCGGTGACCCCCCAACCATAAAATCATTTTCATTGCTACTTCATAACTGTCATTTTGCTACTGATATCAATTGTAATTGTAATCTGATGTATTTTCATTTACTGGACCAAATTTGGCACTACTCAATACACCCAAGTTTGAATACTGGTGGGGTTGGGGGAGGGTTGATTTTGTCATTGGGGACTTGTAGTTGCTGGGATTTATAGTTCACCTACAATCAAAGACCCTTCTGAACTCCACCAATGATGGAATTGAACCAAACTTGGCACACAGAACTCCCAGAACTCTTGTTCTTCGGTTACACACACACACACACACCCTCCCAAAATCACAGCTTGGGAGTTTTCCTTCCACTTCATTACACTAGAGAGAAAAATCCACTTAAAATCCTGCAGAATTATGGGGTTTGTAGTTTAGTGAGGCTGAACTACAACCCCCAGAATTCTGCAGGATGCAGAAACCTGATTTTAAGTGGATTGTTTTCTCCAGTGTGATGAGGCCTCTGGATTCATCACTGAGTCTGGAACTCCAGGTCTCAGCTGTGGCCACAGGAGCTTTTGCGCAATTAAAACTTGTTGCACCCGTACTTTGATAAACCAGACTTGGTCATGGTAGTCCACGCTCTTGTTACATCTCAAATAGACTATTGCAGCACACTTTAAATGAGGTTGCCTTTGAAGACTGTTAGGAAACTCAAGTAGTCCAGTGGGTAGCAGCGTACAGGGAGCATACAACCCTCATTACATCAGCTCCACTGGCTGTCAGTCTGCTGCTGAGCACAATTCAGAGTGCTTACTTTAGTCTGTAAAACCCTAAACAATTCTGGCTCAGCTTACCTGTCCAAATGTTTCTCCCCCTATGAACCAACTCAGAGAGGCCCTGCTCTCATTCCCACCTTCTTTGCAGGTGCAACTGAGGGGACAAGGGACTGGGCCTTCTCAGTGGTGCCCCCCTCGGCTATGGAACTCCCTCCCCAGCAATATTAGATTGGCTTCTCCCCCCCCCCCCCCCCCCCCCGGTTTTCAGAAATAAAGTCAAAACCTGGCCGTGGAACCATTTGTTCGGGGAGTAGGATAACCGCAATCCACATCCACAGAACCAATAGCTCGATTTGGTGCTATGTTTTGAATTGTATTTAAATATTTTATTTAATTAATTTTAAATTTTAATGTGTTGTATATTGTATGCTTTTATGTTTCAATGTGGCATTGAAGATTTGCCAAAATTAGAAGCTGCTCTGAGTCCCCTCCGGGTGAGATAGAGCAGAGTAGAAACGCAATAAATCAATAAAATAAGATAGTTTGTGTACGTTGGTTTTTTTAAAAATTCTTTTAATATTAAAACAGAATATACAATTAACTAGTCTTTTATCATAAAAACACTATCTAAATAGGGAAAGTACATAATATTTCAAAAGGATAAAAATGATGTTTTAATACAGCTTGTACATAAAATCATTGAGCATTTTAACTTTTTGCATCATAGCTTATCTAAAATAATAAATAATAATAAATATTTACTTATATCCCACTTTTCTCCCTAATAGAACTCAAAGCGGCTCACAACATAATACAGTACAAATCAAAGCACATTTAACATAAAATACAAGACAAAAACCAAACAAATCATAATAACATCCAGAAATAAAATATAAATAAATATTAAGCTTTAAAACCATGTATGTATGTATGTATGGTGTATATATGCGACATTCGAGAACAAATGTCCAAATTGCAGAATGCAAAATTGTTATATGATATTGTATCTTTCTTAATTTTATTTGTTGTAAACAATTTATATGTCAGTGCAGTTTGGGCCATAGGTTCTGTTGTGGCCCTTTAGCTCTATACATTAAGAAACATCCTGTGTTGTGGCGTACTTCCTCAATACGGATACTGTTTCAATATGTTTGTAACTATGTTTTTAACTTTATAATAATAATAATAATAATAATAATAATAATAATAATAGAATGAGGGAAGCACACAACAAAGAGCAGCTGCCTCATCTCTCAATACATTCACAATTTACCATCCTAAATACTCTGCACAGAGAGAGGATACATTGCACTGAGTAAAGAGACTTTTCAGTGATGTTTGGAAATATCAGAGAATTAAACAGGGCTTCTAGCATCCACAAACTGCAAGGCATGATGGTCTGGTGTCAAATTTGTAATTTTTCAAGGCAGGGAAGTAGAGTCAGCAGAAATGTACCAACTCTGGCTTCAAAATAAAAACTTACAGTATAACTAAAAAAGAAAAGGATGTTGGTAAGCGGCAATCTCTTTCGTCCTCTGTCATTACCCCTCCCCACCCCTGAAAACCCTGCAATTATTTAAAGTTGATCATGCAGTATCTGTGTGCCAAGCTTGTTCCAGATCCATCATTGGTTGGGTTCACAGTGCACCCTGGATGTGGGCGCACTATAACTCCCAGCATCCCAGACCAATTCCTTTCAAATCCCAACAGTATTCATAGTTGGCCATGTTGGGTATGTGTACCAAGTGTGGTCCAGGTCCCTCACTGGTTCACTTCACAGTGCTGTCTGGATGTGGGTGAACTTTAATTCCCAAAAATCCAGTATCAGTCTCCCCAATTTTCCAGTATTTTATGTTGGCCATGAGAGGTCTATAATGCCAAGTTTGATTCAGATCTATCATAGTTGGGAGTTGGGTCTCTCTGAAAATGTGAGCCATCTTGGAAATCGCCCACAAGCCCACGTATGTATGTACATACATACATACACATTCTAATTTTTATTATAGAGAGGAGAGAGAGAGAGTGCCATTTTTAAAACCATTGCTTTATTCATAATGAGATCTCTTTAGAAATGGACCCCAGATTGAAACACAAGACCTTTCTCTGCCAGCAGTCATTTGGAGAAGGATAAGGGGAAGTTGTGGGGGGAATTGCATGTTTTAAAATGCATCTTTAATTATATTTATTATATTTTAACTGCCTTTTAACCTCTCTCACACACAATAATATTTAATTTGTTTTTGAAACATTTTTGTATTCACTTTGTTTAAAATTAATCAAAGCATGTTGTTAGCCATCTTGAATCCCCTCAGGGAGAAAGGTGAGGTATAAATAAATAATAAATTTATTTCACAGATGGTACACATTGCCTGAAAATAATTTTATACACAATATTTTAATGCTTTCTTTCTTTTTAATTGATAATTTTATTAATTCAGAAAAACTAACACCAAACCTAAAAACAGACAAAAAAGGGCAAGAATTTAAAGCATAGGACAAAAACAATAATAGTAAAGATAGATTTTCTTAATATAAAAAACACACTGATACTATGGGCCCTTCCGGCAGGCCCTATATCCCAGGATCTGATCCCAAGTTTTCTGCTTTAAAGTGGATTATATGAGTCTGCACTGCCAGATAATCTGGTATAAACAGAAAACCTGGGATCAGATCCTGTGATATTGGGCCTATCTGGAAGGGCCTTATAATATATTGAATGAAAATATATATTGTAAGCCTGAGTCCCCTTCGGGGTGAGAAGGGCAGCATATAAATGCCATAAATAAATAAATAAATAAATAAATAAATAAATAAATCCACTAAAACAACAACATCAAACATTAAGTACATCCAAATGTACAGTACCTAGTCTAATGGCTTTACACTCTGTCTGGTGATTTTATTCTCTCATTTTTTCTTGCTCAGTAAAAGAAGAAAAACTATTAATACATTCTTTTCACCACAAGATGACACTCTTCTAATTTAAAAAAATCATAGAGGTTTGATCCAATATTTGCTGAAGAAATGTAATAATAAGTCCCAGCCTTTGTTGAAAGTGATTAGAGATTTCTCCTGGATTAACATCGTGAGTTTGTCCATTTCCATTAGTGCACACATCTTCGCAAGATAATCTTTTTGCATTAGGATAGCTGATTATACCTTTGAGCATAGATGATTCTCACTATTGTAGTCATATATATGATTTTAATACTTTTCTAAATGAAATATCTTGTACAAACTTGTATAGTAATTGCACTGGTATATAAATATAAATCATTTTCTCCAGATAGTAACAGAGTCTATTATTACGCAGTGGTTCTACTTCTGTTTGCTCCTGATTGAAATCACTGGAAAAGGAAGAGAAAATTATATCTACTATCTCAATATTGTCTTATTTAATTCTGCAATTTGATAAAACATTATTAAAAGACTGATTGTATAACTAGCAATTTCTGTATAATTTTCCTTTTACAGTCCATGAATGAACATATATGATTATGGATCCAGGTGGTGGAAGCCTTGGACTGCAGGAATCCAAAATGCCTCACACTATGATTATGCAGGATTTTGGTAACACTTCTCTATTTCTAATTCAAATTATTTGCTGATCAGTTGTTTTATATTATAAAGTAACAGTTCTTTACATAGATGACGAAAGTATTATAGTTGAGTAAAAGTTTGGGACACTTTGGGATAAGAGACTTAAGACCCCATCTACAGTGACCATTTAATACAGTTTGAAGCAGCGGCCACACAACAAACATCCTATATATAGAGAGAAGAGAGAGAGAGAGCTAGCGCATTAGGCCTTTCAGTGTTGTTTAGGCCTTTCAGTGTTGTAAATCTCCCATATTGACAACTGAATAGCAGGAGACATTTGACATCAATTTTCAATTACTTGCTTCTGAGCAATTAAGCATAAACTTGATCACTCACAAGCAGGTCTTGTGAATGTATGGTTCCTATTCTTCACTATAAGTGAATGGACATATCCTGTGTTCATGGAGAAATATGGTTAGTACTGGTTTGACCAAAGTAAAAACTGAGTGATAATTTCATTTGGAGCATTTTATCTGAACTCTTTAAACATTCTACAAATTTCCTGTGAAAAGCTGCAGAACTCCTTGTTAGTATAGCCTTTTGAAACTATAAATAGAAGATTGGAGTATGCTCTAGATCAGTGGTTTCCAACCAGTTGTTTTGGACTTCAACTCGTAGAAATTCCAGCCATCTTACCAGCTGTTGGGAATTGTGGGAGCTGAAGTCCAAAACACCCGGCGGACCAAAAGTTGGGAACCACTGCCCTAAATAACTGCATTCATCAGCCAAAGATGCATACTACTGTATTATAGCAATATAACTATTAATATGCTTTCTCATTCATAATTGTTTCACAGTGGCTGGAATGACTGGTACGGCTCACATTGATGGAGACCATATTGTTGTATCAGTCCCTGAAGCTGTCTTGGTCTCTGATGTTGTCACAGACGATGGAATAACACTTGATCATGGCTTAGCAGCTGAAGTTGTCCAAGGACCTGATATCATAACTGAAACTGATGTTGTTACAGAAGGTGTCATTGTTCCCGAATCTGTATTGGAAGCTGATGTTGCTATTGAAGAAGCACTAGATACCAGTGATCACGTATTGACTTCTGATCTAATAACAGAAACTGTTAGAGTTCCTGATCAGGTCTTTGTCGCTGATCTTGTTACGGGGTCTGATGGACATTTGGAACATGTAGTACAAGATTCTGTATCAGGAGCTGACTCTCCCACGATGGTTTCAGAAGAGGTTCTTGTAACCAATTCAGATACAGAAACTGTGATTCAGGCAGCTGGCACTGTTCCTGGTTCTACAGTTACTATAAAAACGGAAGATGATGATGATGGCAAGAGCACATCTGAAGACTATTTAATGATATCTTGTAAGTGAAGGAAAGGTATATGAGATTGAAACTGCTTAAACTTAAAGTGATCTAATGCTTTAGAAAGTGTTATTGATTGTAAATGTGAGCATTATTTTTCTGATCAAACTTAGAGGAAATATTGCTTCACTCTAGTATTTCTGTATAGTATTTAAAGTGTAGTATATCTCTTCAATATTATATTTTAGTTTCAAGGAAAAAAATTGGAAAGAATTCAAGGTAGGGTCGCAGGGGTGCTATGACGGTTACGGTCTGAGTCCTGTTGTTCATCTTGTCTGGAATAAGCCTATAGAATCAGTGGAAAATATACATAAATGTCCTTTTGCCGGTTACTGTTGATTCACTGAGTATTGTAATTGGAACTAAGGATTGAGACCCTAGTAAGACTCAGCAATGATGACTGAGAAATTGAGAATACTATTCAAGATCATGTAATCTGCCTCATGTTTTTCTTTTCTTCCACTCCCTCCAAAAATTGTTTTATTTATTCTCATACTGGTAGCTGTATCTTCTAATCATAGTGAATGTTTCTCCAGAGCTCTCCAGTTCCACGTATTATGTGGAGGTATATAACTATATTGCAGCACAGATCCAGTCGAGATTTTTCTGTCCCAGTATTAAGAAGTATTTAACATCGATGGGATTTGACTATGAGTGCTTTGTGTGTGGAAAATACTGAATTTTCAGGTGGTTTTACTTACCTCTGTCCCTTTATGAGCCACATACATGGCTCATACACTTGTCCTGTTGCATTTTCTATGACCTTTGTTCCAATTAAAAGCAAAAACAAAAATGGCTTAAATTAACTGTTGGTATGGCAAAAGAGGGGGTCCCTTGTGGCAAGCGGGTTAAAACGCTGAGCTGCTGAACTTGCTAACCGAAAGGTTGGCGGTTCGAATCCGGGGAGTGAGCTCCCGCTATTATCCCCAGCTTCTGCCAACCTAGCAGTTAGAAAACATGCAAATGTGAGTAGATCAATAGGTACTGCTTCTGGGGTAGGTAATGGCACTCCATGCAGTCATGTTGGCCACATGATCTTGGAGGTGTCTTTTTAAGTCTTCAGCTTAGAAATGGACATAAGCACCACCCCCCAGAGTCGGACACTTAATGTCAGGGGAAACCTTTACGCTTACATTCATGGCAAAAAAGAATGCAAATCGCCCCTCTCTCCCGTGCTAACCTTTGAACACTACAGATTTCTTTGAACACTACAGATTTCTTTTTGTAAACTGACCTGAGCCGCCCTCGGACTGAGAAAGGCAGTATATAAATATGGTTAATAATTAATTAATTAATTAATTAATAATAAATTAACTAGAACCAACTCTGTTTTGTTTGTCATGTCTATTGTAATTATTTCCTGGGAGGATAAGTTTGTGCTTTTAAAAGACATTACCAAAGTACAGAAAGCTGCTCATGCACATGACTTTTTAAAATTGTGGAATGTATTCTTTGATTTCTTTTTGAAATCCTAATGCAGCACATAAATTTAAATGACAGGTACATCTTTTCAAACTTTTTTAATATCCACATTTTATAATGACATGTTACAAAGCAGTTCGCAATGATAAAAAAAACACTCAATGTAACATGAGGTAGCCGGTACAAGTACATGATTATCGTACAAGTAAAATAAAACATTCCCCTTTTTTCTTTTGTTTTTCAGGTTTGTGATGTTCAAACCCCCACAGTGGATTGCTAGCTCTCAATCCATTCGATGACACTACATGCACAATGCTGGTGATCCTATGCCCACTACAGAACCACACTGGAGCGGTCTTTTAGGGGTAAGGTAATATTCCACCACCACCTCCTTTTAAAAACCTATTACAGCATAGCAGGGGTGGACAACTTTGTCTTGCTTTGAGCCATTTCCCCAAACTAACAAGCAAGTCTTCTTCCACTTTGATAGGCTTCCACCGCTCTTGGTAACCATGCAGTTGTATGGTGGCTGGGCTAGAAAATGTGTTGCTACTAGTCCCTAGATGTACTGTGTGGGTCATGGGCACATAAGCTGCAGCCCGTGTCCTCAGAAATGGTGCTGTGGACCAGAGCATACCAGAGTAGCAGGGCCACATCTGGTATGTTGGCTAAATGTTATCCACCCCTGCCATATGATGTTGCGTAGTTTGCTACCAATATAAATACATTCCTATACTGTTCCCTGTAAGAGAAACTCAGAAAATAAAATCTTCAAACATTTTGCACAGCTGTAAGACTTTTCCGCCTTTTTCATGGGCTATTTTATGGTGGGAGTCATATCACCAGCATAGTGCAGTCCGAGACATCACATGAGTTGGGAGCTGGCAATCCACAGTGAACCTGAACATCTCACACCTGGAAACTGCTAAGAAAGGTAAGTTAAAGGTGGTAAAGGTGTTCTTTTCTTCTTCTTTAAATAGGCATTTTTTTGCAGTGTATCTTTCATGTTTTGAAACTCCACAGTGACTTGGTTATTAGGTTATTGATAACTTCAGACAACTTTTTTTCTATTTTCTGCTGTTCTTTTCCCCCCATTATGGTTTGACTGTGTTGTCCAAAATGTAATGGTCCATGTTGGTCTGAGGAAATATGTGGAATTAAATAATGCATAAAACGGATACGTTTTACTTATTCTATATCTGTGTGATCTTTTTATGCCTCTGCAAGTCTCTTTGCATTTTACCATTAATGGAAATGTGTTAAATTCAGGTGTATTTTCTTTTCTTTAGGGGTAAGGATGGGGTGAATCAGGAGTCTGGGAGAGACAGCTTGATGGCCTGGTTATGTTGTTACCATAAGAATAGCAGACATTTAACTAAAATGAATAGGTGAACTGTGCATCTATATCAGGCATGGGCAAACTTCAGCCCTCCAAGTGTTTTGGACTTTAACTCCAATAATTCTTAACAGCTTGATATTATTATATCAAGTTGTTATCCTCAATGTAAACACGCTGAGATACCCTTTGATATATCTCGAAATGCAAAAGGTCAAGAAAAAATTAATTTGACCTACACATTATTTATTTCCTTATTTCAATTGCAGTATGACCCCTGTATCCACAATAACAGTATCTGCAATTTCATTTACCCACATCTGGCGATATATTTCCTCTCTAGGCATTTCCTAGGTCCTCCGGTGTGACTATTATATTTTTCCACCTGGAGATTTTTTTTTCTCAATAGGGTTTGCTATGATTTATTATTTTTGCTAACTCTGGTCTTTTCTGTTGTTTTCTAAAGTAACATGTATTGAATAGATTTATAATCTTTATGTTTTGACAACATTCATATAAATGTATCTAACTGTTAAAATGAATATATATATATATATATATATATATATATATATATGTTGAAATGAATAGGATTTTATGACTATTCAGTTTTGCAGACATGCACAAACTCATTAGTTTTTATTTTATTGTCCATAAAGTTGCTGTTGCATTTTATATCACTCTTGGGGACAATTGTGCATAGCAGTGATGTAATTCTATTTTTTTAAAGAAAAAAATAATGCATCACATTCCAAAGGCAAAGGGTTATTTCAAAAGAAAAACACTTTTGTTATACACGTCCGGGTTTAGGTTTTTCTGTTTTTCCAGAAAACCTAAACCTTAAATAATTAGGGTTGTTTGTGAGATAAACATTAGACCAGTTTCTTTAGAAACGGTGAGCCACACATGCTTTATATGCTCCTCACAGAATCAAACCTCTTCTATCCCTTCCAGTCTTTAACCATAATTTGATATTATACTGACTCTGATCTTAACTAGAAGCCACTCTTAAAGAAGATTGATTGACTAGTACTGGTATTAACACATTCTGGTTTAGGAAAAAAAACTGGTAGCTCTGTTCATCATTAAGGTCAGTTCAGCATATATCTTAACCATGATTAAGTTTCGTACAGAAGATTTACATACAAAGAGGACCTCAGGAATTTGAAGTGTTAACATCTGTTTCAATTTTTATTGGCCAACTGAGTAACGTTTTGAACGGACATAGTTTTATTATCATTTCATCTTTTATACTGTGCTGCTTTAGAAAGCAAGCGACATCTGTGTAATAATGCAATGATCAAATATTACTTGACGTCTTGCAAGATAACGTCAGAGTTGAAATTTTAAAATGGTAAAAATTGCATTCCTATAATGTATTCATTACTGTCAATAGGAAGAAAGAGCAACAGTGTAACAAAAAAAATGCCATGGCTTATTTAGAAGCTCAATCAGACACAAGATACACGTTTTTACATGATACTTGCTGGTCTTTGTGGTAATGAAGTTAAATTGGTTGATTTTTGAAATAGTAAAATAATTAGTACAATATGTTTATGCTTTGTGAGCTCTTTTCAGCACAAGAAAAAGGTCATTGATTTGCATGCCAGCTTTGTAATAGCCGTCATGTTGTGTTGTGCCTAAATGAATTTAAAATACTTGGGCAGAATTGATGGTAATTGCTGTGTGTTTACCCTCAACTGAACTGTATTTTTTTATTATAGTGGATGATGTTGGGGAAAAGCTAGATCATATTGGAAACACTCCCTTAAAAATCAGCACTGAAGTGTCACACGATGACGTATCTAAAGATGATGGGTTTGGTTCTGAAGTTATTAAAGTTTACATATTTAAAGCAGAGGCTGAGGACGATGTGGAAATAGGTACGTGTTTCAAATTCCATTTGTGGTAGTTGGTAGATGCTTGACAAAATCTTAGCTGTCTGTGTTAGGTAAACTGAATACCTTTGTAATGGGCTCTTGTTAGATTTCCTTTAGCAAGAAAATCTAAAGGAAGTAGATGGCCAAAAGAAAGAGAGATGTGCCCATACATTCCAAATAGCATGCAATGTCCCCTGCTCCTGCCTCATTTACCTCACTCCAGTTCCAGAACCTTCCCTGCTCCTCAAGACCTGTAAATCCTCTCTTGGGTTTGCTCCTGCCTGTCATATGCTAAGTCCATGACAGCTGGTCATGCTGCAGTGCATACAAATTAAAAAATGCTGTCCCACCGTGCAATCGTCTTCCCTAATGGTATTTGTTGACGTTTTATTTCACTCCGCACACAGAAGAGAAATGGAAACATTTTATGGTTTCGATTAAAAGTGTTATCACATGAAAATTATCCCTTCTCTTCAAGGTGGAACAGAAATTGTAACAGAGAGTGACTTTCATAATGGGCATTCTGTAGCTGGAGTTCTAGAGCAAGGAGGCGTTGGCAGAGTTCAGCGAGAGAAGATGGTTTATATGGCTGTTAAGGATTCCTCTCAAGAGGATGAAGATATTAGTAAGAACAACATTTTTTATGTTGTTAAGACAATAACCATGTCGTTTTGCTATATCTTGTACCATTGCTATGATGTGTAAATGTGAATGGGTTTTCTCTGCATTATTACACGATCATTGTGAAAGAAGATAGAAATGATGACAACTAGGGTACCCTGGCTTTTAGTGGAGTTACACATTTTTTTAATGTAGAAAGGGTTGCATGCTCCAGTTCGCAAATAAACTGGATCCCAAACCACCACAGCATTTCTGTTAATCATAAAACTAGTCATAATGTACTATGATTATGCATTGCGTGACACATCAGAACCTTGTGATCTGATATTCAGTTGTCTGACTATTACAGGTTGCACAGTGCACTTATATATGTCTACTCAAAAGCAAGTCCTTTTGAGTTCAATAGTGTTTCCTTCCAGGTAAGTGGATGTAAGCACATTATCTTGGGAATAGGCCCCATTGAGGTCAGTGGGTTTTTTTGGGCTAAACTCACACAAAATTGTACCACCTATCCAAAAAATATAAATAATTCATTTGTTTCTTTTATTTCTTCCTGCAGTAAAGAAAGTCAAGTTAACTTATGTACTGTTATTTGCTGGGAACATTTCCCCCCGAGAAGTTAAGATTATTTAGATAAACAAAACTCAGTTTGTTAATGTCAGTGAACATCTTATAAAAGGCAAAGAAATACAATCAAATGTACATAACATTTGTTACATTATATTTATTTTAATGTAATTTTAGCCATAATATTTACTGCATTTTTATATTTAAAATTATTGGTTTATATTTTATCTTGGTTTACATTTGTTTAGATTTTATCCTAGGCATTTATACGCATGGGCAAACTTGAGCCTTCAAGGTGTTTTGGACTTCAACTCCCAAAATTCCAAACAGCTGGCTGTTAGGAATTCTGGGAGTTGAAGTCCAAAACACTTGGAGGGTCGGATTTTGCCCAGTACTGTAGTAGAGGGAGAAGGTAAACTGCTCAGCCCCCTATTTGTAAGAAGTACTTATACTGACTTAATTTACTGTCTTACAAAAATTACTTGAGGTACTTTGTACTTGGCATTCTAAAGAAACTTTAATTAGTAACAGTAGTTTTCACTAGAAGAGTATGACATATGTCGCTATATAATGTGATTGAAAATAATTTCAAAAGAAGAGTAGATCTGGGTCAGTCTTTTGTGCTCAGGGACCATGTATAACAGGTTTGGGCAAACCCACACTCGGGCGGGGGGGGGGATGTAGCCCCTTGGGCTCTTTTCTTGGGCTTGCCTCTCTCTCACCATCCTATCTTTCCTTCCTTCTCTCTTTTGTTCTTCCTTCCCTCCCTCTTTCTTCTTCTCTTCCACCCTTGTGTCCTTCCTTCCCTCCTTCTCTCCCTCTTTCTCCTTCCTTCCCTTTTGTCTTTCATCTCTTTCTTCCCCTCCCTCTTTCTCCCTATCTCCATTCCCTTCCACCCTTTCTTCTTTCCCTCCTTCCTTCCCTTTTGTCTTTGCTTCCTTCTCTCTTTCCTTCCCTCCCTCCCTTCCCTCCCTCTTTTCTCATTCCATCCTTTCCTTCCACCCTTTCATCCTTCCCTCTTTCCCCCCCTCTCCCTCTTTCTCCTTCCTTCCTTCCTTTTTGCTTTTCTTTCCTTCCTTCCCTCTCCCTCTTTCTCCTTCCATCCTTCCTTTCCTAATTTTTGTCCTTCCTTCTCTTTCCTTCCTCCTTCTCTTCCTTTCTTCCATCACCAGGCAGCCAGCCCTCCTAGCAGGGAGTGTTAGCATACAGTCCCCAAGTTAGAAAGTTTGCCATGTCTGCTGTATAATCTTGGAATCCCCAGTTAGTACTTGAATGGGAGTTCACCAAGGAATCCCAGGTGCGCTAAAGCTATTTTGCAGAGAAAGTTGCTGATCCAACCACCTCTGAGCATTCCTTGCCTAAGAAAACCCTATGAAATTCAAGATATCAGTCGATAGATGACTTGAAGGTGCACACACAGGATGATTAATTTTGCAGTAGAATGCATTAGATTCCATTACTAAGGATGTTTATTGAGAAATAAGCTCTGTTTGGTGTTCTAAGCACAGCTTATTTCACAGATCTTACAAAAGTGAGTCTTCGAGGTTTCAGTAGCAAGAAAGCCACAGGACACACAGGCTGGGAGAATTTGGCCAAGTTGTTTAGAAGCATTCTGGACCATGTAGTCCAGAATATTCCCAAACTACCTTATTTCATGATAAATATTTATAAGGGTGCAACTCTAGTATTGGACAGAGAATTTGTTTCAAGACCATTTCATGAGTCTTCCATCCTAAATTAAATTCCCTCTATAGACTGACAGATGTTGATTTAGTGGGTATTAATGCCTGATTAAAAATGGATTGAGTAAAGTTTAAAATTGTATAGATAATATCATTAATTAAATATTGTTTTAAAAAATCTAGATTGTGCTGAAATAGCAGATGAAGTGTATATGGAGGTCATTGTGGGAGAAGAGGAAGCAACATCACTCCCTGATGCACAGCTTGAAGAATCGGGTGTGAATAAAACTTTTGTTCCTGTTGCATGGGCTGCTGCTTATGGTAGGATGCTCGAGGGTCTCTTTATAAGAGTCACTTAACCTTTGCACTTCATATATCATGCTTCTGTGTGGCTGAGAACATGTACCCACTTTCTGTCCAGAAAAGAAGTATAAGCTGAGTATTTCAGCCCTTTTTAAAGGCTGAAAAAATACCCTGGGCTTATATTCACGTCAAGGTTATTTATTATTTTACTCTATTATTATTATTATTATTATTATTATTATTATTATTATTATTAACATTATTTTACTCTATTATTATTACATTTATTGTTTTACTCTACTATCATTACATTTATTATTTTACTCTTATTTATTGTTATTATTACATTTATTATTTTACTCTCTTTATTATTGGAAAGATACGTAAGCACATTTACATTGAAGAAGGTTAGAATAATGGTTTAATCAGAGTCAGACAGTCTTGTCTTAAATTACAGTTTTATGTCAATATTTAAAACATTTAATCTACTGATGCCTCAATTAATGTAATTTTATTGGTATCTATTTTTATTTTAGAAATTTGCCAGTAGCTGCTGCATTTCCCACTCTGGGCTTATACTCGTCAATATGTTGTCCCAGTTTTAAATCGTAAAATTAGGTGCCTCAGCTTATATTCGGGTATGCGGGTATATATGGCAAATATTTCATATATGCAAAAAGAGCAACAAAAAGTTGTAAAAAGAGGCATTAGTTGTAAAAAGAGGCACAGCTCCTTTTCTTAGTTCAGGTGTAGATTGAAATTATGCTTCAAGGATAACAAATTTGTAGTTTGCTACTAATTGTAAGAAGAGCTCAGTGAATACTTGTCAGGCACTTGCAATTATTTTTTTTTCTGTGATTACAGAAAGTAATACTTCTCTTACTCCCAACTGTACATAGGCTTGTTATATTGTGCTCTTTTTCCAGAGCATTTTAGAAGAGCATTTGGTGTTATGTTTGAAATAGTCAAATTTAGAATGCAGAAGGATTATATTTCAGTCAAAAGAAATTAATATTAGATGGCAAATGTTACTAGTTTGATATCAGCATTATGAATTTAATGAGCCCATCTATTACTTAACCACTTTATGAAGCCAAAATCTACATATATTGCCATGGAAGTGAATAATTTAAACTGATAAAATTGGGATGCAGTCTCAAGTCAGAAAAGGCTATAGCATTTTTAAATTTTCATTTTGTTTTTTGTCCTGACAACATTTCTCAGTGGGAAACTATGGACTTTTTATGTATATAGTCCTATGGGTTTAATTGCCGGTATCTTTAGTTAAAAAGCTCTTAGCTGGTCATGGACAACATTAATGTCTGAAACTATAGCAGCTTACTATCATTGTAAATAGTACTGAGCTAAACAGACCAGTGATCTAATATAAGGCAACCTAATATATTCCTCATAATGAGTGGTTCCCAATAGTACGAGTTTTTTTGTAGATATAGTGAACTCTTGTCTACATAGAATCATAGAGTTGGAAGAGACCTTGTGGGCCATCCAGTCCAACCCCATTCTGCAAAGAAGCAGGAAAATCACATTCAAAGCACCCCCACAGATGACCATCCAGAGTCTGTTTAAAAGCCTCCAAAGAAGGAACCTCCACCACAGTTTGAGGCAGAGAGTTCCATTGCTGAACAGCTCTCACTATTAGGAAGTTCTTCCTAATATTCAGGTGGAATCTCATTTCCTGTAGTTTGAAGCCACTGTTCCATTGCATCCTGGTCTCCAGGGCAGCAGAAAACAAGCCTGCTTCCTCCTCCCTATGACTTCCCCTCACCTCTTTATCCATGGCCCTCATCATGTTTCCTCTCAGCTTTCTCTTCTGCAAGCTAAACATGGCCAGTTGTTTAAGCCGTTACTCATAGGGCTGGTTCTCAAGACCAGACCCTTGATCATTTTAGTCGTCCTCCTCTGGACACATTCGAGCTTGTCCACATCTCCCTACAATTGCGGTGCCCAGAATTGGACACGGTGTGGTTCCACGTGTAGTCTGACCAAGGCAGAATAGAGCATGGGTAGCATGACTTCCCTGAATCTAGACACTAGACTCCTATCAATGCAGGCCAAAATCCCATTGGCTTTTTTTTTTTTTTTTTTTTTTGCCACTGCATGACATTCCTGGCTCATATTTAACTTGTTGTCCGCAAGGACTCCAAGATCTTTTTCACACGTGCTGCTATCGAGCCATGCGTTCCCCATTCTGTATCTTTGCATTTCAATTTTTTTTCTGCCTAAGTGGAATATCTTGCATTTGTCTCTATTAAACTTCATTTTGTTAGTTTCATAAACATGTAAAGACTTACTGGTTTTTCTTGGTGTAGTGGATTTTATAAATGGCGCTATCCTTAGTAAAGAAGAATGCTTGGAAAGTGTATTTATGGGATTTATTTTGCAGCAAATGGCAGCAAATCCTATGGGTAAAAGGACAGGTTTGGCTGAAATTACATACAAAGTTTCCTGTTGCTTGGCATGTCTTAGAAAGTCCTTATAAAAGGCTGCTTGGAGATTTCTTGACCTTTTAAAGTATCTGACCTTTTTTCTTTTTTTCTTTTATTTTGCCGGTAGTGATAGACCTTTTCAGAATTTAATGCACTTGTTAATTTTTAACTATTTTCTTAAACTATCATTTTTATAGGAGATGATAGAAGATTGCCAAGGAGATATGAGGATTGTCAGACATCAGGTGAGTAGATAAAGAATTATTTATGATGTAAATAAATGTGTGTTCAAGAATTAAAATGCACTGAAGACCTATATATGAATATTGGGTTCAGGAGAACATTGAAAGGCTAGTTAGTACTTTATATATAATGAAATGTAAAAGGATATACACTTTTCAGATCACTCAGTAGCTCTGTTCACAGCTTTCAAATTGCAAAAAGAACCCACCTTACAGTTCTTCACTAGTGGGAAAGTTGTGGGGAGAATTGTGTTACAATAAAGAGCTGTGGAGCAAGGTACCAATTGTTTCTGCCTTTCTACCTCACTGCTAATTCTGGTATAAATTAATATTCCATCCTAAGAAGCTTGTACTGTCATCTAAAGCATGTTTAATTGGAACTAAACCCCACACAGTTTAGTGGAACTTGCTTCCAAGTAAATGTGCGTAAGATTGCAACCTAAATACGGATTGAGTACATGAAATTATATACTAGATTATGTTTGTTCAGTTTTTGCCTTCATTTTCAGCTGTCAAAATGTGCTTAAGACAAACAGACATAATAACCAAGCATTGCTTTCCGTGTGTTGTATTAAACAGAATTATATGTGGCTATTTTTAATGCTTCTAGCATCTTGTGATGAAGCAGAGTCCCATTGTGCCTGTCTCGGTGCAAACCCAAGAGCCTTTCTTTAAAAACTTCATATTTCTAAATAAGCTCTTATCAGGAAGTCACTTGCAACACTGTGATGAGTGTTTTTCATATCAGGAACCAACTTGGAAGCAAGATTAGAAAACAAAAATGGTAATGCAACACAATACCTGCAAATCTGTGATAGCATTAGCACAAACAGACTGCTTAAGCAGAAGGCCAAGAGAAGGAGAAGAGGGGAAGCAAGGCAGTGGCAAACAGGTAAAACATCTTTCTTGGCTGGTTTGTAGTTAGTCTCTCTTCCCATACGCTTCAATTTCTGAGTGTTTTGTAAAAAGAAACTGACACAAGATTTTGAATAGTTTCTTATTTTATTAGGTTTGTTAAGTGTTATTTTATCATTTCCTTACAATACCATTTGGCATATCTGTAGTTGCCATATTCTTGTTTTGTTAGCCGGATAGGAGACCTTAGCAGATGGGAAATGAGCAGAAAGAAGTTTGTGAATTAACTTTCTCTCTTTTGAATACACAAAATACCGGCCACAAAAGTTTCCTTAATATCAGATCCTGCCAGAATACTAATACAGAATGCATAAGCTTCTTAAATTGAATTTGTAATTTATTGCCAGCAATGATCCAGTACTAGCAGTGATCCAGTACTCCACAATGTCCTATTCTGCCTCTTAGGGTGTCCCAGCAGAGCTCGTGCTCTGGCAAATTCTGCAAAGCTGGTAAGCCTTCATGTAGACTTCATGTCTAATGGGCTTTGTGTCTGCCATCTAAGAATTGCCCTTGCTAAGTACAGAAAGGTCCATCAGAACAATGTTTTTTCAAACTGTGCTCCTCCGGCTGTTTTAGACTTCAGCTCCCAGAAATCCCAGCCAGTTTACCAGCTGTTAGGAATTGTGGGAGCTGAAGTCCATAACATCTGGAGGGGCACAGTTTGGGAAACTCTGCATTATAAGGATAATTAATTGGCTGCAACAACTGGGAATACAACAATGGTCTGGAATAGTTGTGGTCTTCATTGATGGGAGGGACTACCCTCACCAATGAAGTCATGAATTTCCAAGATTATTATCCAATATGCTGGAAGTTCATGACAGGAACAACATGTCTTCTCTTTCTTACGGTGGTTGTGCCAAACTGTACACGAACAAAATGCTTAAATATAACAACTTCAATCCATTTTGGCAACTAGTATGTATTAAGAACTCATTTGGAAATTTCCTCTATGATGAATGAAGGCAAAATCCTTTATGTCAAATATAAAATGTGCCTGTTGTAGAAGATTGGGAAAATAACATCATGACTTACTGCTGTTGTCAAGTTAGTATTGTATAACTATTAAAGTAAATAAAGACATATTAATTGGTGAGAAAACCGGAAACATTTTATTACTTATTGGAAAAGTAAATTTCACCTGTTTATGAATTCCAGATCTGAGGGAATTCAATTTTAATATTTTGATAGATTTTCAAAATAAACTGGAAAAAGATCCAGGGACTGTAGGAGATATTTTTGTCATTCTGGGGCCTCCCTTACCTGCCTTAAATACCTGCGTTGATCTTAACATTTATCAATGAGGTATTGGAGGCACATGCTGGACTCTCCCAATTTTGTCATAAATGTTGCAACACAGATTATTTATTACATTGATATCTTGTGTGTATGCATATGAATGCATTTTAAAGCCATATAATATTGTTGCTAGCGGTAATTCTGTCTATACAACAAGCTCTTTGTGTGCACAGTTTTAGATAATTGTATTATTTTTTTAAAAATTAATAGATTTCTTTTAGTGGTATAAAGTGACTTCCTCCTTTAACAGAGGTAACAAGGATTACATTATATACTCAAGTATAAGACCCGAATATAAGCCAATGTAGCAGCTATGGGTAAATTTCAAAATAAAAATAGATACCAATAACATTACATTAATTGAGGCATCAGTAAGTTAAATGTTTTTTAATATTTACATAAAACGGTAATTTAAGATAAGACCTCCCAACTCTGATTATATCATTATTCTAACCTTCTTCAATGTAAATATACGTCATTTCCTCCCAATAATAATAAAGAGAGGAAAATAATGGAAATGTAATAATAACAGTAATAATGGAGTAAAATAATAAATGTAATAATAACAGTAATAATAGAATAAAATAATACATGTAATAATAACAATAATAAATAGAGTACAATAATAAATGTAATTATAACAATAATATATTGTCAAAGGCTTTCATGGTGGGAATCACTGGGTTGCTGTGTCACAACCTACCATAGATGCAGGCGAAACTTTAGGAGAGAATGCTTCTGGAACATGGCCATACAGCCCAAAAAACTTACAACAACCCATAACAATAATAAATAACAACTGTAATAATAACAATAATAGAATAAAATAATAAATGCAATAAAATAATAAAAACAGAGTAAAATAATAAATAACCTTGACTCGAGTTTAAGCCAAGGGGGGCTTTTTCATCCTAAAAAAAGGGTTGAAAAATTCAGTTTATACTCAAGTATATATGGTAACTAATCACCATTCATGTACAGGGAAATCTCTTCTGAGCATAATCCGTTTGAAACTTAATAAGGCTGTAGTTCTTTTAGCTTTAGCATCAGTTAGATTTTCACAGTGAAACAAAATTGAATACAAGGTCTACTCTTCTTTGACTCTTTCATCCTCTTCTTTCTAGGTGCAGTGTTTCACAATTTCTTACAGTGCAATCTTATGCATGTCTTCTCAGAAACTGACTTGAGTTCAGTTTAGTCTGTTTGGATTGGCAGCTTTAACGAACTCTTAAAATTGGATGTTTCTAAAGTTTAGACATCAAAGAGCCACACTAAATTGCAACATGCCTTGACAAAAATTATGATCAACTAATCATTGCATAGGATGATATTTGACTCAAAAAGTTAGGCTTATGATCTATTACGGACACTTTCCTTGGAATAAGTCCCATTGAACTAACTGGAGATTACTGCTGACTATACATGTGTATGATTGCATTCTTGACTATTTAATCTATTCGATACTTTGCTTTTATTATTATGCTTGACACATGTCAGGATTTTTTTTTGTATTTTTGTGTGATCTGTTTCATTATTTTTTCTCCTGTTTATTTGAAACCAGCTGTTATAATAGGTCCCGATGGGCAGCCTTTAACCGTCTACCCTTGCCATATATGTGGGAAAAAATTCAAATCCAGAGGATTCTTGAAAAGACATATGAAAAATCACCCAGATCACATGATTAAGAAGAAATACCAGTGCACAGACTGTGATTTTACAACTAATAAGAAAGTGAGCTTCCACAATCACCTGGAAAGCCATAAGCTTATCAACAAAGTGGACAAAACCCACGAATTCACAGAGTACACCAGGCGGTACAGGGAAGCGAGTCCTCTCAGTTCAAATAAGCTGATCTTGAGGGATAAGGAGCCTAAATTGCACAAGTGCAAGTATTGTGACTATGAGACTGCGGAGCAAGGGCTGCTTAACCGGCACTTGCTCGCGGTTCACAGCAAGAACTTCCCTCATGTTTGCGTGGAGTGTGGGAAAGGCTTCCGCCACCCTTCCGAACTCAAAAAGCACATGCGGACCCACACGGGGGAGAAGCCCTACCAGTGCCAGCACTGCGTCTTCCGTTGCGCCGACCAGTCCAACCTGAAGACGCACATCAAAACCAAGCACGTGACCGACCTACCCTTTAAGTGTGAACATTGCCCGCAGGCGTTTGCAGAGGATAAAGAACTGCAGGAGCACTTGGAGCTGTTTCAAGGGCATAAGACTCACCAGTGTTCGCACTGCGACCACAAGAGCACTAACTCTAGCGACCTCAAGCGACACGTCATCTCTGTCCACACAAAAGACTTTCCTCACAAGTGTGAGGTGTGCGAAAAGGGTTTCCACCGTCCCTCGGAGCTCAAAAAGCACAGCGAGGCTCATAAAGGTAAAAAGATCCATCAGTGTAGGCACTGTGACTTTAAAACGTCCGATCCTTTTGTACTTAGCGGGCACATCCTCTCCGTTCATACCAAGGACCTGCCTTTTAAATGCAAACGTTGCAAGAGAGGGTTTAGGCAGCAGATAGAACTGAAGAAGCACATGAAGACCCACAGCGGGAGGAAAGTCTACCAATGCCAGTATTGTGAGTATAGCACTACAGACGCATCGGGCTTCAAGCGGCACGTCATATCGATACACACAAAAGACTATCCACACAGGTGCGAGTACTGCAAAAAGGGATTCCGTAGGCCGTCAGAGAAAAACCAGCATATAATGAGGCACCACAAAGAAGCTCTAATGTAACCCCTGAGCTGTGGAAGGGAGTCATGTAGAAACTGTGATGTGCTAATTGGGAAAGAAAAAACTCTCATGAACTGTTTCTCCTGGTTTCAAAGCTTGATATTAAACCATAACTTTACATTCTTTGTATTACAAGTCTTTAAAAAGTATTAGGGTTGACAAGGGAGCTGATAGCCCTATGATTGTTGCTCATCAGAACCTAAAGAACACTATACAATGCATAGAGAGGAATGAATGTCTGAGAAGCTGCAGAATGAGACCTTGAATGTCTTCTGTTTAAAGTATTACACATTGTTAAGCTAAAGGAAATAATACGACAGTTATCTTAGCCCTTTATCAATAACGCCATTTTATCTCCTCAAGGAAAACCAGGGACAGGAGTTCTTTACAGAGATTTGCAAAGGCAAGTCTTCCATGTGCAGTTTTTGAACAGTGACGCTGGATAGAAATCCAATCATCACGGCATTTTTCATTGTGCTCAGAAACAGTATTCCAGAACTGGTCGGATCTTGAGATCTGGTCTTCCATTTTGTTTTTAAAAGAAAGCATATTTTTCAGCAGGAAACTTTTCTCTCCATTTATTTATGTTCACAATGAGCATTTTTTTAAAAAAGCTGCTAACTTATTTCATTGCAGGATGCAATGTTTAAAATACAGCATTATGTTTTTGAGCTCAAAAAGTGTCGTTCGGTGCTAAGGTTAAAGATGTGTGTGCGTGTGTGTATAATTTCCTTTTTTATCCAAACCTGCAGTTGAATGTTTAATATGGCAAATATGACAAAAAGTATATTTTGGCCGATCTGATTACTGTTACTTTAGGGTGGGTGCGGCTGATGGTGCTAAGACTCGGCGCTGTTCTTTTTCTCTTTACTCTCTTCCATTTTTAAAAAGTATCAAAATAGAAAGAACACAATCATTGGAAATGCCTGGTGAATCTTTAGGATCTGTCTTCCTGGCAAAGTAGGATTAATACAGTCCTTATTTGCAATTTTGTTTTGTTTTGTTTTTTAAAAATCAGTATAGACAGTAAAATTGCACCTTTTAATGAATTCATACAAAATGTATACCATTCTATGAACATGCATTCTCAATCTGTAAGAAAAGTTATATATGCAGTATTTAACCAGAACCAATATGCTGCCACTAGAGTTTGGAGGTGGATCTTCAGTTTACAGTGTATACATTTGAAATATGCATCCCTTTAAACAATGCTTTGTGTTAGCATGCTGCAAATCAAAATGGCGCTTAATATAACAAGCTGGTCTAGGGCTATTTAATAATTAAAAACTGTTCATAAATGTTATGCATATAATGTGTCCTTTTTTAAAACCTTTTTTTTTAAGTTGCTTCATGTTTGCACACAGCTATCCACATGATAAATTGTATCTTCATGCTACTATATTGTGGCTTTGTGTTTCGGACAATGTTCATACTTTGTTTTTGCACCAGACGAGAATCAGTTCCTTGAGAATAATTTTTTTTAATATTTCTAAATTTCAGAAAGTTAACTTTGGGAAACCTTAGAAAACTACTTGTGTTCTATGTGGCTGTAAAAAAAATGATGTACACGCTGTAAAATAAGATTGTCACTGTTATGTGGGATTATTATTATTATTATTATTTTGAAATGTGTTACTCATTGTAATGAGCATACAATAAAAAGCATCTCTTGCACTCCAAGCTTTGTACAGAACTTTGCGTCCATTGCTGGTACCAGTCCAGAGGTATGTATTTCTCATTTACCATATTTTTAAAAATACTTGGTTTGATACCTTGACTATTACTTTTGGAAAATTCAAATCAAATTGTAGTGATAGTTAAGATGAGAAAATGGTTAGGTCTTTGAAATTTCAGTGCAAAACTTTGATTTTGATTCAGTTAAAGGATAGATAGTAGAAGGATTTATTCTGTTTCATTGGTGCTATGTATACAGTCAGCCTTCCACATTCAGTGGGGTTAGGGATACAGGACCTCCACAAAAGTGAAAAACCACAAATAAAGGAATTCTTGTTTCTTTTCCTGAGAGAACACTTTTCTAAGAATTTCTAGATCTTCCAGCATGACTCTGTGGTTGAATTAATTCCACTGGAAGCTGCACTGGAGAACTTAGGAGATCCCTAGAGAACTAGGTTGCTGTGGGTTTTCCGAGCTGTATGGCCATGTTCCAGCAGCATTATTTCTTGACATCTATGGTAGGCATCCTCAGAGGTTGTGAGGTCTGTTGGAAACTAGGCAAGTGGGGTTTATATATATGTGGAATGATATCCAGAGTGAGAGAAAGAACTCTTGGCAGGTGTGAATGTTTCAATTGGCCACCTTGATTAACATTGAATTGCATTTCAGCTTCAGGGTCTGGCTGCTTCCTGCCTAGGGGAATCCTTTGTTGGGAGGTGTTAGCTGGCCCTGATTCACGCCTGGAATTCCTGTGTTTTCTGAGTGTTGTTCTTTATTTACTGTCCTGATTTTAGAGGTTTTTTTTAATACTGGTAGCCAGATTTTGTTAATTTTCATGGTTTCATCCTTTTGTGTTTAAATTGTCCACATGCTTGTTGATTTCAATGGCTTCAGTGGTGCTTGTTAGAGTGGTCCAGCATTTCTGTGTTCTCAAATAATATGCAGTGTCCAGGTTGGTTCATCAAGTGCTCTGCTATGGCTGACTTCTCTGGTTGAATGAGTCTGCAGAGCCTTTCATGTTTCTTGATTTATGCAGTAAGCAGCCAGACCTTGAAGCTGAAAGGTTGTTCAATGCTAATCAAGGTGATCAATTTCTACATTCGCACCTACCTCAAACAGACAAGAGTTCTTTCTCCCACCCTGGACATTTTGCAGATATATAAAGCCCATTTTCCTAGTTTCCAACAGACCTCACAACCTCCGAGGATGCCTGCCATAGATGCAGGCTAAACGTCAGGAGAGAATACTTCTGGAACATGGCCATACAGCTCAGAAAACTCACAACAACCCAGTGATTCTGGCCATGAAAGTCTTTGGCAACACATTCCTAAAGAACATTTTAACCAAGTCCTTGAATGAAATCTGCAAAAGACAAACCGCAAATCTGGACGGATGACTATATACTAGCCTGAATCCCATTGTTAATTGCCAGCTAGAGTAGACTCATTGAATTTATTTGTTTCCTCAACTGTCAAATTATAGTGAGTCTTCTTGTTTGGACTAGTGAATAAGATTCAGGCCATTCACTCTTTGCTCTTTCTGTAATCTGTTGATTGAACCAATGTTAGCAATTGGTTGAATTTTCAGTTGCACTTAATTCAAAGTAAAAAAGCACAAGTACCTGTAGTGTCATGGTAAAAAAAAAGTCAACCCATTAGTTTGGAAGTACTTTTTAAATTGATCAGTTATTTTAAAAATCAATTTCTAGTATCCCTATTAATAAGCATCCTTGTGCCTTCTACAGTGTGTTGGCGATTTATTTTCATGAAGAGGCTATTCTTCATAGGGAAGACTAAATGCAATTGGCAGATACCAAGAGTGTAACCCAGTGGTTCCCAAACTATTTAAGCTGAGGGCTGCTTCATGATGATCCCTGACTGTTGGAGGGGGGAACTATAGTTTGATAAAAAGTGAATGCACACTGCATATATTTTATTTGTACTACAAAAAAAAAAAAACCATGAAAGGGCAATACAGTATTTAAAATGAAGAACAGTTTTAGCCAACATAAACGTACCAGTATTTCAGTAGGAAGTGTGGGCTTGTTTTTGGCTGATGAGAGAGTCAAGTTAATTAGGGTTGTTGTCATGTGCCTTCAAGACATTTCAGACTATTGATTACAGTTTTCTATAAAAAGGGGAATTTGCCTTTGCTTTCCTCTGAGGCTGAGTTTGCAAGTTCAGAGCCAGTCGTTCCCTCTTCCTCCTTATCTTCCTCATTCCTTTTCTTCCTTTTCCCTTTCTTTCCCTCTTTCTCCCTCCCTTTCTGTCCTCCTACCTCATTCTTTTTCCTTCTCCCTCCCTTTGTGTCTTCCTCCCTTATTTCTTTTCTTCCTTTCTTACTTTTCTCCTTTTCTTCCTTCTCCATCTTCCTTCCTGATTCCTTTTCTTCTTCCCTTCCTTCCCGCTCTTTTCCTGTCTTCCTCACTCATTCCTTTCTTCCTTTTCCCGTTTCTTTCCTCCCTTCTCCCTCCCTGTCTCCTTCATTTTTCTTCCGTTCTTCCTTTTCCCTCTTTTTCCCTGTCTTCCTCCCTGATTTCTTTTCTTCTTTTCTTACTTTTTCCTCCCTTCCTGTCTTCTCCATTATTTCTTCCTTTTTGCTCTTTCCCTTCTTCCTCCCTTCCTTCCTGTCTTCATTTATTTTTTTCCTTTCTTAATGTTCCCTTTTTTCTTCCTCCCTCGTTCCTTTTTTCTTCCCTTCCTTCGCCCTCCCATCCTGTATTCCTCCCTCATTCTTTCTTCCTTTTCTCCTTTCTTTCCTTCCTTCTCCCTCCCTCCCTGTCTCCCTCCCTCATTTCCTTTCCTTTCTTCTTTTTCCCTCTTTCTTCTTGTCTTCCTTCCTGATTTCTTTTCTTCCTTTCTTTTCCCTCCCTCCCTGTGTTCCCCTCATTTCTTTCTTCCTTTTCCCTCTCTTTCCCTCTTCCTCCCTCCCTCCCTCCCTCATTCCTTTTCTTTCTTCCTCCATTTCTTTTCCTTTTCTCTGTCTGCCCCCCTTCTTTCCCTCTGTGGGATGTGTGGAAGGCTCAAAAAGAGAGGTTCCTCAGGGGGAAAGATCCCAGTGGCTGCAGAGGTAGGCTGCCAAAAATACCTTTGCAGGCCTGAGTTTGCCTGTGGTCTGGGTTTTCAGGACCCTTGATCTAATCTCTGTTTGTGTATCTGTTCGCAATAACAGGTTTCTGGTTAGCAGCAATGGGAATAGAGATTCTGCATCTGTGCTTGGAGTCATCTAGTGGTGTGGGAAAGGACAACAGGACTGCATACAAGCACTTTCAGTGCTTTGAAGGAAGGCCAGTAAGTATAAAGCAAGATAAAACATGATACATGTATTGGCTGAAATTTAGCTCTGGCCCTTGCCATGGTCCCATTTGAGCAGGAACCAAGCGTCACAGATACTTACAGGACTCAAAGCGGAGTTAGTTTAAAAAGTTAAGGAGACAGTTAAGAAATCCAAGCTTACAAATATATTTTATTTTCTTTAACAAAGGTATAATCACATTAGCCCTTCAACTTTATCATTGCAAATACAGACTGCGTGTTTTGACACCAAATGGCCACCATTCATCAGGCTGAGAGAAAAGGAGCACTTCCTTACAAAAGCGCAAGTAACGTAATTTTGCGTAGCTCTAGAAGAACCTTTGCTGAACTTTTACCTGAAAAATTTCCAGTGGTGAAATGTTTGAGAACTAGCCCAAGAGCAGCCAAGTAGACTTCTCCAGTCTCTGTTTGTTTCATCAGTTTAAAATTGACTTTGTCCTATGACTCTACTTCTTAACTTTGATTTCTAAGATTTCAGCAAAGGAAGCAAAAGGAGAGGGGCAAACTTCACTGTTTGATTCTGACAAATTTGAAAATGTTCAATGAATTTCAAATGGATCAACTTGATCTATTTTGAACAATTATCCCATTTACATCTAGACCTATGGAATGTATAATGGTATTCCACCATAAAGGTAAAGATTTCCCTTGCTAATTGTGTCCAGCTCTGGGGGTTGGTGCTCATCTCCATTTCTAAGCCAAAGAGCCGGTGTTGTTCGTAGACACCTCCAAGGTCATGTGGTCGGCATGACTGCATGGAGTGCCATTACCTTCCTGCAGAAGCAGTAACTATTGATCTACTCACATTTGCATGTTTTTGAACTGCTAGGTTGGCAGAAGCTGGGACTGACAGTGGGAGCTCACCCCACTCCCCGGATTCAAACCGCCAACCTTTTGGTCAGCAAGTTCAGCAGCTCAGCGGTTTAACCCACTGCGCGATCAGAAGGCCCCTATAGTAGGCCATAGGAACAGCAAAAAGCTGTCATAGTCTAGACCTGTGAAAATTTACATCCATTTGGTATGACCAAAACATTTCCTCTTAAGATTGCCTTTTATCTAAAGTCAGAAAGGGCGAGTCTATGGTGCCAGCTTTAAAAACCCACAAAAGGGCCAATCAATGAATTGGCTTTCAAATAATAAGAGTAAAGTCCACATATGCTTTTCCCTACTTTAATGAGTTTGCTCACGTAAAAAAGAAACCCACCACACTGAAAGACAAACACTGTGTACATTTTGGAGCACTTTGAAGCCTAAATATTTAACAGAAAGATCCAGCTGTTTTTACTTCACCGAAACTCAGTATATAAAAAAAATAACACACGTAAATACAACTTAACTAAAGGTGATCCAGAAGTAAATCTCACAGGATCCAATAGGAGTTCACCTAAGTAAGCATATGACAAATTTCAGGAATGGTGGCTTTTTCCAAATTATCTTATTTTGGGGTTTTGGGCACAAGTGGATACATTTTTAATATAGAAGCTTGAATAAGAAAACGAAAGGACAGTATCAAAGAATACTAGCCTACCTTCTAAGAGTCACCACTAGCAAAATCAATTCAATAATAGTTTCTTAGACATTTAGCCCTGAGATAAGCGGTACTTCTTCTTTCCCCAAGCATGGCTGTTCTTGAGTTTCAGACCTGAAGAACCAACGTGAAGGAGGGAAACAAGCAGAGAGAAAAATAACGTAACATTCATTTGTATGCGAACTCCGCTGATCAGACGTGACTTGTCAGGGGGGACGCGTTCATTCCTGAAAGAAGTAAGTAGTTCTTTAATCGGAAGTAAAGGATTCCTGTGACAAGACAAATAAGACAAATTATGAGATAGTTTAGAAGATTTTTTAAAACGCTATTTAACCTGAAGGTTTTGAATTTATGCTGTAAATATAAGGGAACCCCTCGAATATACAGAGTTCATGAAGCAAACCTTTTGTTATGTTGTCGAAGGCTTTCATGGTTGGAATCAGATTGCTGTGAGTTTTCCGGGTTGTATGGCCATGTTTTTGTGCTGATTTTCACCTATAAAGCTCTATACGGTTCTGGTCCAGCTTTCTTGTCCAAACACATCTCCCTCTACGTCCTGCCTTGTAGTTTAAGATCATCCGGGGAGGCCCTGCTCTCGCTCCCGTCAACAGCACAAATACGTCTGGCGGGGACGAGAGACAGGGCCTTCCCGAATGTGGCCCCCCACCAGTGAAACTCGCTTCTCACTGAGGTAAGATCGGCTCTGTCCTTCCTGTCATTTAGGAAGAAATTGAAGTTATGGTTCTGGGACCAGGCCTTTGGACAACAGACATAGATAACACTTCGGACATGGAATTGGATATGGAATTGACTGAAATGATGATATGGCTATTGATACTGTTTTTCACTGTTTTAATGAATGTGTTACTTATTGTTTTAATTATTATATTTCTGTTATATGTAGTGGCATTGAATTGCTGCCAAATGTAAGCTGTCCTGAGTGCCCCTTCGGGGGTTGAGAAGGAATGGGATAGATAAATAAATAAATGTTCCAGAAGCATTCTCTCCTGACATTTTGCCCACCTCTATGGCAGGCATCCTCAGGGGTTGTGAGGTCTGTTGGAAACTAGGCAAGTGAAGTTTATCTGTGGAATGATATCCAGGATGGGAGAAAGAACTCTTTGTCTGTTTAAGACACGTGTGAATGTTGCCATTGGCCAGCTTGATTAGCATTGAATGGACTTGCAGCTTCAAAGCCTGGTTGTTGGCTGCCTGGGGGAGCTCACAACCTTTGAGAATGCCTGCCATAGATGTGGGTGAAACGTCAGGAGGGAATGCTTCTGGGACATGGCCATACAGCCTGGAAAACTCACAGCAAACCTTTCATTTCTGGCCCTTGTTTTCAAAGCGAGTGTTGTGTATTGTGAACTGGCACAAAAACATTGCTATATGAGAAAGGTTGAAATGTGGGATAAATCTGTAACACAAACTCCCAGTGGCTTCCTGGGAATGCCATCTGCTTGTATTGCTTTTATCAGATTATCTTTGGGCTAGCAATGAACACCTGCCCCTCTAATGAAATAATTCTAGCTTTACCATTAAGACTGTGGAAAAAAGTCTGTTCAATTTGCATATCAATAGGAATATATGGAATTCATGATTTCCAAATGTAAAAGTGAACAGCAACATTATTTGCTTTCTAAAACATAGGCATGCCCAAAGTTTGCAATGCAGTTTTAAAAAAAAAGAACAAATATGGTATTTCATGTTTCTGTGTGTGGAAACCTCATTTATTATTTGCACTGTTTATATCCTGCTCTTCTCACCCTTGCAGGGAACTCAGAGCGGCGTATGCACACGAAAAGGCAGATTTTTAAAAGCTGCATAGTAGAGTACATACATGTTCTTCTCAAATTATGAATTCACAGTTTAATGTGGGATCAGGATGAAACAAATATAACACTGGGAAAATAAAGACTGAAATCAAACTTGACAGTATTTTGTACTGTTTTGTACAGTGTATGTATTTTGGTGAAATACTTACTTGTAGACATTGAAATGAAATATTTGGGACTAGAAATCTTTTGGATTCTGAATGTTTTACTTGTTTGCATTTTGGAATATCTTTATTTGCTCATGTGTATATAATAAGCTATCTTGGAGATGGGGCCCAAGTCCCATCTCCAACACAAATTTACTTCATCTTGTATACATAGTCTGACAGCATTTGAAATGATTTTATGCATAAAGCAAAGTTTGTGTATGCTGGCTCAGCAGAAAGCAAAGGTGCCACTATTTCAGCCATTCAGGTGGACAATTTTTGAGTATTTCAGATTTCTGTATCAGGGTTGCTCAACCAGTAATAGCTTTGTCAAAAATTAACATTGACATGAAATTTGCTGCACTGACCAATGTAAGATTATAATCCAGTTTATATTATTTGGTGATCCAAGAGCAATGTCCCCCAGTTTAAAAGGCCTACACAAAGAGAGATTTCATATAGGCACCTAAAGGTAAAGGTTTCCCTTGGCATTAAGTCTAGTCATGTCCGACTCTGGGGAGTGGTGTTCATCTCCATTTCTAAGCTGAAGAGCCGGCGTTGTCCATAGACTCCTCCAGGGTCATGTGCACAGCATGATTGCATGGAATGCTGTTACCTTCCCGCAGAAGCGTTCCTATCGATCTACTCACATGTGCATGTTTTCAAACAGCTAGGTTGGCAGAAGCGGGGGCTAACAGCAGGAGCTCACCCTGCTCCCCAGATTTGAACTGCCAAGCTTTCGGTCAACAAGTTCTGCAGCTTAGCAGTTTAACCTGCTGCAACACCTGGGGGCCATAGACACCTATGGACAGTAAAATATTCCAACTTTTGGACAAGTTTTTGTGTTCATATGTTTACTATGTCCACAGACAGTTGTCCTTCAAAAAGTACATATCTTTGGAGGGGTTTTTTTTGGCTCAAACAAATGCCCACTTTAGCATCTTTCTTATATAGTTTGGAGTGCTTCCATACCTGCTTCCACATTTCTCCAGTTTTTTCAATCACAATTGTCTGTGATTCCTTGACGGGTGACGTCACTTTGTAGTCATCAGACAAGAGGCCAAGAATGGGATATTGATTCCTGTACCTGCCGTTCAAAGAGCATGCCGTTCAAAAAGCATTGATCAGGACTGTTGCTGAAAGACTGCACGCCCTGCTCTAAGCATTGTAACAATTTGGCACTTTAAACTGCATCAGTGGCAAATAGAGAACTGTCTGTTGCAGATAAAATCTCTATTGCTATAGTGTACAAGGATATCAGGTACCTCATGTTCATGGTACAAGCATTTCAAAGCTAAATTGAGATTGATATGGACATATTTATCTGTACTACCGTATATACTTGAGTATAAGCCCTTTTTAAGGCTGAAAAAGCCCCCCTCAGCTTATACTCTGGTCAAAGTTATTTTCCTCTGCTGTTGTTGTTGTTATTACATTTATTGTTTTACTCTATTATTATTGTTATTACATTTACATTATTTTACTCAACTTATTATTATTATTGTTGTTGTTGCTGTTGTTGTTGTTATTATTATTATTATTATTATTATTAGTAACACAACAAGATGAGTCCACAGCAGACAAGATCACTCTGCTGGCTGTTGTTGTATTGGATCACACGTCAGACACTTCCCAAGTGTTTAGGACTGTGTGATGTATCGGCAAATAATGCGTCAGATCCCAATAAGGTGGCCTTCTGCAGCTGGCAGATGGTAATTTTGTCAGCGCTGATTGTGTTTAAGTACATGCCAAGGTCTTTAGGCACTGCACCCAGTGTGCCGATCACCACTGGGACCACCTTGACTGGCTCATGCCAGAGGCTTTGCAGTTAGATCTTTAAATCCTCATATTGTGTCAGCTTTTCCAGTTGTTTCTCTGCAATCCTGCTGTATTATTATTATTATTATTTTACTTTATTATTCTTTGTTTATTTATTATTATTTTATTTATTATTTTACTTTATTTTTATTTTATTTTATTCATTTATTATTTTATTCTATTATTACTGTTATTATTACATTTCCATTATTTTGCTCAACTTTTCTTTAGTCCATAAACTATCCCAGGATACTAAGAATATAAAATAATAGTAATAGTAATGAAACTGTATGCAATAATAGCATTACTTTTTGGTGATGATTGTCTTTGTGACTCCTTGGGATGGATTAATCGCTAGTTTTTCTTGTTTCAACTTGAAGAGTTCCTGAGGGAGATTTAAAAGAGGGAAAAAAGCAGTTTCAGGCAAATGATATATTAATACAGTGAATAAGTAAATCCAGTCCTGCAAGTTTAAGTTAAGTCAGGTTCCTAAACCAGGTTACTTCAAAATCCCATTTTGATGCGAAATGGCTCTAAGTCCTGGATGTTGTTAAGGTTAATGACCCTTTCACATCAAGAAATCTAGAGAAAATTAACTGGGCCATTGATTTTAATGCCGCGTATATTGATGAAAGTGCAACCCTAACGACATTTCCAAGAGAGGCAAGACTATGTGAGAATGACTTGCCCAAGGACCTCGCTTCCAAGTAAATATGCTGAAGTCTACAAGACACACCTCACTGATCTCACACAACTGGATACTCACAGCCATTGGCTATAGGAAAGGAGAGACATGGATAAGACTAAAGCCTATCTAGCAGTACTACTTACCTCTTCTTGCTGCTTAATGTAAGCCTCCCTTTCTTCCATCCTTAAGGTCAATTCTTGCATTCTCATCTGAAGATCAACATCAGTCCCTTGCTTCCTTGAAAAATCCCTGTGGAAATCGCTTAACTGGGACTAGATGAGAAAAAAAACAACTCTGATCAATATCAACCCAAACTGATGGTTACTGGCATGTGTTATATTGTCTTCTGTCATGTTGATCAAATGAATTTCAGTGGGTTTTCTCAGTCAAAGAATATGTAGACATAGAATGATAGAGTTGGAAGAGACCACATGGACCATCTAAACCAGGGGTCCTTAAACTAAAGGCAGAATTCGGCCCTCCAAGGTCATTTACCCGGCCCTTGTTCAGGGTCAGCCTAAGTCTGAAACGACTTGAAAACACACAACAACAATCCTATCTCATAAGCCAAAAGTGGGCCCACACTTCCCACTGAAATACTAATAAGTTTATATTTGTTAAAATTGTTCTTCATTTCAATTGTTGTATTGTTTTAAAGCGTTATTGCACTACAAATAAGATATGTGCAGTGTGCATAGGAATTCATTCATGTTTTTTTCAAATTATAATCCGACCCTTCAACAGTTTGAGGGATTGTGACCTGGCCCTCTGTTTAAAAGACCCCTGATCTAAACCAACCCCCTGCCATGCAGGAAAGGCACGGTCAAAGTACCCCTGACAGGTGACCATCCAGCCCCTGTTTAAAAACTTCCAAGGAAGGAGCTTCCACCACACTTTGAGGCAGAGAGTTCCACTGTGGAACAGCTCCTAGGGTCAGGAAGGTCTTCCTATGGTTTGACATTTCTTTCCTCTGAAATATAACCCACAGCACCTGGGATTCTTCGACAGTTTCCCACCTGAGTTCTAACGAGTTCTAACCAGAGGTTAGAGCCCCCGGTGGTGCAGTGGGTTAAACCCCTGTGCTGGCAGGACTGAAGACCGACAGGTCACAGGTTCAAATCCGGGGAGAGGTGGATGAGCTCCCTCTATCAGCTCCAGCTCTCCGCGCAGGGACATGAGAGAAGCCTCCCACAAGAATAGCAAAAACATCCAAACATCTGGGCGTCCCCTGGGCAATGTCCTTGCAGACGGCCAATTCTCTCACACCAGAAGTGACTTGTAGTTTCTCAAGTCACTCCTGACACGACCAAACCAGAGGTGACCCTGCTTCACTTCCAATATCAGACAAGATCTTTAGGGTATTATCAAAAGGAGATTCAGTGATAGGTTTACCAAAGCCATGTCCGATTTGGTCCATCTATCCAGTGGCTGTCAACCTGTGGTTCTCCAGCTGTTTTGGCCTACAACTCCCAGAAATCCCAGCCAGTTTACCAACTGTTAGCATTTCCAGGAGTTGAAGGCCGAAACATCAGGGGACCTACAGGTTGAGAGCCACTGATCTATACAAATGCACAATAGATGTTTCGTTGTGGACTCTTCTTACCCTGCCAAGTATATCAGAAGGAACATGTAACAACTACTTACCCTCAGATTACGAATCTCTCTGTCTTTATCCTCTCTGAGTTGGTTGATCATCTCCACATAGCGGCTGGAGAGTTCATCAGTGGTGGTCTGACCCAAAGAATTAGAAGAGGCCTGTGCCAATGGAAAGGTTTTGGGGTTTTCAGTTTAAACGTTTGGAATAGAAAAGAACATTAATAACATGTAATCATCACGTTCATCGAAATGGGAACCACTATATGCTAAAGTTGTCTTACATTAATCAAACTAGATCAGTATGCCTCTAAATAAACTGGAAAATATAAGCAGCAGGGTGTCGTCGTCATCATACCAACAAAAATATTTTCCCTTGATTTAAGGAAGGCTTGAGGAATTCTTTAGTAATTAAATTATAATATTTATCTTCCTCATAGAATGAATACAAGGCTGCCATTCTTACTCCCCCGTAATGCCACAAAATAATGCTTCTTCATGAAACAACTGGGCATAAACACGAAGCCCAAAATAAACAAGCAGGGAGCTAGTTTGGCCTCATCTTTTATCACAAACCACCTGACCTTGCAACCCAACTTTCTGAACCTGCATTGATAGCAACCGTAAAGAAGCCTGCCCTTACATGGAGTCTCAGATTCTGGATTTCTTGCTCCAACGCCCGCTTGCTGTACTCGAGGTCCTTCAGCCGGAATTCCCGCTCACCGTCATTGTGCCGGATAGACAGAAGCTGCTCTTCTAGGGAACGGCATTTCAGAGTATATTCTCGGAGGGCTTGCTGTGAACACAATGAAGAAGCAAACACATGTAAACAACTACGCATTCGATACACAAGCAACTTTTCTTGAGGACCATCAAGGGCCAGATAGCCTCTGGGGTAATCGAGTGTGGGTTGTGTGATGGCTGCAGGAGGGCTATCGCATTTTCTGAGCCCTTATTCCTCTTGTCACTTGAGTGGCTCCTATAAGTGTTCTTCCCAGATCTGAACTCATTTGTGAAAAACTTTTCAAATTACCATATATACTCGAGGATAAGCCGGGTTTTCAGCCCTTTTTGAAAGCTGAACCCCCCACCCCGAATTATGCTTGAGTCAAAGTTATTTATTATTTTACTCTATTATTATTATTACTTTCATTATTATGTTACTCTATTATTATTACATTTATTATTTTACTCCATTATATTACTGCATTTATTATTTTACTCTATTATTACATTTATTTTACTCTATTACATTTAGTATTTAACTCTATTATTACCGTTATTATTACTTCTTCATTATTTTACTCTATTATTATTGCATTTATTATTTTACTTCCTTTATTATTACTGGAAGGATACGTAAGTACATTTACATTGAAGGATTTAAAATAATGGTTCAATAAGAATTGGACAGTCTTATCTTAAATTTCAGTTTTATGTAAATATTCAAAACATTTAACCTACTGATGCCTCAATTAATGTAATTTTATTGGTATCTTTTTATTTTGAACTTTACCAGTAGCTGCTGCATTTCCCATCCTCGGCTTATACTTGAGTCAATATGTTTTCTCAGGATTTTTTTTGGGGGGGGGGGGGTAAAATTAGGTGTCTCAGCTTATACTCAAGTAAATACAGTAGTCCAAAAGCTACAAGTCACCCAACAAATAGTCAACCTTCATCCCAGGCTTTGCCAAATGTAGAAACTCATGTCTAGAGCTCTGAAGCAATTGTCATATTGTAAAAGGAACCTTGCCACGTTTCCCCACTTGTATGGAAAATAGTATCAACATTTCACCATCCCATGAAGTTGCTTAATTCAAATACTCATTGCATATTTAGTAGTAATATAGAAAGTTACTCTTTGAGTCTTTGTACACTGGAATTATTCTTCGCAATGAGGAGTTGCTATTTCACTGAGAACGCTTTACCTGTTGTTGGCGATTATTCTCTCGCACGGATGCCAAAAGCTTTTCATATTCTTTTACTTGGCATTCTTTAAAAGACAGGTCTTTCTCAAGCAATGCCTTGTCCATTTCTAGTTTCTGTAAAGCCAAAAGATTGGGAGTCTTTAATACAACTTGATAGTCATATGCATATATCTCACTATGGTAGACACTGGGAATGCAAAATTCTAGTTGTGGAAAATTATTTTATTATTTACTATATTTGTATACTGCCCTTAGGCAACTCAGGGCAGTTTACAATGGCAACAATTCAATGCCCAAAAACACCCTAAACCATTTAAAAACATTAACACATAATATAAAACCATAACAAGAATACTAAAAGCATACATCATTTGCGTCTCCTAATAAAAACATTGTCCCATCTCGTCATCCAGTCATTCCAATTCCTATGTCTCAAGAGTGTATTCTGAGTGCATGGGTCAAATTGAAGGCTATTTCATGAAAGTATGCTTGTTACTCAGAGAAATGACCCATAACTTAAAATAACTGCCACAAGATGTGGAACCCAGCTTTCCAAACAAAGACCCAGCAAGAGGGATGGGAAGAGCTGAAGCATGAACGAGTGTTTCATCAGCAGCCATTTGCAAGTCACATAGTGATCCAAAGAGGCCATATCAGGACCGAGATGTCGCACTCCAAGGCTGGGAACCACCTCTGTACTTAACACACACTCCAGTCCAAGGTACAACAGCAAAGCAGTGTATTGAAGAATATAAATGAGAAACAATTCAGCAAAATAGTATTAAAAACCAAAGTCCAAATATCAGGAATTTGTTGTTGTTCATTCGTTTCCGACTCTTCGTGACCTCATGGACCAGTCCACGCCAGAGCTCCCTGACAGCCGTCACCACCCCCAGCTCCTTCAACGTCAATCCAGTCACTTCAAGGATGCCATCCATTCATCTTGCTCTTCCCTTTTCCTTCCATTTTCCCCAGCATCATTGTCTTCTCCAAGCTTTCCTGTCTTCTCATAATGTGGCCAAAGTACTTCATCCTGGCCTCTACTATCCTTCCCTCCAATGAGCAGTCGGGCTTTCGTTCCTGAAGTATGGACTGGTTGGATCTTCTGGCGGTCCAAGGCACTTTCAGAACTTTCCTCCAACACCACAGTTCAAAAGCCTCTCTCTTCCTTTGCTCAGCCTTCCCTATGGTCCAGCTCTCACATCCGTAGGTGACGATGGGGAATACCATTGCTTTAACAGTGTGATGTCTCTACTCTTCACTATTTTATCGAGATTGGACAGTGCTCTCCTCCCAAGAAGGAAACATCTCCTGATTTCCTGGCTGCAGTCTGAATCTGCAGTAATCTTTACACCTAGAAATACAAAGTCTGTCATGGCCTCCACGTTTTCTCCCTCTATTTCCCAGTTATCAATCATTCTTGTTGCCATAATCTTAGGTTTTTTGATGATCAGGAATAATCCACAGAAATCTATAAAGTACAGGAGTAGCATCAAAAAACTAGGAATATAAAAGCAGAATAAATCCCAACATGAAATTAACAAACAGTCCTCAAACTAGGAATCATGAAACGTGAACTTGGAACATGAAACTAGAAATCCCTTAACTTGACCCTAGATCTTTACTCAATGCCAATGTTTCCTGGTCTAAAGGACCCATCTGCTGGACTAGCTAATACACAGAGAAAATCATGCCTTATCCCCTGGGAAACAAATAAGGTTTTCTTGGCTAATTGGTGTTTTGACCTTGGGACTTTTTCATGTGAAACTCTATGTTGACTGAATGTAAATCTTCTATCTAATTGCTCATTAATCCGTCCACCTGGACTTTCACTATCATCCTCTGAACTCATTTCTGTTGGAATGTGGTCTTCAGATAGTGACGCGCTCATTTTCAGCAGGGCCTAAAATCTTTCACTGCTCCTGCTGACTTGCAAAACCAGAATCCCTTGTGTCAACATGGTGACTGACAGGCCCAGAACCTCTAGAGCAGTGTTTCTCAACCTGGGGTCCCCAGACGTTTTTGGCCTACAACTCCCAGAAATCCCAGCCAGTTTACCAGCTATTAGGATTTCTGGGAGTTGAAGGCCAAAAACATCTGGGGACCCCAGGTTGAGAACCACTGCTCTAGAGAGATTGGGTGCAGGCACAATCAAAGGCTGAGATACAACGCTGGTAACCCTGAGGCTCTTCTTGAACTGCAACAGCACCCATCATTTCTGGTTCTCTTCCTGTTCTTTCCCACAGAACTTCCCCACAATTCATGGAAAGAAGTACTGTAGGATCACCGAGCTATAGAATCGCATCTATTCCAACCCGCTGCCATAGCTAAGCACTTCTGAAAGATGACCATCTTGAGCTCCAAAGGAGATTCCTTCACTTCTGGGGCAGTTTATTCCACAGTCAAACCGTTTTGCTTCAGCCAAAGAAAAGGATAAAAGCTTTCTACACTATACTTTAAAAAATGGGACAATGTCCAGAATTCCATGGCAAGCACTTTATGAATTCTTTGAGGGTCCAAACAATGAAAACATCTGGTCATAGTCACTTACTCCTAAATCATCCTGAAGATGGACAAGTTCCTCTCTGAGACCGTTGAATGTAGCAAGCACAAGTCTTAGCGACTTATCAGCTGTTACTCTCATCTAAAAAAAGAAGGAAAATCAAAAGTACAGTCCATTTGTTTCATTATCACTTTGATGGTGGTAGCTGTTGTATACTTTCAAATCATTTGTGACACAGGCTTGCTATGAATTATTATGAATGAGTAAATATTTCTAACCAGCACTCAAAACAAATCTGTGCATTTTAGTTGTGTTTAGATTCATTCAGATTTATTCCCTCCTTCCTTCTCTATACATAAGTGTTGTGTGCACAATTTGAAATATGGACCAGAAAAGGTATATGTCCAATTAAAGTAAAGGTAAAAGTTTCCCCTGATATTAGTCTGGGGTGTGGTGATCATCTCCATTTCTAAGCTGAAGAGCCGGCGTTGTCCGTAGACAACTCCAAGGTCATGTAGCCAGCATGACTGCATGGAGCGCCGTTACCTTCTCTATTGATCTACTCATATTTACATGTTTTCGAACTGCTAGGTTGGCAAAAGCTGGAGCTGACAGCAGGAGCTGGATTCAAACCACCAACCCTTCGGTCAGCAAGTTCAGCACTTCAGTGGTTTAACCCGCTGCCCCACCGGGGAGCCCACGTATCTCCAATTACAACCTATTAAATGTAGATAAAAATCTTCAGAAAACACAATTTCTAATGAAACATTTTGCATATTTATAATTAAAATATGACCAAAAATTATGTCTGCACACATGTGTCTATCTCTCATTTGATAGTAGGCATTAATATACTGTCTACAATAGACATGCTTTCACAATGACAGGTGACCAAGGATCACAATTTTTATGGATTTGTCAGCAACATACCTCCAGCAGGTAACGGATTTGCTGTTTTGTTGATTCTGAAACCCCTTTTGGAATCAGACTCTCAATATCCTCTGTCTGTTGTTTCAAAAAGAAAGAGACTTGATATCAGGTCTTACTCTGCACATTTAAGACACATAATGACATTATCATATGCACAAATCAGACAGTTCTTCAGCATCAGAGTGCATCCTCATATTATGGAAAAGAGAAAAAAAATACAATTATATTATGAAGAATGAAAAAGGTGGTATCCAAGCGATTAACAGGTTTATTGCATGTTTGTAAATTTTAATCATGGTTAGAATAGACAAACAGGCCAGGATATTATTATTATTATTATTATTATTAACTTTATTTGTACCCCGCTAGCATCTCCCGAAGGACTCGATGCGGCTTACACAGGCCGAAGCCTCAAAACACAATACAGTAAAACATAACACACAATAACAAAGCAAATCAACAAAAGCAAAACAACAACAATGGCAATACATCAAAACATTATTAAAACTGGTTCGGCCGGCGCACTGGGGTACTAGGGTTAAAAGTGCTGAAATGGCAGGAGGCACGTAGGTTTAAAAGTGCGGTGTGCAGCAACGGTTTGTTGAACTAAAGTGCTACTAGGACTTGGGTGGGGATTCCTAGTCTGAGAAAGCACAACGGAACAGCCAAGTTTTTAAATTCCTTCTAAAAACGGCTAGAGTAGGGGCCTGTCTGAGATCTTTTGGAAGGGCGTTCCAAAGTCGGGGGGCCGCCACAGAAAAGGCCCTGTCCCGTGTCCCCACCAAGCGCGCTTGCGACGTGGGTGGGATCACGAGCAAGGCCTCTCCAGATGACCGATATTCACTATATTTTCACTATATTTCACTATATTTCAGGATATTCACTATAGTTTCAAACTATTGGTCAGAAAATATTTGGAGAACTTACCTGACTGAGAGATTCAATTTCATATTGCCTGTAAAAGAATCACATAAGATGTCATTAAAGTAAAGGTAAAGGTTTCCTCTTGACATTAAGTCAAATTGTGTCCGACTCTGGGGGACGATGCTCATCTCCATTTCTAAGCTGAAGAGCCAGCATTGTCTGTAGACACCTCCATGGTCATGTGGCCAACATGACTGTACGGAGCACTATTACCTTTCCATCAGAGCTGTTACTATTTATCTAGTCACATTTGCATATTTTCAAACTGCTAGGTTGACAGAAGCTATAGCTAACACTGGGCGCTCACCCTACTCCCCGGATTTGAACTGCTGGCCTTTCGGTCAGCAAAGTCAGCAGCTCAGCAGTTTAACCCGCTGTGCCACCAGGAGCATATTAGAACAGAACATTTTCAAATCCAGTGAATAAACAGTCATTTATTAGGTCCATATTTATAGTGCTTCTTGGATGCCATCCTGGATGATATAAATAGATTAAAGAAGTTCCTTATAAAAAATAACGTTATCTGTTTTTGAAATAGGTGAAGGGCATGTTCTAGCCTACAACTCCCATGAGCCCTGAGCCATGTAGTCCACAATGCCCATCAGCCCAGCATAACCAAATGATAATGGATTGTAGGAGTTGTTATTCTAAAGACATTCTCAGGAATATGACTCGGCCCAACAGCTCTCCTCCCAGAAAACGTTGCAAGATGTTCTCCAGCTCCCACGGAGGCATACCTTCCGCCTAGCTTTTCCACATGTTGGAGCAAACAATTGTGCAGTTCATTGCTCCTGTGGTGCAGCTCTGCAAGCAGCTCTCCATAGTATCGGGAGTCCAACTGGTCATTTTGCTCCTGAAGGGGAAACAAAGGACAATTCAACGGACAATAATGCACCATAAACAGCTCTTAATGACCAGCATGTGAACTGTTGATATGGGGCATTGCTATTCCTTTTAAACCATGCTGCATTCATTACTTGCTTCCTACAGATTAATACCTTGATGCATCTGCAGCAGTGGTTCCCAAACTGTGGTCCATGGACCACCGATGGTCCGCAAGAACTAAAGTATGGTCCACGGCCTCACAGTTACTATACCATTGCAACGAGAGCAACTGGTCACGCAAAACCCTCTTATAGGTAAAGGTTGTCCCCTGACATTAAGTCCAGTTGTGTCCGACTCTGGGGGTTGGTGCTCATCTCCATTTCTAAGCCGAAGAGCCGGCGTTGTCTGTAGACATCTCCAAGGTCATGTGGCCAGCATGAATGCATGGTGCACCGTTACCTTCCCACTGGAGCAGTACCTATTCATCTCACATTTGCATGTTTTCGAACCGCTAGGTTGGCAAAAGCTGGGGCTGACAGTGGAAGCTCACGCCACTCCCCAGATTTGAACCTGCAACCTTTCAGTGAACAAGCTCAGCACTTTAACCCACTCCGCCCTCTTCTAGTGCTGATTAAATATGGTTTTCTGTGGGCGAGCAGATGACAACTATCGGATGGCATATGTTCTGTATCAGAAACTAGAACTGATATGGTGTGTCCTATGCAATTTTCTGAATCAGCACCCCAAATACCCAAATTGAATCTAAAGTTGATCAAAAACTGATTTGTAACCCTTTTGGTACTAATGCTGGAGAGTGGTTCCCTGATCAAGGTTGGAAACCACTGATCTACAGTGTCGTTTCTGTTTGTATTACCGTTTGACGCCCCTCTATTTTGCATTATGCACCAATAAACTGGCTTGTTTCCATGCTCCACTTACACATTTTACATTTATACTGCCACCCTACTACTACCAGAGTTCTCCACATGATGTGCAATATGTTCAAAGTAGAAAGTATGGAGGATGGAACAATGCCGGAAGAAGGCACATAATAATAAAACCAGCAGCAAAGAGGCAACAGCGCTAGATCCAAACAAAGCCAGCAAAAAATCAACAGAGTTCTAAGACTTCAAAGTAGTTTTGAAAAATGCCCCAGAAGGACACTGAAGTCTCGTCTGTTGCAGAAATGACCATAATGTAGCCAGAAGGAGAATCTGCCCTGGGGAGGGCACGAAATAGACTTGGCCCCTGTGGAAAAGACCTTTTCTTGGCCTCCTAAACTCTTCTCTGCCAACTGTTCATTGAAAGATCGCCAGCTGGCATGCCTGGCTTACGGGAAAGCTTCCAGACAGCACACGATTCTCCAGAGGATGGAAAGGACAAAACACATTTATTGAAAAATTGCTTCCTTTGTGTGTGTGTTCTTCACTATTCACACATATCATTACTGGAGGGATGTGTGTGTGTGTGAACCTTTTGTTGCTCAATTGCTGCCACTGCATGATTTTGCAATTCTATATAAAGTTTGGTTTAATTGCTTATTCAGGATGAAGCCCGAGTCCACCCAATCATTAAACAAATTACTGAATTCAATTGGAACTATTAGACTCCATTCATGAACTTTAAAGGGGTTTTAAAATCCCTCTTCAGTGAATAATTTACGCACATGGGATAAATATCCCCATCCCAGCACATTCCCTGCTTTGCTGGTTTTCTGCCTTCAATGGCTTCATCTCAGGGCTTTCTACAAGGGTAATTTGCCCTGACTTTCATCCAAAAGTGTTGCAGTCCTAATTCCAACCTAGTAGAACTATGCAAGACGGCAAAATTAGGAGATGAACTCTGCTGGGAATAGGAAGGACCACACCTTCTCTGAAGTCATTAACACAACGTTTTTCATTTTGAGGATCAGAGATCAGAGATGATAAGACTACAACTGATATTCAACAACAGGAATGCCCAACGGCTCCCCAAACAAGTCTGTTCAGCTGAAAGCTCTAGAAAAGTCCTAGTGATGAATAATAAGATCCCTTTCTTCTGCCTTATCCCTCCGTCTTGCTAACACAAGGGCTTAGCAAAGGCACCGATTTCAATCCTGGCTTTTCCAATGGTGTCCATCTTGGACATCTAATTACAAAGTCCTAAAACGATTACATCAGTGTTGCCTCCGGAAAATCCTGCAAATCTCTTGGGTAGACAAGTGGACAAATGTCAGCGTGCTGGAAGAAGCAAAGACCACCAGCACTGAAGCGATGGTCCTCTGCCATCAAGTCCTCTGGACTGGCCACATTGTCCGGATGCCCGACCACCGTGTCCCAAAGCAGTTGCTCTACTCCGAACTCAAGAATGGGAAACGGAATTTTGGTGGGCAGGAAAATAGATTTAAAGATGGGGACAAAACCAACCTTAAAAAAATCTGGCATAGACTCTGAGAACTGGGAAACCCTGGCCCATAAGCACTCCAGCTGGAGGTCAGCTGTGACCAGCAGTGCTGTAGAATTTGAAGAGGCACAAATGGAGGCCGAAAGAGAGAAACATGCCAAGAGGAAGGCGTGTCAAGCCAACCCCAACTGAGACCGCCTTCCACCTGGAAACCAATGCCCTCACTGCAGGAGAACATGTGGATGAAGAATAAGGCTCCACAATCACCTACGGACCCACCAGAACACTGATCATGGAAGACTATCCTACTCGGACAATGAGGGATAGCCTAAGTAAGTACAAAGTCCAACATATCATCCACATAATTAGAATTTAGATATCTTCTTCTCCCAGGTGCCTCATCTTAGTAGTTTTATTTCATAATTTGCAAGTATTAGAGCATTTTTCTTGCCGGAATCAAAGTACCGGTTTTGGTTTAACTCTCACCCACGTAGCAAGGAACCTGGGAGCAAAAGCAATCCTTTGCTCTCAGCTGCAGCTTCTATCTGCTTCTGTTGTTGCACATGGTTCAGAAGAGCCCCTGGTGGCACAGTGGGTTAAACTTTGTGCCGGCCGAACTGCTGACCTTGAGGTCAGTTCGAGTTCGCAAAATGGGGTGAGCTCCCATCTGTCGGCTCCAGCTTCTCCTGTGGGGACATGAGAGAAGCCTCCCACAGGATGGTAAAATATCTGGGCGTCCCCTGGGCAATGTCCTTGCAGACAGCCAGTTCTCTCAGATCAGAAGCAAGTTGCAGTTTCTCAAGTCACTCCTGACATGAAAAAAAAAACAGAAAATGAGATTTGGGCTGGAATTCTTTGGGCAATAAGAAATGTGTAACCTTGCAAAAAGGCCTCTCCTGGGGCTAAAATGGGTAGGAAAAAGAGCCAAAAACAAGGGCATTTGGAGGCAGCAAATTCTGGGGGGTGCCATCCTCCAAAGACATGTGGGAGGCTGGTGCACCCCTTTTAGCGTCCCAAAGGCATCCATATCTGGTGTAAGGAATCCATGTTAGACATTTATGCCGAATCTGGACATTCTAGTACAGTCATTCCCAAGTGCCATTGGGATCTACCACAGGGATGAGATATTATTAAGTTACCATCCACTCAAGTGACTAACGAGGACCTTGCAGCTAGTAATGGACTGACATCATCAGGAAGTGATTGATCTTCTACTGCCAAGATAACCTATAATGCTTACTTATGTTTACTTGCGCCTGATGTGCTTCTCTGCACTGAAGCATGAGTTACTGGGGTTGCCACTTGACAATGTAATTCCCCTACAATGCCTTTGAGGCCCCAAGGTGGCATCACTCCAGAAGATGCCAGCAGTGCCAGCATCAACACTTAGAGGCCAGGCAAGGTCTTTTTTTGCTGATGTTAAGACAATTTTTGTGTGTGTCAGGAGCGACTTGAGAAACTGCAAGTTGCTTCTGGTGTGAGAGAATTGTCCATCTGCAAGGACGTTGCCCAGGGGACGCCCAGATGTTTTGATGTTTTACCATCCTTGTGGGAGGCTTCTCTCATGTCCCCACATGGGGAGCTGGAGCTGACAGAGGGAGCTCATATATCAGTACTACAGTTTTACTGGTGTGAAATATAGTTTATAGTTTTAAACTGGGTGTCCGATGCAGGACGTAATGCTATGTAATGCTATGCAAGAGTTAAAGGCATAGAGTGAACTGTGAGCTTTTCCTGTATACGTCACACATTCCAATGACGTGGATTTGAGATAACGGACTACTGGATATTCTCTTCTAGCCATGCTGGAGAAGAAGCAAGACGCCTGTGTGATTTCTCTTGTACATAGTTATGTTTGTTATTTTTGTAGTTGTTAGAAAGTAACTAAATAAAATGTGCCACTTTAAGGCTTTGAAGTTGATTGAAGAATTTTACTGACATCATCCACACACACACACACTCCATTCGAACCTCTGACCTGTTGGTCTTCTTCTGTCTTGCCAGCACAAGGGTTTAACCCATTGTGCCACTGGACAAGATAAAGGAAGAGAAGAGGGGAAGCCAGTCTCAAGGTCCAACCAGACCTAACCAAGCCTTGCAGATGTCCATCCGTTTACCTTTAGCCATGCTGCAACCTGTGATGCTCCCAGATAATTCAACAATTGTACCTTCGCCATGCGAGAGAAAGAACCGGGAAAGTAAAATTGGAGTTAGACTTACTGGTTCACAATTTTTGATGGTGACTGTCTTCACAATTCCTCTTCCAGCATCGTTGACAATGACTGGACCTATGTCATAGCAATTGTTTGTCTGGGGCTGCTGCACCACTTGAACATGCTCCACCGGTTGACAGATGTGGGTCTGGTCCGACTGTGCATGCTGGAGAGCATATTGGTATTGCTTCTCCTACAGGGAAAGAAGAAGCATTTACTCCAAGCAGACCTTGCAAAAGGCGCTACCTGGGACTTTCTATTAATCATTTGCATGAGCCCTGGAAAAGCACCACCAAACCTTTTGTGTCGGTGACCAAATGTTTCTCCCTCCCATTTTGTTGCTAAGATGAAACAGGTGCTCTTTTGTGTCCAGAGGCAAAAGCAGAATGCCGCCAGGGGAAGCATTCAGGGAATCTAAGCAAAACTCTTATTTTATTTCTCAAATTTCAACTCTGGATCTGGGAAACCTTTTATCAAATGTATTCCCCCCCCCCCCCCTCTTAAAAATAACAAAATAAATAGAAGATAAAGGCTCTTACATGGTCTGGATTAAGCAGCTCATATTTTCTTATTGTTTTTTCATAGATGACATTATTTCCTCCTCTCAGGAGTGGAGAGATCGGTTCCTGGAAAGTTTAAAGAAAATGACATGGACTTTTGAAAAAAGAAGATGCTATGAATGGACAGGACTCCACTACACATTTGTATCCCTCTATTTTTTAAAAAAACTCTAGTATTTCAAGTGAAATTACTGTTGGCTGCTGTACAATCTTGATATAGTTATATAAAGGTAAAGGCTTTCCTGACATTAAGTCTAGTTGTGTCCAACTTTGGGGGTTGGTGCTTATCTCCATCTCTAAGCCGAAGAGCTGGCGTTGCCGGTAGACACCTCCAAGGTAATGTGGTTGGCATGACTGCATGGAGTGATGTTATCTTCCTGCTGGAGCTGTACCTATTGAGCTACTCACAGTTGCATGTTTTCAAACTAAAAAAGACAGTTCTAAAGTTTTCCTACTCAAAGGTAAAGGTAAAGCTTTCCCCGACATTGAGTCTAGTCATGTCTGACTCTAGAGGTTGGTGCTCATCTCTATTTCTAAGCCAAAGAGCTGGCGTTGTCCGTAGACACTTCCAAGGTCATGTAGCTGGCATCACTGAATGGAGTTATGTTACCTTCCCACTGGAGCAGTACCTATTGATCTACTCACAGTTGCATGTTTTCAAACTGCTAGATTGGCAGAAGCTGGGACTACACGCCACTCCCCAGATTCAAACCTATGACTATCTATCTATCTATCTATCTATCTATCTATCTATCTATCTATATCTATCTATACATATATCTATATCTATCTATCTAAAGTTATATAGCAGAGAAAATGAGTGCAGTCCTTTTCATTAAGTTACGGAGACCCTGGTGCCATAATGGGTTAAACCCTTGTGCTGCTAGGACTGCTAACTGAAAGGTCAGCAGTTCAAATCTTTGGAGCAGGGTGAGCTACTGCCTGTCCGCTCCAGCTTCTTGTGCAGGAACATGAGAGAAGCCTCCCACAGGATGGTGAAAACATCCAGGTGTCTCCTGGGCAACATCCTTGCAGACAGCCAATTCTCTCACACCAGAAGCAACTTGCAGTTTTTCAAGTCACTTCATAGAATCATAGAATCTTAGAGTTGGAAGAGACCTCATGGGCCATCCAGTCCAACCCCCTGCCAAGAAGCAGGAAAATTGCTTTCAAAGCACCCCTGACAGATAGCCATCCAGCCTCTGTTTAAAAGCTTCCAAAGAAGGAGCCCACACCACGCTCCAGGGCAGAGAGTTCCACTGCTGAACGGCTCTCACAGTCAAGAAGTTCTTCCTCATGTTCAGATGGAATCTCGTTTCTTGTAGTTTGAAGCCATTGTTCCGCATCCTAGTCTCCAGGGAAGCAGAAAACAAGCTTGCTCCCTCCTCCTCCCTGTGGCTTCCTCTCACATATTTATACATGGCTATTATATATTCTGACACTAATATATAATAATAATAGTCATCATAATCATCTTTATTTCTACCCCACCACTATCTCCCCATGGGGGCTTGTAGTTTCTCAAAAAAATTTAAGAAGTTACCAGTTAGAGTTCAGGTTGAAATCCAACAACGTTGACCTACTTTGAAGAGACCCCATGAACTGTTTCAAAATACCATAAAGAAAAAAAAGGATTTCTTACCTGTTCAGGATTCTCATATATAATCCTCCGGACAGTGCCCTGGGAATAAGGAGCCAATTTCATGGATGGAGATCCAACTTCCTGGAAGGGGAAAACAGCAAACAAAATATAATTATGAGATGGTACAATGTCAGAGCAATGGCTCTATGGATTTATATTGTATTCAAAGATAGCTATGCATGCAACAAAAACACAACATCCTATATTGGGAAAGCCAACTCAAAGCACAAAATGTATTATGTAAGCTTCCGAAGCTTCACTGGTTTCTTCATCGAGCAAAGGAGAATAGGAGAATAGAAATGATGAAGCTTGAGTAACAAGCCTAACTTTTGTCTCAGTTGCTACTTCTCTTTTTGGAGCCCATTCCCCTTCTTAGCCTCTTTACACTTCAACAGGGAAGGCTTTAACAAGACGGAGCTTGTTCACTCCAACAAAAGCAAATAATTGGGACTACAATAGACAAGTTTTACCTATATAGCATCTAAAACAGTGGTTCCCAACCTGTGGTCCGTGGACCAACAGTGGTCTACAAGAACTAAAATATGGTCAACAGCCTCGTCATTACTACGCCATTGCAATAAGAGCAACTGGTTTCGCGAAACCGTCTTATAGTGCCGAGGCTTATTAAATATAGTTTTCTGTGGGCGAGCAGATGGTGACTACTAGATGGCATATGTTCTGTATCAGAAACTAGAACTGATGTAGTTTATCCAATGCCATTTTCTGAATCAGCACCCCAAAGAACCAAATTGAATCTAAAGTTGACCAAAAACTGATTTGCAGCCCTTTTGGTACTAATGTCAGAGAGTGATCCCGACACTCAAAGAAGTTCCTGGTCAAAAAAAAAAAAAAAAGATTGGGAACCACTGATCTAAAAGGTTTTCCACGTGTAACAAGACAGAAACTTCTTGAGAAATTCCGTGTTTTCTGATTAGGAAAGAGCACAGAACAGAGACAGCTTGGATCTCCGGGGAAGTTACTTTTCTATTGTTAATGGAGCTGAAATATATTACATGTCTTTTGTCCCTAGTCCGCACATGACTAACATTGCCTACATTGGGTTGTTGTGAGTTTTCTGGGCTGTATGGTTATGTTCCAGAAGCATTATTTCCTGACATTTCACCTACATCCTCTCAGCCTCTGAGGATGCCTGCCATAGATGCAGGCAAAACGTCAGGAGAGAATGCTTCTGGAACACGGCCATACATGGCCACTGAGTTGTGAGAAAACTCACAACTCAGTGATTCTGGCCATGAAAGCCTTCAACAATACATTGCCAGCATTGATGTCCTTCTTAACCGATGACAAAAGAAACATCTAGGACAAAGATTAGGCATTTGGCTCATTCAAAGGGAGAGATGGGTACGAAATAGTAATAACAACAAATATTGTCACTTCTATATGATTTTAGCACCTTCACCTGGTGAAGATGCCAGTTGAGCTTCAAAAGCTTATATAAAGTACTAGCTGGCTGTGGTCAACTTTCCCTCCCTCTTTCTCTCCTTTCTTTCTCTCCTTCCTTCCCTCCCTCCTTCCTTCCCTCCTTTTTCTTTCCCTTCTTCTTTCCCTTCTCCTTTCCCTCCTCTCTTCCTTCTCTACCTCCTTCCTTCCTTCCTTCCTTCCTCTTTGTTTCCATCCTTCCATTCTCTTTCATTCCTTCCTTCCTTCTCTTTTTTCTTTCTTTCTCTCCTTCCTTCCTTCTCTACCTCTTTCCTACATACCCCCCTTTTCTCCCCGCCCTCATTCTCTCCTTCCTTCCTTCTCTACCTCTTTCTTTCTTTCCTTCCTTCCTTTGCTCTTTGGTGCCATCCTTCCTTTTCTCTTTCTTTCCTTCCTTCCCTATCTTTTTCCTTCCTTCCTTCTCTTTTTTTCTTTCTCTCCTTCCTTCCTTCTCTACCTCTTTCCTGCATACCCCCCTTTTTCTTTCCCGCCCTCATTCTCTCCTTCCTTCTTTCTCTACCTCTTTCTTTCCTTCCTTCTCTGCTTTTTTCCTTCATTCCCTCTTTCCTTCCCTCCTTCCTTCTTTCCCGCCCTCCTTCTCTCCTTCCTTCCTTCTCCCTTTCCCTTCTTCATTCCTTCCCTCCAGACATAGGCCGGAAAAGAGTTGGATTCGAAGGCAGCGCTTGAGAGACGTTCATCCTTGCTTTCTGCAGAGTAAGGACTCCACGGTTAGTAAGCCATGCATCTACATCTGTATTGTCATTTTGCTTCTGGGGATTTTAAGTCTATTACTTTTTGCGGGGGGTTTATGAGTGATGGTCACTTGTTGGTATGTTAAGGGCGTAGTGTCCAAATTTGGCGTCAATTCATCCAGTGGTTTTTGAGTTATGTTAATCCCAAAAACTTACATTACATTTTTATTTATATAGATTTTATACAATAAAGGTGTTGCTGTGTTTTGGATTGTGACTACTCTAGTCACCTTGCAAACAGTTTTTCCCTTAGCAATTATTTAACTAACAAACACAAACAATTGCAGCACATTTCTTGCATTCCTTTAATGCCCACCTGGAGAAAGTGATAAGAAACTGTTGACTGACAGAACCAGAATGTAGGAGCTGCAGTTGCCAATGCAAATGCAGAGATGTGCTGAGACAAGGTGCGGGTCATATGACTTTGGGTGGAGTCGGTTTCAACACTCAAAGTAAAATGGTTTGCTGCAAGAAGTGCTAGATGGCAAAATTGACACGCCTGTGGTCAGTTCGAAAGTTGCAATTGTCAAAACAACACATTTCTTTGCCAGCCCAAGAACCCATTCTCTCCTGGATTCCTTTATCTGAATCAAATCCAAGAAGATTTATTTATTTATTTATTTATTTATTTACTTACAGTATTTATATTCCACCCTTCTCACCCCGCAGGGGACTCAAGACGGATTACAATGTACGTATACATAGCAAACATTCAATGCCATAGACACACAACATATATAGACAGACACTCAGAGGCTATTTAATACTCCAGCTTTTCATGAGGGTATTCTGGCCACCAGGGGAGCTGTTGCTTCACTGTCCATTTGTGACACTGATGGAGTACTTCCTCATTCTTTGCATGCTTGCTGGAGATTTTTATGGCCTCATAAATTAGTTAAATTAGCCTCCCCGCATAAGCGGTACCTAAATTTCCTACTTGACAAATGCAACTGTCTTTTGGGCTGCAAAGGTCGACAGTAAGCTACACAAATTTGTCGGAAGCTCACTCCGACCCAGGCTGGATTCGAACTCATGACCTTCCGATCAGTAGTGATCTTAATGCAGCTGACTCCCAGCCAGCTGCACCACAGTCCCGGTGCTAGCTGCGCCACAGCTGCACCACAGATCCCAATATGAGGCATTCCATAACCAAAAAAGCACACTAAAAACATTGTGAATCAGAGCCAACTACCAGGCTGTTTCTTTGGGACGATTGTGGGTGCATCTACATTGGAGAAATAATGCAGTTTGACACCACTTTAACTGCCATGGCTCAATGCCTATGGAATGCTAGGAGTTGTAGTTTGGTGAGGGGCCAAACTCTTTCAAATAGAAATCTAAAGACTTTGTAAAACTATGAATTGCATGATTATGTAGCATTGAGCCATAGAGTTAGTGTTAAACTGCACTCATCCTAATGTGTAGATGCACCCTAGACCTTTATATATTCATGTCAGAAATGACTTGAGAAACTGCAAGACGCTTCTGGTGTGAGAGAATTGGCCATCTGCAAGGACATTGCCCAGGGAACGCCCAGAGGTTTTGATGTTTTACTATCCTTGTGGGAGGCTTCTTTGATGTCCCCGCATGGGGAGCCGTAGCTGACAGAGGGAGCTCACCCATGCTCTCCTTGGATTCAAACCTGCAACCTGTCGGTCTTCATTCCTGCCAGGACAAGGGTTTAACCCAGTGTGGCACTGGGAACTCTACCCAAGACTGGGTATTTACTAAAGACATTTTTAGTAGCAGATAGAGGCCATAAAAGCCATGATAGAGCCAAAGCTGAGCACTTTCTAAACCACATCGATTTCAATAATAATGAAAGGATCTTAAAGTTGACTGGGTCATTGTGCAGGTACAACTGTACCAGGAGCTCCAATTTTGTTTGCTTTGCATTGGATGTTTGTTGTAGTCCTGAGTTTCAGGGACTCTGCAGATAGGTGGCTTCTTTTGGCTGCAATCATAGAGCAAGCCACCTGTCAATTATAGTTAGGTTCCCATTTTGAGTCAGTCCACACAGAGAAGCTTTCCATGCAGGACATAATACTAAGAGCTCCTGTAGTAAGCTTTGTCTTCTACAGCTTGGCCGGGGAGATACAGCCTACAGCTTGGCCGAGGATCATACAGCCTTACAGCTCCTTTGCTGAGGGACTTCATTCAGCCATCACTGAAACCTGAACTCCTTTTCCCCTGGAGGTCTACAAAGCTCTGCTTGGTAAGGGTCACTCGCGGAAGCCAGAAGCAGTTGGTACTGGGTGTAGGGGCTCCACGCCATCAGAGGCAAAGACAGACTGCCCAGATTAGAAGTTAAGGATTTCCCCATTAGTTACAGTTATGAAGATAGTGCCTGTTTCCTGTGGACAAGATTGAGAGAGAGAGCCAATAGACAGTTAAGAAAGCCTTAAAGTACCTGTTTGTTTTCATTAATAAAGAACTTTGTCGAACCTTTAAGCAATCTAAAGACTCTGTTTTAAGGAAATCCAAGGGCCTTTAGTCTGAGGCAGCCCCAGCGTCCCGTTGGGCACACAGAATTTATGTCCTGTCTACAGTCTTATGCACAGGCCCAGCGTACGACAGCACAGTCATGTCATGCTCCAATATGGTGTTTGATATCCACCTCACTACCATTCATTTGACCCTTCAAAATATCCTCTGAAAACAAACAGGATGTTCAATGTATTGTTGAAGGCTTTCATGGTCGGAATCACTGGATTGTTGTAGGTTTTTTTGGGCTATATGGCCATGTTCTAGAGGCATTCTCTCCTGACGTTTTACCTGCATCTATGGCAAGCATCCTCACTATCTCTGAGGATACTTGCCATAGATGCAGGCGAAAGGTCAGAAGAGAATGCTTCTAGAACATGGCCATATAGCCCAAAAAAACCTACA